GATCAGAAAAGTGATCAACAATCGAATGATAATGGCAATACAGGTTGTACAAAAACCACATAATCAAAACATATCACTGATAAGATGTTCATTCGATTGAAAATATTAGTTTTATTTCTGAAAAGATTTGCATTTTCGAGGTTACCAGAAACTGACTGACATTTTTTATTATTCCAAAGCTCTCAAATATTTTCGTAATTATACATCAATAAGGTCACAATGAGATATAGGTGTATATTTATTCATATAATCTAAACAAGCGGAACTATTAAATTAACGTACAGAGTATTCAGATTTCACTTGACTTGCTGTTGCTACATGTAAGTTAAGTGTAGGTAAAGTACATGTACAATTGTACATTAGAGAGGCACCCCAGATCAAGAATTTGAGGTTGAGATCTGGAAATTCGATCAATATTGATTTTAAATGGGGTGAATGATAACAAGCTCAAACGGGAAGAATAGGACAAATTCTCCCGTCAAGTGTTGTGTTGCGTCGCAGAAAAAGGCTAAAAATCAAGTCGAAATCTATCTCTATTATCACCCGTGTCAGAAAATAAATATATTTTGACGGCCATGATAGCACAAGATTAGCTGTTTGTGTCGATAAAAAACGTTAAAAAGGAATCACAAACCTTTCAACAAGAGCCTCCTTCCTCCCGTTTATGCTAGCACCACGCAAAGACAACTCCCTCTTCAACTTTTGTACCGTGTATTTTCCAAACTGATCTGCCATCTTCCAAGTTCAAGGCCCTTACCCTTAGAAAGCTTAATCACTATAACATCGCCTTGCACTATTAACATTTTATTAAATATTTAAAGTCAATATAAGAGTAAAATCGGAGAGGAGTGTTACTCAACAACTATTTTCGAATATATGAATGTTTCTCCTTGTCTATTGAATCGTTAATCTGTAGAATAATGAAGCTCAAATTTGCCTTGTTAGAGAAAACTTGACTTCTTCGTCTGGCACAGGGTGAGTCACGTGACCTATATGTTGACTTATCGCACTTGCGTGCCACCTATATCAGGGCTCGAATCACGCGAAACACCATTGGTCCGCCACCCTATTTGGTGATAGATTTTAGTTTTAGTCGCCTTGCTGATATAGCAGTATCAGTGGAATGTTAGCTAAAAAAATTTCAGCATGTCTTAATTGCCAGCTTTAGTTGGGCAATTTTTTAGATTGGGTGCCTTCATACAATCTTCTGGGGACCTTCCCATACCCTATACTCACTGGGGTTTGCACCAGGGCTATTAGCTTGGCGGTCTTCAGGCCATATCAGTTCAGGAACATTTTGCAAATTATGCTTATTTCTCATGGCACACCACATGTTTAAGTGAAACGCTGGTGACATATTTTATTCAAGTAAAAGTGTACAATTCATGATCCATGGCTAGTTAACAACTTCAAGTTTCATTTGGTTCGCAAATTATGAATTTGTACCAAAAATTAAAAAGTTAGAGCATTTTGAAAAATAAGTGGTGTTTTTTTGGCCCACCCTGTACTTCAGAGGGGTCATTCATCAAGCTATCGCAATCACTGCGACGTCGCAGACACTGCGACCATCGTGCGAGGTCGCAGTGACTGCGACTGCGACCTATTCATTAACAAATCGCAGTCTGCGATGTCCATGCGACCAGTCGCATTGATTACCACGTGGACGTGCTTGTACACGTGTTAGTTATCCTTTCGAGAACCTCTTGTATCATTTCGTAAACTTTTATAATAGTTAACCCTAGGCATGTGACATCGCAAAATAAGGTCCACATTATCATTTATTTGAAGAGGATCTGTACGATCTCTAAGTACGCGTTCTCTACGCAGAGCATTACGGTTGAAATCAACCATCAGTTGCGCCATTTCGAACGAATAAACGCTTCCAACAGACGATTAACGTGTCATGCAAGATTGACAATATGGATACTGAGTGGGCACAGCCACGTGGGTCAAAACCCAAAACCACGTGTAATGCACAATCACTGCGACCGGTCGCACAGTGAAGTACTTGAAAATACAAGCCGAAAACTAGCTGTTTTTGGTAGCACCACAAACATGTTAAACATAATGCATATGCTCTGCAATTTTAATATAACATGGATCGAGTATCGAACTGTACGTCCTAGAATTTCTATATAATTTCATAAAGAAATTCAACTAATTTAAGACATTTTTCGTGAACTAAAATCACTGCGACTGGGTACCACTGGTCGCTTAAATTTGGGCCATTTTAGGGGTATTTCATTGTGACGTCGCAGAAAATTCTACCGTTCGCAGTCGCACGAGATTGATGAATAGGACGTAATCGCTAAAAAGGGCCCTTGCGACATCGCAGGCTTGCGACGTGCTTGCGATAGCTTGATGAATGACCCCTCAGTTTAATATTGTATGATGATTAAGTTTTACTCATTCAGCTTATATTAAGATTCTGTAAAAAGTAACTGTAAAATGTTTAATGCAGTTTTGAAAAATATACAAATATTCAATTCTGTTTTCAGTGACTACCTGTGCATCTTTCACAATTGATATTCCACAAAGCGTAAGGGCTACACAGGGAGATATACCGATTACTCAATTAGTACAAAATTAGTACTAAATTAGCACTCTGGCAAAAGCGCGCTAATGAGCACTCATGCCACGAGTGCTAATTTAGTACTAATTCATGATATAAGTACTCATCTAGTGCTGAAAAATCAATTTTATTAGTACTCCACCGAACGAAGTTCGAGGGGGATATAGAAAAGCCGTCCATCTGTTCGTCCGTCCGTTTGTGTATCCGGACAATAACTCAAATACCGTTTGACGGATTTCATTCAAATTTTATAGGCTTATGCCTTATGGGTGTAGGACCTCTGCTCGAGAAGGAATTTTCAAAATGGCCATTAAATTCAAAATGGCGGCCATTTTTCTGAAAAAATATAATCTTTGATAACCCCAATACTAGTGGATGGATTTGGTTCAAATTTTATATGCTGTTGCCTGGGTACAAAAGAGACTTGCTCAGGAAGACATTTTCAAGATGGCCGCCATATTCCAAAATGGTGGCCATTTTTCGTCAAAAACATTATCTTCGAATTCTCAAATACCATTGAATGGATTTGGTTCAAATTTTACATGGGACATAGGAGCTCTGCTCGAGAAGGAATTTTCAAGATGGCAGCTAAATTTCAAAACTGCCGCCATTTTTCATAAAAAGAACTTAACCTTTGATAACTCAAATACCAGTTGGTGGATTTGGTTCAAATTCTACATGCTGATGCCTAGAGAAAAAAAAAAGAAGTTCTGCTCGAGAAGACATTTTCAAGATGGCCACTGAATTTCAAAATGGCCGCCATTTTTCGTAAAATGTGTAATCATTGATAACTCAAATACCAGTGGATGGATTTTGTTCCAATTTTACATGCTGATGTTTAGGGTAAAAGGAGATCTGCTTCAGAAGAAATTTCAAAGGCGTCAGCTGAATTTCAAAATGGCAGCCATTTTTCATAAAAAACATAATCTTTGATAACTCAAATACCATTGGACGGATTTACTTCAAATTTTATATACTGATGCCTAGAGATAGAGGAGCTCTGCTTGAGAAGAAATTCAAGGTGGCTGCTATTTATCGAAATCTCCTCCGTTTTTCATTATTTTTGTAAACATGTAATCCTTGATAACTCAAGTACCAGTTGACAGATTTGGATTAAATTCTTTATACTGATGCCTTGGGACATAGGAGCTCTGCTAAAGAAGAAATCTAAAGATGACAGCTGAATTTCAAAATGGCAACCGTGTTTCATAAAAACATAATCTTTGATAATTCAAATACAAGTGGATGGATTTGGCTCAAATTTTATATGGCCGCTATTTATCAAAACATGTTTTGTTCGGTGGGATTTGCTACTCCGTGGAGTTGCTGTTTTTCTAGTTGTACTTATTGAACTCATTTGCACAGGTCTGTTTGTATGAATGCTACAGGTATTAAACAACAAATGCTCGTAATATGTGAGTGAAAGTGAGTTCTTAACCTTTAACAACTTTTTAAATAAAAATCTTACCTTGCTATTTGTTATTGAATGATCAATCTGAAAAATTCCACCAGCGGCTGAGAACTGCTTGTATTGTTAATGTACTATGTATATTATTTTCAGATTTTAATCCCGTTTAATTTATGCTATCTTTCAAAATAGACTGATTTAGATGTAATTATAAATGTCAAAATGTGCAATATCCTTATTGATGTGCAAATCTCACCGAACAAAACATGTTTTGATAAATAGCGGCCATATAAAATTTGAGCCAAATCCATAAATCCATTTGTTTCCTTATGAATTAGGAGATTAATTTTTTTAATATATGGGGAAGTATGCTTTACGAGGGTTGTCCCGGAAGTGTTTTTATTTGATGTTTTTTAAGTACTCAAGGTTTTCCTTAATGACCAGGAAAACATAAACTTATAATTTATAGTTTGCATTCTGGAAAGTTATTTTGATTAACACCCTTGGTATACGCAGCTAACGAAAATTGACCGGTATGGGTCAAAAGCTGGACCGGTACGGGTTAACGGTTTTATTTGAATTTAAAATAGCCATAACTTGCTCAATATTGACTTCCTCGTGTCTAATTTGAAATATATGATGCCTCCCGATGCTTTTAAGTACCCCAATTTTTTACAGATTTTTAAACGGACCAAAACTCTCTAAATGCGCATTTATGCTCTTTTCTCTCGAGAACGACTGTCTCATTTTCACGATAACTTTTATTTAGTACTTCTAACATATAAGATCTATTTTTCCCCATCAAGGTATGATGTAAATGACATGCTATTTACATCTTGTGAGTTTCAATGACGCGCGTTTGATTTTATAAAAAATGCCAAACTTTGTGACAAAGAATTTCATCCTGCTTGCATCGAGAAGACGGACCGGTTCGGGGCAATCTGCTTGCAGCGAGAGATTAGTTTAGTTACATGTACAGATGACATTTCAGCTGCCTATATTCTGTCTTATTCCTTACAGGTGATGTTCCAAGTTGCACTAGCTGTTATAGATGCAGTGAGTGAAGAATTGCTGAACATTAAAGATGATGGAAGTGCCATGACGATACTCTCCCGCTACCTTGAGAGCATCAAGAACCACGATGCTACAGCTCCTCCTAGTATGGATGAGAAGGACAACAAAAAGGTAGGAACTTCACAATCACATTGAGTTTCAGTCCACTTTAAGAGAGGGGAGGGGAATACCCCAGAATTCATTGCTGAACCCATCTCCTTATAAAGATGAACCCTCATTGGAGATTCTAAGTTCACTTATGAATTATGGGATATTCCTTCCTTGTGTCCCATTTGAAAGGTGTTCCACTCTACATGTTTTGTTATCTATGCTTTGTATACAAAAGAAATAATTGATGTTAGTGAGAAATGACAATGGCCAAATAGAGTAAACACTGCAAATTAAATCCCTATAAACAATAATAACACAAATCATGTTTCAGGCTAAAGTTGATGTTAGTGAGCTTGTCCAGGACGGCTACCGCAACTTTGGAATGATAACCAATCAGCAGGTAGATAAACTACGATTGAAACATCGCCTCAAGGTTGTCCAAACAATAGAGGACAGCACCATGAAGAATGTCATCCGTAGCGTCATGGCTGACACTGTGTTGAAAGGCAAGGACCTACAGGAAGTTTATCTGGTTTTCAAGGTATGGTTTTCAGATCTGTTGTGCTTTTGTCTATGAATGAATGATTGGATGGATAGAGGTAAAACATTACATATTTTGAGGATTTTGACACTTTGCTTTGGCAAAAATACTTTTTATGTTTTTTTTAAATTTGTTAATTTACGGTAAATTACAATATAATTTTCTCTTTCAATGGATTTCATTAGAAATTCTAACAATAGGCAGAACACCTGAAACAGGCAAAATTATTGGAAATTATCATTTTGACAAAGAAACAGTTGTTGTCAGAGAAAATTGTTTTTGCCTGGTGCTTGAATGAAATCTCTGCTTTCTTAATACTCAACAGAGACTGTAGTTCCTCCATTCTATCCATTGTTTTCCAGGAAGAATATTTGTCCTCTAACTTCTGGAGAACATCTCAGCAAGCAGTGGATGTGTCAGCAGAGAAGTATGATCCCTCTAGGCCCTACTATGAGCAGTATAAGGTGGATTATGACCAGTTTAAGACACTTTTCCTGGCATTGTCCCCTTGGAGTGCTGGCTACCATGCCGAGACCATGGCTTTAAGGATGTTCCGAGTAAGATTTTTAGATGCGAACGCAGCATGCTTATACATATATTGAATAGCACACTGTAAAAATCTCCAAGATCTGAGGGTGTAGCGTACAGGGGGCTAAAAAGATTGTTGAGGTTTTAAACTAATTCTTCTTATTTAAACCCAGTTTGAAGTTCATGTACATTATAACACAACAGACATTCAAAAATATACGTTTGTTTAAATTGGTTTATTTATCTTTTAATATAGCTCCTTGACGGCAACCTGGACAATATGGTGAACTTCAAGGAGTTTGCTTGGTGCATGGGGGCGCTGTGCAAAGCTGATCTACCAGCCAAAATGAGGCTGTTATATCGTCTTCACTTACCCCCTTCCCTACTTCCAAGTGATGTTATCGAATCTGAGGAACTGGAGAGCCCTGAAGCAGGTAAGACTTCCTGCCTAGGTATCTTTTGTCACTTGACTGTCAGGGACGAGGCCTAAGGATGAAAATATAATTTAATGTGATTTGGATTGATACTTGCAGGATTCTCTGAGAAAAAAACTCACTGTTAAAATCAAGGAAAACCTGCAGTCATCATGCATGATCATTCATCTAGTAAAAATGTATATGTTATTTTATTTAGATATTTATTGTATGTATATATTCATTCTAAGTTTTGACTTGAATTCTCTTTGGAATAGAATTTTACTTCTTGGTGTTTCTTCACTGTGATTTCTAAGGGGCTTGGTCAAATATCATGTGTGTAATCTTTTGAAAAACAAATGTCATTGGGGAGTGGGTTTCATTATACCTTATTAAATCGGTGGAGGTGGGGGGGTGTCAAGTTCCTTTCACAAGAAAACATTTTTATTTTGACCTTGTCCCTTTCCTGCACTTTAATGTTTCAATTTCTCTCTCTTTGTGTTTCTCTTGTCTTTTGAGGATTGGAGAAATGTATGTTATTTACTCTTCAAGTCTGAGAAATCAAGTTCAACCAAATCATTACCCAGTGACTATGAATTGGAATCTCTGTGAAACACTGGCTGTGAGTAAATTTTGAAAATTTGACTTCAATTGACCTTGACCTTCAATGACCTTGACCTTTGCCCTATTGCAGAACTGATGGAGGATGCAGTAGAAGCGACATCTTTTTTTGAAGAGGATGCTGTTGACTTGAACAAAGCCAATGAAGGTACATGGATCACCTGTTAATGAGTTTATGTATATGAGAGTGTGGTGGGAGGGTTGAAGTGTGAAAGGGTATCGTTACTACATGTATACTGTACCGTTTAGTTCAGAAAATCCTCAATGGGGTTCGGATCATTGGATCTTGGGCTATGGGGATGCAGTTTTACCAATTAGGCTACCTGTTTAAACTGGACTAAAAGGGTGTTCTCTAACATAGAATTCCATAATAATTTCACAAATCTGCCATCTTTTTTTTTAGAATTTCATAATAATTTCACAAGTCAGCCATCTTTCAGAATACAAATGTATAAGGACTAGCCAGGCACCAAAAAAAAATCTGGAGAATATTTGTTGACCTCACTATTGATTAATCAGACCCTCAGATGTGATGTTGCCTGTATGTTCATTGAATTGATATGCAAATATCAATTCAATATCTGTAAATCTCTTTTCTGACTGAAATTCCTTGTGGATCTGTAATAGTACTTTTCTATCAAAAATGTTCTTTTCATATTTCTAATTCAAGGCTAAGGTGAACTATTTGGTGTTATTCGAAACAATTATTTGTTTAGCATGTAACTGTTATAATTGTTTTAAACATTCTGTCATTAAATATAATCATGCCATGTATATTCAAGAATAGAAATATACTTTGCATTGTAGAAATCAATTTATTTCCTATATGTCTTTTTATCTTAGTTCCAGTTAACAAGAATACATGTACATCCCAATAATTTTATATACAGCTATATGTTTGTATGTATTTTTTATTCTACAGATCCATCAAAGAAGTCAACATCTGGTAGTGTTCCAATAATTGCTAACCCAGGAGTGTCCCACACTGCACATCCCCAGCCTCCCGGGTCTCTGGATCTGCCTGGGGGGTCAGTAGATTCTCTATTGTCGCCAGATAGTCCTAGTGATGCTCCTAGTGTTATGCTCGAAAGGAGTGTTAGTGAGACAACAAGTGCTACCTCCTCTGATAATAACTCTAAAGGTAATGGAAAGAGGATAATAGGGAGGTTTAGCAATACATTTGAATAATAATGGTTTGAATTTTACATGTACCTTTTCAGTAATATTTTGGTTAAGCAAGGCCTCCCCTGCCTCGTGTCTAGCTAGTGCTACATCCATAAAAGTGATACTTGATAGATTTTGAAAATTAGTTTATTTTGGGCAATATCCAATAATATCAGTAATACAAAAATTGTAACTCTCAAAGTACATCAGTACTCTCAACAATGTACAGTAAAAAAGTTAGTTAGAAATATAAAATATTAAAATTTTTATCAGTACTTATTGAAAGCCCTGTTCTATGATGTATTTACATTTTTACAGATGGTAGTACTGCACGCAAGGGAAGTATAGGGAGTGGAGCCAGATATGATGGTAGTAGAGATAGCAAGCTTGACCTAGTACATCTACCAAGGATGAACCAGGTTTGTACAAAGAAAGAAATGGCAATATATCCCCTAAGGACTTCAAGTTTCAAACTTTGTTGAAATATAGGACGTTACTTATCAATGAAAAATAATGTTTTTAAAAATAATACTGTAGTTTTAGCTTTGTGAAATATTTGGTTTCAGTTAATTAAATGTCAGAGCAGTAAGCAAAAGAAACGTAAAAGTATCAATTTTTATATGCAAAACATATTGTAAACTAAATGTTAATTTTTAAACATTGATATTTCAGGAACAGTTCATCCAACTTTGGAAGACACTTTATGACATGTTCCAAGAGCATAGTGAGGAACAATCTCTTTATCATTCCATAGCAACCGTTGGTACTCTACTTCTACAAATAGGTGAAGTTGGTAAACAGTTTTACCTAAAATCAGAGAAGTCAACTAATAGCAATACAGAACCAGAGGGATTCATGGTTGGAAGTATGGACTCTGAAGTGGATACGAAACCTTCTGTAGATACTGAGCCAGCAGTTGAAGCAGACCTAGCAGATGATGCTTCAAAAATGGCGGGAAAACCAGAATCTAGTAATCAAACTGCAGTAATAAATGAAAGTGCAATTGATAAATGTGATATTAAATCCGAAGACAGTAATGATATTAAAATCCAAGATGAAATCAACAGCAAGAACCTTGACACTGACAATAAACCTGTTCAAGAAATTACTGAAGAAATAAAATCTCTTGGAGTTAAAGATGTCCAAGATACACAATCTGCCAAATCCAGCCAGCTATCTTCTCAGCCAATGAAATCAAGTGATAGCAAACAGTCGATATCATCAAGTTCTGGCATACCTAAGACGGACTCTGATTGGTCCATAACGTTTGAACAATTTCTTGCCTCCATACTTACCGAGCCCCCATTGGTGAATTTTTTTGAGAACCCAGTTGATATTCAGGATGCAATTGAAAAATTTAGAAATCGTCGTCTCATGGTAAAACAGTCAAGTTTTGTTGGAACTCCACCGAGTATATAGAGCTTCCCAGGTTAACGGTTGTTTGCTTCAATTTTTTATCACATGAAACACATGTGAATGAAATGTTAAGGGTATGGTGTGGCAACATTTAAATGCAAAATAAATGTATAAAAAGAAGAGGGAATAAAGTATATATAAAAGTTTGAACATGTAGGGATACCAGAAGATTAGGATTTTCAGGTATTTTTAAAGATATTTTGGTAGAAATTGGAAAACAGTTTATGGACAAAATCAAAATAAGACAGGCCATGAAATATAAATGATAACCAGGTTTTCCATTTTAAAAATGCATTTGCTGTTACATATTGTTGTATGTCTAAAGTTAAACTATACTTCAGTGTACTTTAGTGTTGTAAAAGTGCCCCAACCTCTAACTGTTCCTAAAATACACCAAAAATAGATCATTATGTTTTAGGGGAGTTATTCAGAGGTTGGGCCACTTTAAGATATATTTTGAATATTATGAGGGTCTTGCTATTGCAAGTTGTACAGTTGTTATTAACATTTTTTGTCAGGAAAACCAAGGAACAAATATCTGACACTATTATTAATATTACAGTACTGGATAAGGGTACATCTTGAACAAAATATTTTCTAAAAAGTCGTGATTGAGCGAAGAGTCCCCACATGTACAAAATCCAAGTGTTTAAAGGTCTACTCCTTATTCATCCTTGTGCATTTTCATCCGTTTTGCCTTATCTAGATTAAGTGCCAGTAAACTAAAATGCTTTTTGTACAGTAGACGTATCAGAAAAATTCAGAAAATGTAAACGGGTTGAAAGTTGATGATTAATGCAAAGGCATATAGAACTGATGAGGTTGTTTCATTTACTTAAGTGGAGGCTAGGTTTATATAGTAAATATACATGTAGTAACATTAGTGTTATATAACCTCTTGAATCCCAGGTTGGTTGAAATCAGAGAATTTTTCATTTTTGCCAGCTTTTGACATTTTACTACATACTAATATACAACAGGTGATGCTTAATTTAGTGAAATTAGTTGGCAGGGATCATTTCTACACATTTTAAAACTTTTTTGTGTAAATTGGATGAAATTTGTCCAAATTAGAACAATTTTAGTGAAAGAATTTGTGACAAATCATTTTGTCACCCTGGGCTTCAAGGTTATTTCTCATGTTTACAAGAAATCTCTTCACACCTCAGAGGTTAATAATAATTTGAATCCATAATTCAACATATAAACATGTGGTGCAATTGAGAATTCCATTTACAAAATATTTAGAGTACTAGTTTGCTTTCAAAATAATGTGTTGGCCTTATAATGTCTCCCCCTCCCATTGTCCTTGCAAACTGACTCCATGCAACATTAATAGAACATAAAGATTGATTTTATTGTATTTATTATCTATTGTGACAGAAACATGCGACTTATTAGCATAATTAGCTATAATCTAGGGTAATTGTTTCAGTAAAATATAAAAATGTCTTTTCATCCATCTTCAACAAAATGAACATATAGTAATTACGATGTACATGTATTTTAAAACAGTTAAGTACAAAGAATTTAAAATATTCCCAATAGTGTGCATGCCTTGATAATGAATGGTATGAACAATATTCTAATTATATGATACATGACGTCACAATATCTAGAACAATTGATTTAGTGGTCTATATTGGAGTATGAATAAAATTTTCTGTCATATATTATGCCATAAATTATAAAATCTCGGTCTTTATTCCTTAATTCTAATATGGTACATGACATCACAATAACTAGAACAATTGATTTACTGATCTGTAATTGAGTATGTATGAACCGATAAATTTCAAATACCGTAGTGTTTTTCTGGTCTATCATATAAGAATCATAACAAAGACCTGATGATTTATGGCAAATGTATATAAGGAATAAAGACTGAGAATCTATGATTTGTGGCGAAATATATAACCTCAGGCTTTATTCTGGGTATTTCTACGTGATTTTGGTCTTCTAACAATGAACAGAATAATATTTTCAGTCATATATTTCACAACAAATCATAGGATCTCAGTCTTTATTCCTTAACTATAGGTGCATGAGGTAGATTTTATATGATTCATTGATAATATTTAATTTATTTATGAAATAATGTTAGATAACGCATGAAATGCACTTTGTTAGTGCATGTATTTAATATATTGTTTTTCATTTTGATTTTGAGGGAAATGGTCCCTTTAATTTTACTATGGTACTTACTGGGATCTATGGTTGTAAGGTATGCATATGCATTATAAATTGATGCATAATTATAACAAAAATTGAAAAATAAATATGAATTTATTCTTTCACTACTACTTGACTTGATTTACTGTCTGAGTAGTGAAGATCAGAATAGAAAGGCTTAGTTGCATTTGTCAATGCACTCCCACATGTGTATCTACACACATTCCCAGTGGTTAAAAGTCAATTAGGGAGTCTACCATATTCCTCTCCGCTTCCATAATTGCATCGATGATATTAAAAATGAAAATGATTACAACAATTTTAATTCACAGTCCTGCATACTAAACAATCCCATTCTCCAAACCCAGAGTTGATCCATATTGGAAAGGAACTACATGTACCTAATCTCTGCATATGGAGGATTACCAAACAATGTGAAAATTATGGTGCTTACAGGAACCAAAATGTTCAGTGTTAGTAATGTTAATCTTTTTAGCTTTTGTCATCGTGTTTTGTAAGCGACACAGTGCTTCCTCTCTTTTTCTTGAATTGACGCTCAAGTTGTTTGCGCTCATCTCGCACAGCACTTTTAATGACATCAGACATGGTACCAGCGTTGTCGGATGTCAGCTGCTGCTGCTTCTCAAGTGCAATCAGATTTGATATGATGTCACCTTTTGTCTGGAATATTATAGCAGAATGTCACATTTTATCTGGAATATTATAGCAAAATCGATGTCACATTTTTTATTATTGAATATTATGACAGAATGTCACATTTTATCTAGAATATTATAACAGTATCAATGTCACATTTCATCTGGAATATTATTACAAAATCAATGTCACATTTTTATTGAATATTATGACAGAATGTCACATTTTATCTGGAATATTATAACAGAATCGAATCAATGTCACATTTTATAATATTGAATATTTTGACAGAATGTTATGTTTTATCTGGAATAATATAACAGAATCAATGTTACATTTTATCTGGAATTATGACAGAATGTCACATTTTATCTTAAATAATATAAGAAATGTCATGTTTTTTCACATTTCCACAATTGGCTTAACCATTTTTTTTTCTTATATGGCAAGGCATAAAAACAACAAGGATTTACCAATAGGCTTGAAATGCTCTGCCCTCAGAATCTGATCTTAAATTGTGCAAATTATGCACAGTGTAAAGCTGATGTATTGATCTACTTACTGTAGTGTTCACCTACCTTAATCTTCTCAATATCAATGTTTGTTGTATCAAATGTGTCAATCTCGTCCTCATCATCAGAGTCAGGAGTGTTCATACTACATACAACATCAAACACCTAGAGTGTAGAATACAGAAATGGTACAATGTCATTGAATGAAATGTTGGATCATACTACATACATCAAACACATAAAAAGGTACAATGTTATTGAATGAAATGTTTGATTATACTACATAAAACATCAAACAACTAAAGTGTAGAATACAGGAAAGGTATGAAATGTTGGATAATACTACATACAACATAAAACACCTAAATTGTACAATACAGAAAGGGTAGAATGTGACTGTCATTGAATGAAATGTTGGATCATACTACATACAACATCAAACATCTAAATTGTAGAATACAGAAAGGGTAGAATGTGACTGTCATTGAATGAAATGTTGGATCATACTACATACAACATCAAACACCTAGAGTGTAGAATAGAGAAAAGGTACAATGTCATTGAATGAAATGTTGGATCATACTACATACAACATCGAACACCTAGAGTGTAGAATAGAGAAAAGGTACAATGTCATTGAATGAAATGTTGGATCATACTACATACAACATCAAACACCTAGAGTGTAGAATAGAGAAAAGGTACAATGTCATTGAATGAAATGTTGGATCATACTACATACAACATCAAACACCTAGAATGTAGAATACAGAAAAGGTACAATGTCATTGAATGAAATGTTGGGTCATACTACATACAACATCAAACACCTTAAGTGAAGAATACAGAAAAAGTATAAGGTACGTTATTGAATGAAATAGGTTTGAATAAACATATACAGTCATCTAGCGTTCGAACAATAGTGTCCACCCAGGATTCTTCCAAGGATATCATTACTCATAAAGGTATAATGTAGTTGTTTAAAAAAATGATTACTCCCTAGAATGTTTTGTATTTTACATGATTATCTTAGTTGGAGTAATTTAAGGCGAGGATATTGGACATCTAATTTTGCTAAATGAGAAAGATAACTTGAACTACCTTTTCTAGGTCCTGTCTTATCTGATGATATTCTGCCAGGTTTTCCTCCAGGGCTGTTAGTATGAGATAGAAGTTCTCAAGCTTCTCCGTGCTAGCATACTTCAGCTCCTATATTCAATAAAACTGTCATTGTTTAGCAATCATAGTACATATGAAAGGTGTACTTTAAAAGAAAGCTTTGCCCAAATATGAATACAGAAAATATTCACATATACTACTCCTTTAAAAGATAATAACCCAAGACATTCTAAAACATTTCAGTCTGCTTCATGATCAACAATGATATGTCTATTATTCTCAAGACAGAACATGTATGGAAATAAGATGAGTTATTCATTTCTTTATATAACTTGTAATCATTACTTTGGCTTGAACTGAGTTTAGCATAACATATACTCTTGCTAAATGGGCCCAAGACCAGAATCATGTCCATTTAGCAAATAGATCACATTAGGCAATGGAGAATCTGCTCAGTTTGAGAGATTCGAAATGTGCTTTTGATTGGTCACTTCTATTTATGTATATGCCACCTACGGAAAGTTGAATAGGAGTCTGTGCAGTAAGGTCAACTTTTACTTGTGTATCCTTCAGCTTTACTATATTGACTGCATCTGCATCAGTGTGTGAACTGTCCCCAGTGCTGACCCCTGCTGGGGCCAGGTTATCCTCCAGTGCTTTATTTTCCTGCTTTAACTCCTTCATAGCAAGTTCCTAAAATATAGAAAGGAAATACAGAATATACAGAATATCACATCATTTTGAGTGATATCATTTTTATCGCCGAGTTGATAGCAAATATCAACACGAGTGAGCGAAGGGAATGAGTGTTGATATTTGATATCTACGAGGCGATAAAATGATATCACGAGAAATTATGTGATATTGGGTTTATCCCATGATTACAATCACCTTGTGATGTCCTGATCCAATTTCCAGGACATTGGCAGACAATATAAACTAGAAATTAGAATATCAATTGAATATTTGAAACACTTTTTTTAACAATTAAAAGTAAATAACATGATATAGTTCGTCATAAATACCATTTTTAATCGTTTGTTAGCAGCCTTCTAATCAAATTATATACACAATCGTAATTAAATACACCAATGAAACTTAAAGAGAATAAATTAACGGACCTGTTTTCTCAAAAGAGAATGAATTATCCGACCTAATTTCCAACAATATTGTGGCGCGAAATGCAAATGTGATATCACACGGATATGCGTGAGATAAACGATATCACACGCATATGAGTTTGATAAACGATTTTCTGGAAAATATCACACGGATTTCAATAATATCAGAAATATCAATAGCTGTTATTGTACAGATAACACATTAATCGTGGGATAATATAGGATATCCTATGATTTTGAGGAATATCATTTTTATCTACGAGGTGATATTGATATCTGCACGAGAGAGCAAAGCGAACGAGTGCATATATCAATATCACCGAGTAGATTAAAATGATATTCTAAAAAAAATCATAGGATGTTCTTATTATCCTACACTTACAAGGAGTGTACTAAATGTATAATATCATTGCAAAATGAATTTCATGCCAAATGGAGTCAATTTGGCAGGAAGTCAACAAGCGGAGTATATCGTCACAATATCCTCCGCATATTGGGTTTCCGGAGTATATCGTCACGATATCCTCCGCCCGGAGTATATCGTCACGATATCCTCCGGTTATTCATTTTGCCAATAAATATCAAATTTATTTTTTAATGTTATTATACATTTAGTACACTAAGTGTAGGATAAAAGGGAATATCCTCCCAAAGTTAATTGAATTTCATCATCCTGAATGTTAAATACTGTATTCTCTAGTTATCTTCAGTGCTGTAAGGGATGTATTTGTCATACAGAATGTAACTTACTATCCACTACCATGTTACTATTTGAAACAAACAAATCAACTCACAAGGTTTGTAACAACGACTGCAACAACCAAGTTTGCAAAGACGAAGGCTCCCACCATAATTGCACAGAAGAAATATATGGCACCTCCAATATGCAAACCTTCGGACTTGCCCTGAAATGTATTTCCAGAATATAAGTTAGTACATAATAATGTCACCCCGGATAGCGACGAGTAGTTGCTATATCACAATGGTATAATCAACTCCCATTGACCAATGGAACAATCAAGCAATCACATTAGAGATGGTTGTTGTATCACAATGGAACAATCAACCAATCACATAAGAGATGGTTGTTGTATCACAATGGAACAACCAACCAATCACATGATATATAGTTGTTGTATCACAATGGAACAAACAACCAATCACATAAAAGATGGTTGTTGTTGTATTAAAATGGAACAATCAACCAATCACATAAGAAATGATTGTTGTATCACAATGGAACAATCAACCAATCACATTAGAGACGATTGTTGTATCACAATGGAACAATCAACCAATCACATTATATAGAGATGGTTGTTGTATCACAATGGAACAATCAACCAATCACATAAGAGATGGTTGTTGTATCACAATGGAACAACCAACCAATCACATGATATATAGTTGTTGTATCACAATGGAACAAACAACCAATCACATGAAAGATGGTTGTATCACAATGGAACAATCAACCAATCACAAAAGAGATGATTGTTGTATCAGAATGGAACAATCAACCAATCACATTAGAGATGATTGTTGTATCACAATGGAACAATCAACCAATCACATAAGAGCTGGTTGTTGTATCACAATGGAACAATCAACCAATCACATTTGACATGGTTGTTGAATCACAATGGAACAATCAACCAATCACATTATATAGAGATGGTTGTTGTATCACAATGGAACAATCAACCAATCACAATAGAGATGATTGTTGTATCACAGTGGAGCAATCAACCAATTACATTAGAGATGGTTGTTGTATCACAATGGAACAAACAACCAATCACATAAAAGATGGTTGTTGTTGTATTAAAATGGAACAATCAACCAATCACATAAGAAATGATTGTTGTATCACAATGGAACAATCAACCAATCACATTAGAGACGATTGTTGTATCACAATGGAACAATCAACCAATCACATTAGAGATGGTTGTTGTTTTGTCACCAACAAAAAGTGGTGACATATTCTTATGGTCTCCATTTTTTTGAGGCAGCTGTTGGTGATCGGTGGATGGTGGTTGGTGATCAGCGGTTGGTGATCTGCAGTTAACATTCTCAAGGTCAAAAAAGTTTTTTTTTCAACTTGCTTCAAATTACTTAAAATCTTTTTTTTCAGTCATCAGAAATTCAAATCTGACTTAAAACTGAACTCATAATACTGTAAGCAACTAGGTGGTGACATTTTGTAATGTTAATGCCTTGTATTACAATGGAACAATCAACTAATTGTTACCTTGAATCTGTCAAATATCCCCACCCATCCATCTTGTGTGACACATATAAACAGCGAAAACATAGCTGTAAATAGAGAAAACTGCTATTTAGAAAAATAAGGTTACACATAAATTTTTACACTATTATATGCCTTAGGGGTCTACACGTGAAAGTTTGTCGTATCAAGGTATGGTTAGGGCATGAAACACTCATAAAATCTTCTTAGCATGAAATATCTGAAAATACAAAACAATAAAAAAAAACTTAATAGAACCCCAATCACCAGGTTCATCTGAAAGATGTGATCAACCCTATAATTTTTGAGTCTTTGCCTTTAATTTTTGAGTCTTTTTGCAATCTTAAATAAAAGAAACAAGTTTAGCCACCGTGTCCTTTTTAGAATGCGCGATTCTGCTGAACCTTGGAATAATTCCCAGGCTGAACAAACCGGGCTTACCTGATTCTAAATCTCCAAACCTATCTGGGACTTCTTTATTAAACAATGTGACACCAGCTACAGCAAACACCAAAAGAATAATAGTCAGAAGAAGAATGATGTTAACCATATCTAGTGAAAAAGAAATAATCGTCAATCATCATAATTTTTCAGAACAATATTTTTACATTTTAATAAAGACATTTAATAAATAAAATGACACCACCTGCCATTTGTGACAGACACCGACCGCCGAACATCGTCCACAAAAAATGATCATTTGGAGATAGCTATCATAGATCACAACTGAGTGGTAAATGAAAACGAAGATGGAAAAACTGACAAAAATGTACACTAGTCACTTGCAAAGTATGCATGTTATGCTGAGCTCGTACATACCTGGTATGGACTGAAGTATGGTCTGCACGACTAGAGAGAGGCCAGCCAAAGCACTGACACTGCGTAAACTCTTAAAGGCCCTCAGTACCCGGAGTATTCTAAGGATTCTACTACTACCAAGGAATGTGAGAGCTAAAAACACGAGGAATATTTTATGATTTCAAAAACAAGTCCTTTATTAACATATTGTCCCACTATAAGTCCAATTATTTAGCCCGTTTGTATCAATTAAATTTTCATTTTTATATTCCATGAGAGAGTGGAACGGTTTTGTTAAAGACCACTCTCGCCATAAACTGCTCATGACGTAAACATTCGAAAGCAAATTAGATCCTTTAGGCCAATCCAAACTTTTCAGTTTGCCAAATGACAGATAACCTCAAACAAAAATTGCAGGTATAAAAGGAGACTGTGCTAGATCATAAAACACATAGGCCTACTTGGTCCGAGGAACAGTGCAAGGATAATAACGAAGTCCAATATATTCCAGCCGGTCTTCCAGAAGATCCAGAACCCGTGGAACCACTTGATGATCAACTCACACACAAAGATCGTGAGAACAAAGTTGTCGAATATCGAGAACACGTAGGCGTAGTCAACAGACTGAAACGTGATGAATACGATGCAAAGTATAACCGTAATATCATATTCTCGATATACAGGGTGGTCAAAAATGTTACAGCACTTTGAACAACACGGGTCAGGTGTGGCCATCATCACGATATTGGCAAACCTGAACAAGTTGTCAAAAAACCTGAACAACTTGTTGATGATCTGACTGCATTCCTCAGCAGGTATATATGGGCTGAATGGCACGGATGATCTCCTTTTTTGACATCTGCAATTATCCTCTGGTCATTCTCGAACAATATCTTTGACTTATCCCCACAGATAGAAGTCAGGTAGGGACATTTTGGACGACATGTACAGGGTTGCCTAAAATGCAATATTGGCCAACGGGGCATGTTGCTTAAAGTGCTGTAACATTGTGATTATATGTCTGATAGTCATTAAATGCAGTACGCTGGTTGGAAATTGAATGGTGTACAAATGTACCAAATATGAAGGAGTAAATCCTAAAATAACAAAGATTTGGGGAAAACTGCGCCAGCGTTTCCGTTTTCTGACCACCCTGTATTACATTACTGTATCATAGTTATTTGTTCCCAGAGAACAACATGTATTTGTTCAATTCCAAGGACGAACAATTCTTACCATTTGTTCGTCTGTCTGTAGTCCAATAAGAATTGAGTTGATGACAATGAGACCGGTGATCACAGATCTGAAATGAGAAACACCATGTGTTTACAGGGGTTTACTTTAATACCAATATTATTACTGGTAGTGATTGAACATGTGTTTTATTTCGAGGGATGGTAGAACATTTCCCAAAGGCAAGGATGGCCATTGTTGGTATTCTCTTTAATTCCGTTTACCTGAAGTATATACTGTCCACCATATTTCCCACCAACTCCTGTGAGACAAACACCTCAACGAAAGTATCGTCTTGATCAACGATGTCTTTGAAATCGATCTCCGGTGGTTCCTCAGAAACAAACAAATCATTCAGCGATGCCCCTTGTTTCAGCTGAAAATGTAACTTGGATATGGAATGCATCTCGAATCACGATGGAGCTGCTATTTTACATAGACGACTTTGTCATAGAAGTCTTGTCCAAATCATTTTGAAACGCCAATTAATTTTGATCGTCTTTAGATGCAAACTATCTTTTATCAATTAAAAACAGTCACTTACTGCAGCGTCATCAAAGAGAAACCTCCTCCTTACATCAGGCTCCCTGTAAATTGATATACAAACAGTGCCATTGAGGGAAATAGTGCAAAATATTTTCCCGAGTGAATATCCTGTTCTACACCAACTATGTATATTTCAAACTCAGCATAACAATTGATAGTAAGAAAGACAATGTTTACTAATTTATATCTCATCGAGCTACTTTATGATTATTGGTATTAATGAAGATTCTGTTCAATAATGCACCCCTTTAATTCATGTATATATACTCATTTGACAAGTTACACCGCATATGGAAATAAATCATTCAGTCGAAGAATGGTACAAAGTAGGATTTGTTTACTTACACTTCTACGCCAGGTCCAGCCGTTTTTCGCTTGGCCGCCAGTGACCACACACCTTTCAGACTTTTGAATCGCTAAAAAGGCATACTATATATTTCAATCGTCTGTTTCAAAATTAACTAAAAGCAACTATTAAAGGAACCTATGCTAAGAGTAACACATTTATATGTCCGGGAGACTCTACTTCGGTTTCATTTTACTGTATTTATAGAATCGATTTAAAACTCACATCTTTAATGTGTTTTTGAGCTTCAGTTTGCGCTTTATTTTCTTCCGAATCTCGTTTCAGCTTCTCTTCCGCAGTTACCTTCGTCGCACCCATTGTCGCTACCTTTGCAATCATCATTTGATTTACTTTCTAAATAAAAAGAGTAATAGTAAAGAGTACAAGAACCTATGGTCATTTGTTTGGAATAGAATTAATCAAATTAAGACACTGGCTTTCAATGCCATGCCTTAGTTTAACTTCATTTTAAATTAATTATCCAAATCTAAATAATGACATCAAATATCATCGCTCATTTTAAGCTTGTACGCTTTCACATTCAAATAACTTACCCCTTTAAACCTGTTTGAAGCGGGGCTAACCGGCCTTTTATCTGGATCAGAGGCCATGGTCAATGATGCTGATCTTCCACGTGGATATTTGGCGGGAAATAAAAGTCAATGCACCCTTTGCGAAGAAACAAAATGGCGCATTAGCGTCTTGGATATAATAGCGATTGTAACGTCATGTACTGCACAATACCCTTATATTGTATCCATGATAACAGAGTAACGACAACATCTCCACGTGATGGAATATGATGTCACACACTATTGGTGAAAAGTTTGCATTTTATTTCAACTGATCATTCAAATATTTTTCTTAGTAAGCTTACGGTTATTTATATAAATTAAAAATGCATCGTGCATACCAACCAATTACTCCCGCAAATAACAAACTGCTGAAGAAACGATGGGATCAACTCAGATTTGACACACATAGAAGAAAGGTTACGTCAGGTAAGGCAAACACGAGTCAAAATCGGAAATGTCCATTTTTGCTGCAAGCTTAAACCATGGAGGTCACCTACATAATCATGCTTACACTTGGCACAACGTTTAATATGACAGTTATATTTAAGAACAATGGTGTCATTGCAGTTGTATTGCCCATCATTTCAAGAACATTAAATACAAAGCTTTTATGCCAGTTACAGTGTTTACGGAAGATGTCAAACGCTGTCAAAAGATCGTTTGCACTGTTTTCTCGACATGCATATTTCAAGCAAAATATAAACTGAATATCTTTCGTAATCTGTTTCCAGCACAAGCTGTTATTGACAACAAACCACCAAAGACATACATGCACTTACATTTAAAATTGAAGAAATTACAGGTACAGTATTATCCCATTATCATTCAAGTTAGTACAGATAAATACCCATCAATGCACTTAAGGAAACGAATTCAGTGTACACCACTGGTAAGTGCTGACCTAACAATGTATAGGTAGGCTGCCAATGTATGTGGTCGTATGAAGTATGTCATCAACGTACAAAACAGCTATCTATGAACATGCATGTCTTCTCATGAATGTCTTCTCACTGTACACGTCAGGCGTCAATGTGCATGTATACTGGTATTGTATAGTCATCAATGTACAAGTCAACCAGTATTCTACTTGCAAGGCATCAATGTACAACATGTACAAGACGGGCATTATTGTTGTAAGCCATTAATGTACATTATTGTCTATGCGAGCCATCAATGTAAGTCATTATTCTATATGTAAGCCAATAATGTACATGAAAGTTATCAATATACAAGTAAGATGTTACTGTATATAATATGTAAGCAATCAATTTACAAGTAAGCCTCGTCAGTATACTTGTAAGTCACCCATAAATTTACATGCAAGTCAATAATCTACAAGTAAACCATTATTGTATATGGGTGAGTAATTAATGAAGAAGTCACCCATAAATTTACATGCATGTCAATAATGTACAAGTAAACCATTATTGCATACATATAAGTCAGTAATGAAGAAGCCAGCCATCAATGCCTTTAATGTACATGCAAGTCATCAATGTACATGTAAGCCTTTAATGTACATGCAAGTCATCAATGTACATGTAAGGTTTTAATGTACATGCAAGTCATCAATGTACAAGCAAGCCTTTAATGAACATACAAGTCACCAATGTGCAAGCAAGCCTTTAATGTACATACAAGTCATCAATGTACAAGTAAGCCTTTAATGAACATACAAGTCATCAATGTGCAAGCAAGCCTTTAATGTACATACAAGTCATCAATGTACAAGTAAGCCTTTAATGTAGTTGTTAACAGAAACAACTCAAAGTTAATGATCCTGAATATATTAATATTAGAACAATTTTGTTCTAATATTAATGTAACCATCTATTTCAAATTAAGTCTGGCAATGTAAATTGGTCATAACTCAATATAAATTAGTTTGAACAATTCAAGAATCAAACAATGAACAAAAAGTTCTTTTCTTAGATGGAGGAAGAGAGATTAGCCACTGTGGAAAGAGATAACCGCATCCTACTTGAGAAAATGTCATTCATAATGAGAACAAGGGGCAGGGTGGATAACAAGAATGATTATGAACATAAAAGGTAATAATATTGAAGTTCAATTAGGCATAATATAAACATCATGATAGAATGACCTTTTAATTATGAACTAGCGTATTCTCTTTAAAATGTTACAGATCCAGAAAATGATCCCATTATATCAAGATCTGAGAAATAAATATTTGTTTCATCTTGCACATCGATAGAACTGCAGTTCCCATTTCCAGTTTACAATTTTTGCTTGTGCTATTGATATTGTTTGCGTCAGTTAATAATTTCCGATTGATTTGTTTGCATCAATTTAAAATTAATTTTAGAAGTACTATAATTCCTTTTGTGTATGGGTTTCAGCTTGAACAAAACTGCTCGCCAGAGGGAGCTACTGAGAGTAACCCATGAGAACCAAGCTATTTTGAAGCGTATTTCATCCAAGGAGCCACATTACAACCACATGCAGTGGGAAGATGAATGGAAGGTATGACCTGTACAAATCATTTATGCAACATGTATATGTTAAATGTATCAAAGGAGTCTTATTGAAATACAATCTTGTGTTTATATTTACATCTCGATAATACTTCAGTTTGTATGTATCTTTTATGTTGATTTTATGAAATGCAAAATTATCATATCAAAACATATGTATATGAGAATACAACACACTAAGCTGTTTACACAATTATGATATCAAGTGAAATATTTCTGCTATTTATCTTCCAGGTGAACCAGAAGTATATGATGTACATTGCTAATTACCCAGTTGATTGGAAAAACAAGAAAAAGACCAAGAAAACAACTTAACCTTAATTTAGTGACTGAATCGTGTAATATAAATACTAGTAAACAGCTTTGAGAGTTTGAAATATATTTATTGCAATAAAAATACCAAGAAATCAATCATGGAATGATGTTTGTGAGACTATAAATATAATACAATCGCTTAAGAATAATTTTTTAATAATTAATACATAATAGCGATTATCCAATATATGTTGAGAAATTAGTGATTGCAGTTACTATAACAGCAATATGTCGGAACTTGAACATTTCCATTAAACATCAGTTGTTTTGAAAAAGCATCTACATTCTCAGGTCACATAACTGAACAAGCAAAATAATGTTTTTTGCTTTTTATTTTACAAAAATGTATACTATACATATAATGCAGGAGATTTTACTATTTAATTTATATGTTTACAAATAAAAAATAAAAATCTACTTCTCAAACTTAAAGCAATCGTTTTAGACCTTAGATGGTTCAGGATTTTATTTTAACCTTTTTTTGCTTCATAAATTGTTATGTAGAAACTGAAGGCATGAAACTGTCCATACATTTCTAATTAGATGTAGTACTGTAATTTATATGTTAAAGTCCATATAAACAATTGTCATCATATTCAGTAAAAGATGCTGGGACTGCTGTTCGACGATGTCCCATTTGGAACATTGACCCCGAGGTAGGTATTTTGTAAAATCTCATTTCTTCTCTTTCTTTATTGTCCCCATTGCTGATATCACAATAGGTTTGTTCCCAGAGGCACTAGTAGTCACTGACATTGATGAGATTGACACATTTTTATTGTTGGTTGAGTCCCACTTAGTTTTACGTTTGTCCCCTGTAACACACGACAAAGAAAAATGAAAACAAGGCATTAACGTGACAAAATGTCACAATCGACTTGCAATTACAAATGTAAGTATTGTTGAAAAATTTTGACAAAGCTTCGAGCCAATTTAGTGAGAAATTCTGTGACAGATACATCCATCATTCTGGGAATGAAATTTTTTTAACATTTTTAATACATTCGATTTTCATGATTTGAAAATGAACTCAAGTATGTGCTTGAATAATTGGTGAATCATCTAATGCACTTTGTAATAGCGAACAAAAAGTTGATTCAAATGTTTCAGCAGTTATCTGAAAATCCAAAGGTTCATATCTTGAAAGCAATTTCAATAAATGGCCCATGAGCCAAACAACAGGAGGAAATGTAAGACAAGAACAAACTATCCCTTTCCATTATTTATTGATTTTCATACATAAAATGTTATTCTAGATATTAATTATGTCACAATAGGCAAATGTGGAGACATGTTCATATACATGTAAATGTATTTAGAAATAAAACACATGACTAACCTGACTCTACAACTCCTTTTTTGGTTCCAGAAAGAAACTCTATTTTTGTCCTGTCTTTTTTCTCTTTTTCTCTTTTATCCATCTCAACTTTCTGAACTTTGGCTGAAACAAAGATGTCAAGATGTTACAAGTTAGTTGATTTAGTTGATTAGCAAGGATTTCACACCTATTTTGGATTTTTCATAGAACACAGTATTAATTTCTCAATGCTTGATTTTCATGTATTAATAAAATCCTGACAATATTGTCTGTTGATTGATACAATAAGCTGTTGTCAGTTAAAAAGTACAATACTATTCAATGGTGTTGTGTCATATATGCATAAAACGCCATGGTCCACTCTCAAAATTTAGAAATTTTTATATTGAGCTGCCCCACACTTTAAAAATGGATACAAATGGCCAATAGTTTACATTTTAGAAGTCCATATTAGTTGGAATTTCGTACAATGTAATTCAAAATGCCCCAGAATACTTGTTCGCTTCGCTCAATCGTGACGTACATTCACAAAATACCCACACTACGCCACTGTATTAACTGCTACCGAGGTACTGTTGCTTTGCTAATGCTATGTAAACATATACAAAATTGCATACATCTTACAAAGACACTAAATCCTTACCTAATTCATCATAGAAGGATTCTTTTCCCCAGAAATGAGGGTCATAAATATCTGGGGGATAGTTGGTGCCTTTTTCATCTATACCACAATGTTCTATCAATTTCTCATATATGCTGGAAACATAAAGTATATATTAAAAATACATGTTATGATAAATATCCTGAAATTCATTTCACTAAAAAATTAAATGGCAATATCTTCATTATGGATTTCATGCAATCCTAAGCTATACCATATGATAAATGCCATAGCAATTGGGAAATATTCAAGTATGACTGCTTTTGATCCTATTGAAGAGCACTGGAAAATGTCATGCCTGGATTCAAAAATACAGATTATAGGTTCACCATTTACAGTGAGGTAAATTTCACATTTCATGCTTATTTCTGTTGAGTTTTCATGTTTGAATCACAATATTGGGCATGAAGTTCAAAACTATAACTATATTGCCTATCAGCTGAGTTCAGGGGTTTCATTAGCAGCAGGCAACAGGCGATTTTCACTGATTATTTTCACAAATTGCCTGTTGTTTTAGTTAAATTTATGATTTTCATTAATTTTGCTGTATGTTGTTTTCATTTATTTAAGCTGTTGTGAGAAATTCTAGTGAAACCCCTGTGAGTCCCTCTTTTTTGAAAAATACCAAACTGAAAAATACCATACATCTAACTAGGATAAGTGGTAGAATAAGGATATATCACAACAGTTATTTTGGGAAAATACTCTGTATCTGCTTGTATTATTATTGTTACCTTGGGTTCCTAAAATCTTTTCTCCTTTGTATTGATTCATTGAGATCTAGCCCTGTGGTACGCATCTTATGATAGGATCTAGTAATCTTGTCCTAATAATGAAAAAAATTCATAAGCCATTCAAATTGTGAGATCACTAATTATTGATGATGCAAAGCAACAAATTATTTCACTGTAGGGTATTTAGTTTTACATAATTTGTGATTTATGGTTTACAGAGTTTTGTGTTATTTTTCCTAGCATTGACTTTTGTGCCGTTTCATATTTATGGCATAATTGGACTGCCAAATATTTGAGATTATAAATGTTGAACTAACCTGCAACTGTTTTGAGCATTTACCAGGGGGTTCAGGAGGTAGACTAATTTCATCTGACGACATATGGCGAACTTGTCTCGATAATGATGCTGCAAATAGTAAAGCATAAAATCATAACAATAATTGAAATACTTATCAAAATTTGGAAATGACTTAATAGTTCAGTGTTTTTGAGATATTTCTAAACAAGGATCATTGCATCTACATCTAAATGGCCAAAACTGATCAAAATATATTTTTCTAAAGATCTCAACTTACATTACTTCAGTATGTAGTGATATCATTTGTAGGGTCTTTTACAGCAGAAATGTGTTATTATCTACACTTTTCAAATAATTTATTTGTGTAATTTAAAGAGAGAATCAGATATAGCGAGCAGGCTAAACAAAAAATTCTTTCAATTTTAGAATATTTTTGGCTCAAGTCATTCCTTGTCATGTCTATTTTCTAAAAATCACAAAAGTGCATATATTATTCCAGGGAAACTAAAGATTTTTACAATAATGTATTATTTTTCTATAAGAATGGTTACCATTATCATACACCTTATACGCCTTATTATTTGGGAGAATTTAAACATTTTTCACTCATTTTTGAACTTTGAATCGTTAATATCTTCACCAATTTACAATATATTGTGAATCTTTTGGGAGATATTGTATTTGATATTGTAAGGAATAGATTGGTAGGTCAACTAGAAAAACAGCAACTCAACGGAGTAGCAAATCCCACCAAACAAAACATATTATGCTTATTATAGCTAGTGTAAATGTTAAAATGTTTGTGTACTTTGTGATAAAAGCATGAAATTTGGCACAAAGTTAGTTTATACCATTGTGAACTAGGCATCATCATATAAAATTTGAACCAAATCCGTTCACTGGTATATGAGTTATCAAAGATTACGTTTTTACGAAAATTGGCCGCCATCTTGAAATTCAGCCGCCATCTTGAAAATTATTTCTTGAACAGAGCTACTGTGTCCCTAGGCATAATCATATAAAATTTCAACCAAATTTCAACCTGTTCACTGGTATTTGAGTTATCAAAGATTACGTTTTTTAAGAAAAATTGTCGCCATTTTGAAATTAAGTGAAATTTTTTTTGTCGAATATAGCTACTGTGTCCCTAAGCATCATCATATAAAATTTGAACCAAATCCGTTCACTGGTATTTGAGTTATCAAAGATATATTTTTACGAAAAATGGCCGCCATTTTGAAATTAAGCGGCCATCTTGAAAATCTCTTTTAGGGCGAAACTCATTTGTCCCTAGGCATCAGCATATAAAATTTGAACCAAATCCGTCAACTTGTATTTGAGTTATCAACGATTACATTTTTTACGAAAAATGGCGGCCATTTTAAATTAAGCGGCCATATTGAAAATTCCTTCTCGAGCAGAGGTCCTACACTCATAAGGCATAAGCCTATAAAATTTGAACCAAATTCGTCAACTAGTATTGGAGTTATCGCCCGGACACACAGACGGACGGCTTCTCTATATCCCCCTCGAACTTTGTTCGGTGTGATAATTATACATGTTGCTTGTAATTTTGTCACCCCTTATAGATCAGATTCTGCCTTTAAGTAATTTAGAATTTAAGCCCTGGACTGCATTGTGGACTACTATTTCTCTCGTGCTGTTTTCAAATGCATCAGAAATGCAAACTTTAAGAAACAAAGCCTGAGTGGAATGAATCAGTCACAGTGCATCAAGTCTTGGGCTTAAATTCTTTTCACACAATGCTTTCAACAAAATCACATAAAAGATACGAAATCACTAAAAAAACATATTGTCAATGAAACCTTTTTCAAGGGTCAAGTTGGCAAAGCATCAATTTCAATCTGTAGAGTCCAGTTGTCACCTTGACATCCATTCAATGAATGACCCTGGAAGCGGAGATTTGTTATACAATGAACTGCAGTTACATGTGTATGCCTAGCTATGTGTGAATTTCTTATTAATAGATTTTAATAATGAAACAAAAATGTTTACTTACATGCCAGTTCAGAATCTAGGGATTTTGAGTAATCTAAACCTTGCTGAAAAGAACATGAAGATGGTTAGGTAAAAAAAAAACTACTGACATAAAACTATAAATCTCAATTGATCAAATCTTGATCATTAAAGTTTGCCTTTCTTTGCTAAGTTCCATTACAACTTTTGGTAATTTCCCTTTGGCACTAGTGCTTATATATTGATATATATACCATTTTAAAATACAAGGACATCTTGTCATCCAAACATTTGCCGATTAGACCAAAGGAGAAGAATTTTTAATCAAAACTTAAGTTGAATTGAATTAACTTTTGCATAAAATTAAAGATGTAACACTATGAAAATATCCCTCTTCAAGTAATCTTGGTAAAATGGTGCATTCTAACCACTTACCACTTTTTTCAAGTCTTTAATGGTACCATCATCATCGTCATCATCTCCTTCTTCCTCTTCATCATCACTTGATGTGAGCCTCGCCTCTTCATCATCCATGTCATCTGTGGCATATGACACCAGTCTCATCGCTGTAACAAACATGGCATGACATTAAACATTGTTCTAAGATATTCATATATGCAATTAATCTGTAGGCTAAGATATTTCATTTCTTTAGATATATTTGTTTCGTTGCTACAATGGCCAGGCTGTGTGTTAAAAATAGTCAAGCAACATTTAAAAAAATCTGGGTCAAAGAGTAAAATTAAAGCATATTTCTAACACTGTGACATATAAGTCATATGCCCTGTTATTCCTACACTCTCAATTCAATTCATTGATGGCCCAAAGGTTTTCAGTGTGTGTTCAAAGCTTTTCGTATATAAAAGTGGGCCTCTTGAAAATAGGCCTTATTTTAAAAACTGGCCTTTTTTAAAAAAGGGCCAAATTTTCCTTGAGTAACTTTACATCAACCCACCTTTTTTATCTCGTTTAGGAGGCTCTTGTATTTCAACAGACGATGCAGACTTTGGAGATGGTGAATGTGGACGCTTTGTGTTCGATTTTGCTGAACCTATATGGTGATCTTCCTCATCATCTGATATATTGTCCACTTCATTTTCAGTGTCTTTCCGAATCTCTTCTTCTTTGGACACATTTTGTTCCTCATCGGAATCCGCATCATACATGGCGAGGGACTGCATTGCTGAAGAACTATCAGTCTTTTTTAAATCCATGTGGTAATTCCAGTAATGGTTCAAAATGCCTGTGCTAGTCACATAAATTGCACAAAATGGCAATGGAGTAAAGGTACTTAGTTCTTGTGAATTTTTGTTTCACCAAGGATCCCTTCGTTATAGGCAATACAGCATTTCATGGCCTGTATTAGTCACATTAATTGCAATGTAGTATAGGGTAACTAATTCTGTACTATTTTGTGAGTTTTTGCTCCATCAAGGATCCCTTAAAATATAACATACAATGTAATGTTCTGGCTTCAAAGCAACCAGTTGAACCTTAAAAATAAGAAATCTAAAGATTATTATGCAGTAATGGAAAAACATATTCATACTGCACACAAATGACATTTGTACATTTCAGATTATTTAGTGTTTAGTGCAATAAGCATGTGCCCTTTAGTAATAAGAGGTCTATCCATGTTATATTTTGAGAATTAACATGGCAGTGAAGCATGAAAATATGAGAGGTTACAGACTTTATAAGCCAATTCACAAGCAATCCAAGATCAAGATTAATACAAATGGCATTTGTGTGCAATATGAATATATTTTTCTATTGCACAATAGACTTTAGATTTATTTTTTTAGGTTCAACTGGTTGCTTTAAAGCAGTTTAACAGACTGTAATAGATTTTCAGTTTCTATAGCTATTTGTTTGGTTCGATAAAACAGACTATGAATGTTGTAGTTAATTTTTAGATGGCACATATCATTTTGACTGTTGTGCCCTTCATTGTTATCATTGTTATTTGTTACCCTGACGTCACATTTCTAGATCTCGATGAATTATTGTTGTGTTTACTGACACTAATAGTTATCCCGTGCCAGGACTATAGTCCTGAGAACGTCTCAATCTTTTGCCTGTACAATTACAACATGGGAGAATTCTATGCCTCTTTTACTTAAGATACCTACTTTAATAGATTCCTGGGTATATTCGCATTCTTTTCATGTAGTTGAATCCACAATTATCTGGGTTTATCGGCAGAACGGGAACATTTTTCTTTTTCATCGAGAGAGACTCCATCACTTTTTAAAAGGGGATTCCCCGTTTGACTTAACAGCGTTTTATTTAGTGTTACCAAAAAGTGGGTCCAATGGACCCCACGGTAAAAAAAAATGGAGTCCAAACCAAAAAAAAGTGGGTCCGAAAAATTAAAGGCCTGAAACTAATTAAAAATGAAATTTTTTTTTCCTAATTACTTTGTTTTTCAATGTTGCCCCTTTTTCCTCCTCACTCTGATGTAAATTAATAAACTCAATATTCCTTTCTGACACATTATCAATCTCAATGAAATATAAAGATCAACATTCATTAGTTTGATATGTATTTTTGACTTGTAATATTTTATTTGTTTTCAAATGTTGCCCTTTGTGCTTCCTCACTATCATGTAAGATAATGCCAAAAAGATCAATTGTATTAATTAAACAGTTTGTTATCAAGTTTATGTGTAATACTAATTGTTAATAATAGTATTCATTGAAAGTTGGCAGGACAGTGATAAAGGTTTTTTGCTACTGACCCATTAATCTCAAAGCAATGAAGTTTTGGTTTTAGAAGGTCAATCAAAATGGTGGCCGAATTACAGTAAGATAATCATCTCAGTGTTTCTCTAAAACACTGCTGATTATCTGCCTATTATACTTAGATTTTGTCTTCACAAGTTAGGCCAATTTATATTCTTTCATTTGATATGTTTAACTAAATTGAAAGGTAAGATTTTTAAAAATTGCTGTGGAAATAAAGTGCGTCCAAGGGACTCGGGTGTTTTTTATTTTTCCGTCCAACATTATTTTTTGGGGTCCATCTAATGTAAGGACGGCGTTAAATAAAACGTAGCTTAGTATATATCCAATGATTGATAACCTTCGCATAGACATCGCGGCGATATTTTGTGCACATAAATTTCTTGTTTATTATAAGAATGTTCACCTTGAAAATTGGTGAATATGTTGAAGAGATGTTCATCTTAAACTAGAAACAAAAATATTTGTATAAGGCAGGTACAAGTTGATATAAAATAATGAAATGTTCAGACTCACCAAAACTTCAGGATGTGTTCATAAGTAGATCGCGAAATCAATGTCAAGGACTTTGAGTTCACAAGATCCAAACGAGATATGCAAATTTTTGAACTTTGACAGACACATGACCCAGACCACTTGATTACCTTGGGCTTCTTCATGAATATTCCCTCTCTATAGACTATTTACTATAAATGGCGAAAATCAATCGGGATAATGATAATAAATGACTAGATCTAATAAATTCCCGCACATATTGAATTTATCATTACGCTTCCGTAATGTTGCTCCATCCGCTCCACGTGTTATTTGTTTACAAATAGACTGACGTCACTGGTTAAATCTCATTTATCGTGAGAATTGGCATTGCCAAAATGGCTTGACCTTATCAATGCTGTCGCCTCAAGAAGCGTCTGTATTATCCCGTGCCAGGACTATAGTCCTGTTTGACTGGCCCGGAAGTACCAATAAATGGAGGAATTTGACGGTTGAAATAAGTTAAATATTTCACGCAAATATTGCGATCAAAAACGAAAATTTCTTCGTTCTACTGATAAACACAGATAATTGAGGATTCAACTTCACAAATGCTAAAATACAAAGGAATCTATTGAAGTAGTACACTATGGTCTGTCTGAAGTGAATCTACTATATTAGACTAGTACTAGACCTATATCAAAACCATTCATAGACCTCTAGTATGTATCCAACAGACTGACTAGAAGTCAGTCTGTTATGATGTACTACTTTCCTGTGGAAATTGCAGTGAAATTTTTTGCACAAAATTATCAATTAGGGGAACCATTTCTTCAATAAAATAAGCATTACAAAATTTCAATGAATTAGTAAGGTACAATTAAATGCAATAAAAAGAAACACAGCATATTGTCAAGTGGAAATAAAGCTAGTTGAAGTAACAAATGTGCAAATTAATTTTACCCAATCGGCCATTTTGAATAGCACTTCCTATGTAAACAAATATTTAAAATTACCAAACTTTAACATAGGTGCCTTATAGTCTGAATATAATTCAGACTAAATAGGATATAGTCTACATAGACCTTATCCCGTTCCCGGACTATAGTCCTGCACTGAGCGCATTCATTTGCCTGTACGATTACAACTTGGGAGAATTATCTACGCCCCTTATACTTAAGATACCTACCTCAATGCATTATAGAACTCAAGATGTAACTTCTAATATATTGGAACCGCCGATTGTCTGGGTATATAGGCAGAACGGGAACATTTCTCTTTTTCATCGAGAGAGATTCCATCACTTTTCAAAATGGCGGTTGGATTTAAAAGGGGAATCCCCCGTTTGGCTGTCCCGGATGTAGCCCGGAAGTACCAATATGGAGGAATTTGATGGTTGAAATAAGTTAAATGTTACACGCAAATATTGCGATCAAAAACGAAAATGTCTTCGTTCCGCCAATAAACCCAGACAATTGTGGATTCAACTACACGAAAAGAATGCTAAATTACCAAGGAATCTATTGAAGTAGGTATCAGAAGTGTAAGATGAGTAAAAAATTCTCCCATGTTGTAATCGCACAGGCAAAAGATTGAGATGTTCACAGGACCATAGTCCGGGAACGGGATAACATAGACCTCGTTGTTGTGTTGCATAAGCCGCTTTTTCCTCGGCAGTTAGTCTCTTGTGCTTTTTGTATATTCACTATGTACTTTCTCTTGTACTTTATTCACTTGTTGCGCAGATTTTCAAAGTGTCATTCATTATTCATATTTACATTCATATTATTTATTTATTTCTCTCTCTCTCAGCAGTCATTATCTGTACTTATATTTAACAGTCTCTGTCTGTTTCTTGGTTTGTTTAATGTTAGATTCTTTTAGTTGTCTTTAGATATGTCATTAAGAAATGTCTCATATCTCTGTTCTGTGCTTCATTAAGTGCTTTATGAAAGCCTGTCAAAATCTTTAAGTCTATATTTGGCTTGGGTCCTTCAATCCCTAGTAATTTCACTTCAGCCTTATGTAGCATGAGTTCACGTTCATCATAGAACTTCTTACAATTGAAAATGTAGTGGTGAACTGTCTCTGCACATTTGCAGTGCTCGCATTGGTTTGAGATGTCTGTCTGTATCTTAGACAAATGATCGTTTAGCTTGGAGTGTCCAGTAATCAGTTGATTTATCTTACAAAAGTAAGACCGATTTTGTTCATTCAGATTATTTTGGACTCCTACAGTTTCAATAATTTCTTGTATGTGTTTGACTTTTGTTGAGTTATCATATAGAGTCTGCCACTTGCTTAGGGCAGTTTTCTTTATAGATCTATATACTTCCTCTTTGCTTTGTTTAACAGAGGATGGGGGCAGTGTCGCTGCTTCCGCTGCTGCTTCCTTGGCATATGTATCGGCTAATTCATTGCCGTTAATTCCTAAGTGGCTTGGGACCCAGTAGTAGGTTAAAACATTGCCGCCCTCGCTCAATCTGTAAACCAGAAACCTGGAATTTTCAATGCATTTAATTTCAGACCTTGGTTTATTGCTACTGAAAGTGCTAAGAAGGGCTGGTTGACAGTCACCAAAGATGTGAATATCGTGGTTGTTAATAGATATAGAGTGCAGGAATTCTAGAGCAAGGTGCAAAGCCTGTATTTCCCCACAATAATTATTGCTTCTGACACTGATTGCTTTTTTCAAGCACACAGGTTCAGATTTGGTCCCGGCAAGAAATATAATCGCGCTTGACCCTGTTGGTCCTGGATTTGATAGAGTGGACCCGTCAGTGAATACAATCACAGATTTATTGCTCAGATTGTTGATTTTATCTTTGATGATTTTACACTGCTCAGTTTTACTCACCCCCGTTGTTTTGCTACCTTCGAAAATGTTAAGCAGGTAGGGTGGAAATTCTAGACTTGTTTTGTATTCTTTTTCGACTTCTGCATTCTTGCCTGTGCTGTTAAACTCTCTTATTCTTGAGTTTAAAATGCTGAAAGTTGATGGTTTTCTTTCTATATAGGTTTGATTACTCTTTTTCCAATTGTTGAGTGTTTTTGCTAGTGGGTCATTATCATTTTTACATAAAATTCTAGTGAATTCTTGACTTTGTCGTGTTCTAATATGTATATCCATATGTAAAAATCGAATAAACTCGAAATTTTTATTCAAAACACTGTTCAGATTTCAATCGCTACAAATAAAATGTCACGAGTTAGACAATTGAGTTTGTTGCTACTTCTGAGGAGAAAAATACGATAGCATAAATTGAGTACCTTTTCTCCTTAATTTCAGCTATGTAGTGAATAAATCGACATATAAACGAAGATCTTTTATCAAACTCCACTCGAATTGTTCGTGACACGCCAGGTGAAAGTTTCAAAACAACGCGTGCGCAACTTCCGGTAAGTTCAAAATATTTTGAAATATTATTTGTTTACATCATATCTTTCCATAAATTGCAGATGAAACGTCTATACGTTTGAGCTGAATATGAAACAAAAGTTTCTTATAAATTTCAGCCCTTCAGAAAGCTTAAAACTACCTCACATTGAATGTGAGTATGATTTTAAAAAACATTTTGGATTTTTTTTCAAGATCTCTGAGTCTGAGTAGGGCCTAGGCTCAGGGGGGGATATATGCAGGCCTGTCAACTGTCCCGCAATTTGCGTATTTGTCACGCATTTGCTGAAGAATTTGAAGTCACGCCAGTTATTTTTGCGTGACAGAAAATGTCACGCAAATACGCATTTTACCTGGTAATTGTCAAGCAAAAATTCTTCTTCTTCTTAGTCCTTTTCAGTGTTCCTTATAAGGTGTTCCGGGATCACTTTGGCATTATTATGCTGCCTTTGATCACTTGTTGCTGTTTTTAAAACTCTTTTTCATCGAGAGAGATTCCTTCACTTTCCAAGATGGCAGTTGGATTTAAAAGGGGATTCCCCGTTTGACTGGCCCGGAAGTACCAATAAATGGAGGAATTTGACGGTTGGAATAAGTTAAATAATACACGCAAATATTGCGATCAAAAACAAAAAGTTCTTCGTTCTGCTGATAAACCCGATAAAATTGATAAACCGATAAAATTGTAATAGGCTGATTCATAGTCATGACCTCACTTAAGAGTAGGTGTGGCTCAGGCACATCAATAGGCTGCTACCATAGGGAGTAAACATACTGTAGGCCTACTGATCAGGCTATATGGATTGGAGGGCCCCATCAGCTGGAAAACAGCTATGTTGAAACATTCCATAGGCAAAGCTAGTTAATGCTAGCATCCTTCAAATACATACATAGTCTGACTTTGCTCCCTGTCCTCTATTTGGACTATGAGATGGCATTTGATTATTAGATGATCATTTAGAGATCTCTTATTGTACATATTGATTACCAGGTCCACTAATGGTCTTTGAAGTGATCTACTATTAATGAAGGAAACAAAAGATAAATAAGTAATTAGGCAAATAAATAACATTGACATTTATTGATTAAATCTCCATTTTTAATGATCCTAATTATGATATGAAACTTTGAATGTACATTTTCTTTTGATGCCCAGGGTTTGATTACAAAGAATTTGAAATATCTCGTTTGACATTTTAACTTTATGACCAGCAGATCATGTTTTTTTTTGTAAAAATGACCAGTTTATAAATTCCGTAAAAACAGTAATGCTTTAGATTATTAAAAAAACACTTCAGATCAATGAAAAATATATGTGAAATATATGTTACTAGTATTCTTTATGGGAGTTAAGGTACCCTCATATGTAATTGTACTGTGTGTAATTTCATATTTTACTTTTTTAGGAGATCCCTAATTCTGGATTTGCAGTACTTTAGCAGTCTTGTTAATTAAAGATAAAGTATGGTCCTTTATCCTATGCAGGTAAAGTTAATAGGAGTCTTATAGAAGTTATCATTCAGGAAACACAAATACTGCCCTTAAGATGAACTCAATATATAAAACTTAACATTGTATGAATTTTCTTATCTGATATTTAGAATACATGTACATGTATTTATTACAGTGTATATTACAGGTATATTATAAATGATGTTTCCTGCAAAAATATTAGATATTCCCACTCCCAAAATTCCCCAAAACATGTTCAAGTGTGAAGTGAATATTTTTATTGTGTTCTTATCTTTATCTTTAAGTTACTTGACAAAATTATATGTAATAAATTTAAATGTTAGAATAACAGTTTTTGGCTCACACAGTGAGCCTGTGGGATCGACCAGGCGTCTGTCTGTCCGTTGGTCCATCCGTCAACATTGGCCACACAAATTAAAACTGCTATTCGGATTGAGTCATATCCACATTCATTTTATGCATATCCATAATGCCTATTTGACCACTTGTATCCAGATATTGTACTTGGATTCTGTTATTGTACTTGAATTCTGTCATTGCACATGTACTTGTATTCTAATATTGTAATTATATCCTGATATTGCATTTTTTTGTTAGATGGTTGAACTTGTGAGGAGAAAAGATGACAGAAGCTAAAGAAATTAAGGTTCAAGTTGCAGTGAGGGTAAGAAAAATGTGCTTGTTCTTGCAAACTTGAGTATTGTGACTCTTGTTTATCCTAAGATTTTAGAGAAGCTCTTCCATATGAATGCTAACCGTACTATTTGAGGAATACATAAGGGTTATGTACTGGGAGGTTTTGGATATGGGGTTTATCCAGAGGGAGATATGCATAGGGAGGGATGAACCCTATATCCAAACCGACCGTACATAACTGCTTTATCCTATACCAAGTAGAGTTTTCTCATTTTCTATCAATTTTTTTTCAATTTTTTTTTTATTTTTTCACATTTTTTCACATTTTTCTAATTTTTTTCCTATTTTTTCTATTTTTTTCTTTTTTTCAAATTTTTTCACATTTTTTCTTTTTTTTCAATTTTTTCTTATTTTTCAAATTTTGTTTTCGAAGCGGGAAGATATGCCCTGGAGCGGGAGATATGGCGGGAGATATGGAGGTTCAGGATATGGAAACCTCAAAATCAGGATACAGGATATATCTTACCAACTTATCTCCCTAAAACTCTACTTAGCATAGGATAACTAGTGTTATCAAAGTTGGCTTTCAGAGATCAACATCTGTATTAAATGGGAGGTGGTAATGTTTTGCATGTTAATGCCTTGTTTTGATATGACTTCACGAAGAATAAATACCGCAAACTTATACCACGCAAAAAACATTACACAGCAATCAGGTAGCCATAGCAATGGGATTCAAATGCGATGCTATGTGAATAAGGCCTCTGTATCGGCAAGCATCTGTTGAAGAGGATCAATAGAATCATATAGATAAGATAGATAGCTCTTCTTTATCCAGTGTCAGGACAATATAAGTTCCATTTACTCCAAGGCTAATTGACATTGGTAAACATGCTGCGAATTAGGATCAGTTTCGTACAAATGATCAATTTCATGAAAAGAAAATCATTTATTTCAGCTTTTAGCTTAATACTTTTAATGATATTGATGTTACAAACTAGGAAGAAGCTCGATGTTCAAGCTAATTCTTTATATCTGGCACAGTTTGTCTCTGAATGTGATCAGAATTGTCTAGATGTGGAGAAAGATCTACTAAAACTTGCTTGGAAAAATCGTTTAAATGCTGATATGATGGAAAAGTCCATCACTAATGAAGGGGATTTAGAAATATTTTACAAACTATGCAAAACGATATATGTGGAAAAACGCACTATCACATTTGGTATTCTTGGTGGATCAGCCTCTAGAACAAGGGAGAATCCAACTTATTACAGCACCGTGGCAGTGTTTGTAGAGAAGCTCTTCAATGTGAATGTTGAAATAGTTAACCGTGCTATTGGAGGTATGCCTAGTGTTGTATCAGCATATTGCTTACAGAGCATGCTAAATGTTTCAAACATAGACATTCTCCTGGTTGAATTTGCAATAAATGATAATGTAGCTGCAAGTGATATAAGAGGAAGGAGCATTGAAGATTTGATAAGACATTTCAATTCACTCCCATTTCGAGAACAGCCATTTATTATTTTCGCAAATTTAATATCAACGAGAATATTATATGATCCTGAAACCCCAAATTGCTTTAATGTGGAGGAGGAATATTTTAATCCAGTGGCCAGATATTATAACGTTGCTGCAGTATCATGGAAAAGAACAATATGTGATAAGACCCATCAGAATTTGACTGGTTTTCAACCAAGTGACTTATCGTCATCAGATATGAACCATCCCTCTGAAAATGGCCATCTACAACTTGGATATATGATTTCATATTTACTCTTGAAATTGTACAAATCATATAAACCAGCTAAAATCACATCAGATTTTAAGGTACATGATTCACCCTATGTGAAAAATACCTCCTCGACGAATGTACCTTTAGATTCTAGAGTATGGCTTGCCCACCCAGCATGCTTCATTATCAAACATGATTTTGAGGAACGCTGTAATAATGAAAATAACAACATTCATATTTGCCTTGAAGAAATGAGAGGATTTGAAATCGAAAAGGAACGTGCAAAAGTAATACTAGTGAATAAAGACACCAGAGGATTCCTAAAATTCCACTGTTCTATCGATGAGGATATGTTTAATCTTCAAAAAAGATTACGAGTTGGATTTACATTCATAATGGATACCGAGATTCTCTCTCCTAAGATTATCCAGTTGAAGATATTCTACAAAAATATCAGTTATTTGTCAGAAAATGTTGATCTACCTCCACACAAATATCACATCGGACAAACTTTTGAATCCAGACCTGTTGATCTTATTGCAAGGGAATTCTATGTGGTCATTCAGCCAGTTAATAATAAGACAAATGCATTCAATTTGAATTTACTTGCTTTGTTAGTAGGCTTGGAAGATGACATTGATAAAAACTAATGCTTTATACTGGAAATGTAACATACATGTACTTATTGCAAGTGAAAACATTTTAAAATATATCGGGTGCCCCAAAAAATGAATCACTTTTTGACAAGTATTTTCTCGGCAATTGATAAACCATATTCACTGAAATTTGTACAAGGTAGCCCAGAAGTATCTTCTTTGATACATACTTTTGAATTAATGTTTTCATGTTACAGTGCCCTAAGTGGTCGAATATGTCATTAGATCATGGTGTCTACACATTATATGGGAAGTTTTTTTCATATTGTGGAGTTGCTATGTCATAGACATACAAGCTTGGTGTGCTTGAAATATCAAATCCTAGTATAATGTCCAATGCAAAGTAGTTTAATCTGAAAATCTAAAATATTGATATTAACATTTACCATCCACTAGTAATGAGTAATGACCATTATCTTCTCCTGGTTGACCAATGACTATCAGGATTTTATTTTTGAATGGAAAATGTCAGTGAAATAAAACTCATTTTGATCTTAACAATTACAAACCACAAAATTATAAGGTAAATTCTAAATGTGTCCACCCGTGTAGCTCAGCGGTAGCGCAGGTACCTCTTACACAATAGGTCCCGGATTCGATCCCCGGTTCAGTCAAGACTAAATTTGCTTGTTTGCGTGAAGTACTTCAGGGTGTTTGACTGAGTGGTCCGCAACTCGTACAAAAGGCTGTGGTGTGTACTTATATGTCTATGTATTAGTGCACATAAAAGAACACAGGGCTCCTTCAAGGAGGGGTTTCTGGGTCTATCTTCCATGTTAATTACGTAAATTACGACCGTATATATACGGGACATACCCAAGAGGTATTGCTCACCTTCATTGGTGGTAAACAAAATACAATACAATACAATACATTAGAAATGAGTTAACGGTACATTTACATTCGGAAACTGAAGAACAGTAGTGCAAAAAAGTTTAATATTAAGTCAATAATGATGACTTGGAAGAGCTTGGAAGTGCCTTCAAGCACTTCAATGCTTTATTTAAAGGGACAATAGTCTTTTTAGTGGTAGTTTACATTGACTGTGGTATATAAGCTTGTTTCAAGCTTAATACCTACTACTTGTATGTATGGTGGAAGGAAAAATTACATGAATTGAATAGCAATTAAACTTTAAATTTGATTTATGATGTAGCACTTTGTAATAGAAAACCACTCATATTTAGTAATAAAAAGGTGGTCTTAGTTTTGAACCCTGTGGAATGCCACAATTAAATAAGAAATGATATGCTCTTCACTTGTGTATTAGTAAGTTTTTAGAATGTCATCAAAAGCAGCTTCTATATCAAGAAGTAGATGTTTGAAGCCTTGCCTCAATATATGACTTTTTCATATGAACTCAAATTCAGCCATCTTTACTTCCACGCAGTATGAACTATGGCCGTTAATTTGAATTTTTGACCTACCAGAAGAAGAGAAGGGCTTCTAACAGCTGGGGATGAAAACACTGCTAAAAGGCGAGGGACACTTTACAGTAAAGCAATGTACTGACAGAAAGGCAATTTTTTTCTTCTCTGAATGGAACAAGTTTGAAGAAAAATGGTGCAGTATTCACCTTTCCCCAAAGTCCAAAGTGTACTCATTTGACCGCTGCGCTGATTGGTCGATGAAAATCAATGACGTCAAAGCAGGGCACATTTCGCGCCAAAACTTCAATTACTATTAGATCGCCCAATGAGTGAAATAAATCTCATTATAAAATGATAACAAAACTAAGTGAAATATATTTTTCTGATTATTTTGCCTTAAGATGTGTCTTAAATACACCATCCGGTAAATCAAACCATATAAATAATTGTGATACGAATGCTAGTCTTTTAACAAAGTGAATCCAATTACGCAAACCAAAAATTGCGATTATTCAAACAATAAGACTGTATGGATTAGGAATATACATTTATCATGATTATTCAATTAAATAGTTCATTATGTTTCTAATAAAAATATATGAACAACAGTTCTAAATGTCCGGTCCACTTGCATTTTTCTCATCGGGTTGCCCAAATAATTTGGGATTGGTCATGTATTTTTGCAGGTCTGGTCAGATACTCTTTCAAAATTATGCAGCTTTTTACCATTCTGAGCACTTTTTGCATGATTTTTTGCCAAAACTGTCAAAAAGCTCCCCCTTGGTGAACCGCCGGAGTTTCTCTCTTGTACGTCTACGTCCAAAAATATCCTAAAAGTTCTCTAAAAAGTTCGATATTTAAAAGAACGCCCATGGGCTTTTCAAGAGATAAATCTCTTCAAATAGACGATTGTCGGTAAAGCAACTCTGGTACATTGTCTCAATAAGCATACATGAACGGCCTTAACATTCAATGAAATTAGTCATCACTCATGTAACCATTGTCAAATTCTTCGGCAGACATAAAAGTAACATTGTCATGTGGTATAATAAGTAGCTGATTGTAAGTGAAAGTAACGCTTTGGCCCAGATTTGAGAGTCGAATACTTTTTTTCAAGGTTAAGCCGTACCCCCTTCTTCACTCCCCATGAGAAAATATTACACAAACTTAAGATTACCATGGGATGTTAACATTTTGACAGTCAAAAACTAACATGGGGTTTTGTACAGTCGGCGTAATTTGAAAATGTACAGGAAACATTGGACTCTTCACATCAATATTTCTCTATTCATTTGATTCCCCAGAACAATATAAAGAAGGGGGAATATAGACGGGAGTATAATTAATTAAATTCCATTACATTTATCATAAATATTATCACTACTCAACATAATTTGACAATAAAATTAGCCCGTTTCCGTCATGATTCCCATTGACTTCTAATGTGTTAGGATTTTCCCGCGAAAATCTGCCCTACTCTGACGTCAGAGTTTTCAGATTTGCTAATTATAATATTCATGAGCTGACTTTGGGGAAAGGTGAATAAGATTCGCAATTCCTTGATTTTCAAACATCTGGTAGATCAAAAATTCAAATAATGGTCAAAGTTAGTACCAGTTGACTTTATAAAGATACAGCCAACTATTGCACCCTCACAGGCCCCACAAGATATCAGATTCAATTGCAAACTATCTGATTTGGTAGCATATTTCAGATTTGCATACCATATTGAAATCAATCTATTAATTCTGGTGTAACATGCGCTCAAACATCACATACACTGTGTTGTCTTAAAGTTGTCTTTTATGCAAATATAAACTGACCTCTGACCTCTGCAAACCCCAAAATATAAACCAGAATGTGCTATTGTTGTCACATCAATCTGCCATTTCTAAATCTTGATTTTGTACATCAAAGCAGAATTTGTAATAACAATCAGTACATTGCTAAGATCGAAGTAAAACTCTGTACATTCATACTTCTTTTTTTGACCCAGATAGCATTGGTTCTTATAGGACCCCTCTCTCTGTAAGATCAATTATTCAAACAAAGAGATCCACAGATGATGTCTTGACTTGGCCTAATTATACCTCTGCAAATTGTTAGCCATAAAAACACAACACTAAACATTTCCATTTATTTTTGCAGGTAAGGCCTCTTCTGCAGAAAGAAAAATTGGGAGGCGAACAATTATGTGTCCGTGTAATACCAGACTCTAAGCAAGTCATTGTGGGAAAAGACAGAGCATTTACATTTGATCATGTCATCACTTCAAAATCTGCCCAGGTAAAAGTGATAATATCAAGTACATGTATGATTTTCTATTTGGTCTGATGTTTACCCAGATATTTACCAACACTTCTAGATAGCCTTGAGTCAGAAAAGCATTTGCATTATTATGGTCATCGTGTCATCAGTTTAAAATCTACATGTATAGCATTTGAGAGTCTGACAGCACATTCATGATTACAAATACATGAACTGTATGTTGTATGTGGAACACTCACTTAACCTATTTGAACAAGAATGCTGTTACTGAAAATATAAGGATTGCAATTTTAGCAATGTATGAAATATGTTATGATTACTCATAGTAAATGATTTGAAAAAGCAAGGAAAATCATTTTAGTTAACTCATATATTCAATAATTTCCAGGATGAAGTCTACAATAAGTGTGTTGAGCCTTTGGTGAGAAGCTGTTTTGAGGGATACAATGCCACAGTCTTCGCCTATGGCCAAACAGTATGTCTTCCTTTAACTATTTTAAGATAATATGCCCTCTTTTAAGGCCAGAAAAATTTAGTTCTTAAACATGCAAAACTCTAGACTTATATAACGATGAAATAGGTCTTCGACCTCAAATTTAAATGAAGCCCATTGTTTTCAAGGGAACAAATAAAGTATTTATTACCTATTTAAGACAGGGTGTTAAATTCTGATATAACCATATTTGGTCAAAATGTTTCACGATTTGACAGGATGCAACGAATTTTCAACAAGATTCCATGTTATTTATCATTTATTCCTCAGACTCAATTGTACTTTTATATGAAAATGAATGTCTGTACTTTATGCAGGGTTCTGGGAAAACATTTACCATAGGAGGTGGGAATATAGCATCTCTTGTAGAACAGGAGTTTGGTATCATACCCAGGGCCATACAGCATATATTCAACACTATACAGGTATATCTGCATCAAGGTCTACTCTAAACTCATTTTGAATAAAGATATTTTAGTAAATGACAATAAAATATTCAAATAATTGTTATCAAATGTTAATTTTGAAGTTTATTTATTTTTACTCAATTATTCAATATCATGGTATTGTCGGGAATTGAATATGCGTTTTATACCTCAGTCAATATGATATTTCCTAGGTTCCTTGGGGAAATAACATATTGGCACTCAGTATAAATCTCATATTCAATCCCTCCCAGTGAATAACTTCTATGTATTTGTAGACTGATAGTGGTACAGAGTATGTGGTGAGGGTGTCATATATTGAACTGTATAAGGAGGAACTGAGAGACCTACTTGATGTCGATACATCAAGTAAAGACTTACATATCAGAGAGGATGAAGATGGAAATACTGGTATGGTGAATTTTAACTCATGATACTCAAAGTTATTGTTGTCAAGAAATAAAGTGGTATGTAATGAGTGACCACTGGATCTTTGAGCTATTAAATGGCAATTCCCTTGATTTTAAATACAAGTGGTAAGGTCATGTGAAAAATAGATTCCATTTTTATGATGGAAAATGTGATTTCAATTTTTTTTTTCAATTTTCAATACAACTGTAACTGAAATATATGAATAACTTCCAAATCAATCAAAAAAGTTTTTTGAGTAAGTCTACGGGCAAAAACATTGTTTGATGAACCTATGCTTAACCATAGTGCAAATAAAATGATTATGAAAATGTTATCATTAGTTTGTAGTTGTAGCATTTCTACAACACTCTGGCAGTATATTTATAGTGATCTCACCTTTGAGATCTCACCAAGGAGAATAGGTGCAAGCATGAGAATTTTGTCACTTACTAAAGATCCTGGTCAAAACACAGATGTTTATTTGATCTTTTAGTCATAAGTGGTACTCGAGAGCTACAGTGCAGCTCAATGGATGAAGTGATGTCGTGTCTACAAAGTGGTTCTGCAGCACGTCACACTGGCTCTACACAGATGAATGAGCAATCCAGCAGATCCCACTCAATATTCACTATCATGATACGTAAGTTTGTTTGAAGCTGTATTTTAGAATATTTACAGAAATTAAGCAAATCTTTCTGATTGTAAAGATGAACAGCAAACTCTGTGAGATGTTCTAACTTAATTCTGTCATTGATTTTAATCCTGCAGCAATGATAGCAACAATATCAATATTTTTTCCATGTTTCTATTTTTCTTAAGTCACAATTTAAAAGATTTTAAGTCCAATGCTGTTATCAAATTCACATTTGAAGAATCACCTTTACTCCACACATATTCAGGTGTTGTGTCGTTGTTGTGATTTCAGAGCAGACAGTCTCAGACACGAATCCTAAACAAGAGAGAAGTAGAAGTGATGCAAGTGAAGAAGTCTTGGAAAACAGTGATGAAAGTAAGAAGTATAACAATGGAAAAATGTTACAGCAGTAACTTAGTGTTTATTTTTGTCAAGCTTGGCCAATATTAGCTTTAATGACATTATTTTTGATAGTTTTTGACCACAAATTGACCACTTTTGTGCCTGAGATTCAGCGTTCAGCTGCAGCAATGAGTGGTCTGTGTTAAACATATTTTACGATTTGTTTTTGTTATCATTTGTATTTAGAGATAAGGGTCATCATTTGGGAACTATCTCCCTTAATTACCCTCAGAAGATATATTTTTCTCATGATACATTGTACATTCTCATGCCAAGCCTTAGTACATAATAATACACATTGTAGATATAACGCAGTACATCACAGCAAAATTCCACTTTGTTGATCTGGCAGGATCTGAAAGAGTTGATAAGACAGGAAATGTTGGAGATCGCTTTAAAGGTATTTTGCCCGTCGTTTTGTTTTTTTCTCTTAAATTTCTTTTCTACATATATGTTTGTTGTATCATATCACTCATTGTGTCCACCTTGAATTTTAATGGGACTTAATACTTCACTATCTATGGACTCCATAAGTTTCAGCCTTAAGTAAATTGACTATGGAATGTATATCATGGAAATAAATATAATAACGCTGATTATGATTTATAATTTTTGGCAGTGCAAGCTTTAAACTATCTTGGCTGTTGGGTCAGCTGTCCTCTATTCTTTAATTCTTTGTTTTTTAAAATGTTGCATCATTTTGCCTCAATTTTTAATTTAGAGTCGGTACATATCAACAGTGGCCTGCTCGCCTTGGGGAATGTAATCAGTGCTCTTGGGGACCCGAAAAGAAAAGTGACCCATATTCCCTACAGAGACTCAAAAATAACAAGACTTTTAAAGGTAAGAACAAAACCCAAGTACATGCTACTAGTATATTCAAACCCATGAATCGTTTTGAAATATTGATCTGTAGGAGCTTCATGTAAAAATAAAGATTCTCAATTTTGTAACTTGTGTTATAAGACATGAAAAATACATCATTTGAACCAATGTTAATTCGAAGATGAAGATTAATCAAATATGTTTATCGTTATGAAAATGTTTGTATCATACCCAAGATAGTCCCACTTAGTTGTAACAGTTACCATGTTTATCTGGTCAAATATTCATCTTTACAAGAGAAAAGCTCACTACCCCATGTTTGTTATTTCTTATATCTAAATCATGTTATTTTTTATATCTTAGATCAGTTTCCAATGTTTTTTTTTTCTATTTAACAAACTCTTTCACCCCTCTCTGGCTCAACTAAATTAGTTCTCCCCTATCCCCAGCCATGAGGATTACTGTTTATTATTATTGTAGGATTCATTAGGGGGCAATGCCAAGACCCTGATGATCTGCTGTATAAGCCCCGCATCATCTAACTTTGATGAGACACTCAATTCACTAAAATATGCCAACAGGGTAAGAGTTACACTACCATGGATACAATGACACAAAGCATGTTGTTTTATTGTCTGATTCAATTCCACTTTGTTTTAATTGAACTGTTAACGTGCAATGATTTAAAATGTCATTTGTTATTTCTCTCTCTAACAAATGATAAAAATATCACATACTGTAAAAGTGTTTTACTGGATTCATCTGAAATCTCTTTGAAAATCTCTGTTTTATTTGGTTTATAGGCTAGAAATATCCGGAACAAACCTATTGTAAATCACGACTCAGCATCCACCAAACTTGCAGAGATGCAGAGTGAGATCATGGTAAGTAAACACACAAAGAAGGCTTATAGATCCCATAATCCTCCGAGTCTGTTCATGTTATCTACTTAATCTCTGCAAACAGAGTTCATGGGAAATATGGGAGCCAATTACAATTGCCATAATAAACCATGTTAAGCAAGCCGACAATTTGCTGTAATAAGCTGTAAGACTGTAAGCTGTAATAAGCTGTAAGACAATGAACCAAATCTCCTAATTTTTGTAACCAGGCACTGCGTGATGAGCTCCAGAAACAGAGGATGTCTCTCTATACTGCAGCAACAGAGACTACATCTTTAGAGGACAGCCAGGTCAGAGAACTTGAGGACAGGATCATCAAGTAAGAGCTCATTACTCACATAATTCTTATGTCAAGCAAAGATTACAGGATATAGAGATTGATAAGACCTTACATTGAATAGCAAGTGGTTGTTTTTACTCCCTTCTGTGTATATACATAAGAATAATGATGAGTGCTCTTTTAATAAGGGACAATATGAACCACATCGTTGGGTGGCTGGTATAAGTATTGATGTTTAACTGTATAATGTTTTAATACTGGTCAAATTCATATGTATTCTTACGTCATGAACATTACTTTTTTTTTTTTTTTTTTTTTTTTTTTTTATTCCTTCATTCTTATTTATGTACATGTAAATGTAAATATAAATATGTACATGTAAATGTAATGCAATTAATAATATAAATAAAATTTACGTAGACAAAAAAATACACTTATAGTTATGTTGTAAATGTATGTTGACTAAATGAATGTTGAATAAAATTGCAATTGTTGTTGATTGTTGATTGATAAAAGAATGAGTAAGAATAAAGTGTATGTAAAACCAATGCAAGGGGTGTGCTTTCCATTTCCATTTTTGTTTAACTGTATAATGTTTTAATACTGGTCAAATTCATATGTATTCTTACGTCATGAACATTACTGTTTTAAGATTGCAGACTGAATGCTCCCACTACAGAATGGTAGCAGAGAAGGCATACAACCAACTGGTAGATATACGTAACAGAGACCTCCTCTCAGAGTCAAATTCATATATATTATTTTATTACTTTCTTTCAGATTGCAGACTGAATGCTCCCACTACAGAATGGTAGCAGAGGAGGCATACAACCAGTTGGTAGATATTCGTAACAGAGACCTGCTCTCAAAGAGTCAGAACATTAAACTTAGTGATTGGATGGAACTCATTGAAGAGGTTGGGATTAACTTACTGCTTATTCTCAAAAACTTCTAATAACTCTGTTTAAAAACTTTGCTGTCTGCAAAGTAGGACTTCATAAATGTAGCTAATATAACCTAGTTTCCTGGGTTCACTAAAAGGGGCAGAATTTATTGGAAAGGTCCATATTCTCTCTCTTTTAGTTAATTTCACACTGGGTTAATTCCTGGACTTCTAGCATCGCCAATTTGAGTATTAGTTATGGCGTATATTTTGTGTTGAGTTATGTCACTGTCAATGATATACTGATATATTGTTATTGTCATTGTTTTTGTGACTGGTATTTCGGGGTTGCTGGTGTCTGTAACAAATTTTCACACTTTTGTATCTTGATATGTCATGTTAATGCCTTGCTATATGATAACATTGACTCATTTGAAGCTCTTAACCATTAAAGATGCTCATGATTTTTGTTGCAGATTCAGAGTAAGGTGCCATCTACATTATCTAAGGATGCCTGGCAGAATGAGACAGTAAACCGCCTGGAGAAAGAACTGCATCAGGTAATTTTAAAATAGATATTCAGCTACATTGTATATGTATTTCCATGTTAAATCAGATAAATCTGATTTTGTAATCTTATTTTTAATATCCTATGGGGCTTATGACATGTTTTTTGAAAATTGCAATTTATACACTCTATTAATCGATTGATGACACTTTTTTCAGTGTAAGAAAGATCTTAAAAGTGACGAGGAGATATTTGCTGAGAAAAATAAGGAAGTAGAAGATCTCAAGTCTAAGGTTAACAAGCTGGTAAGTTTGTGAGAATTTCCATTTCATATTTTTATAAATGATTGATGAAGGTGGGCCTCGTTAGTTGACTATTGGACCTATTTTTACATGTCATCATTAAGCATGTTAATAAGCCAAATTCTACTCTGCCTACCTTGATTGGGCATCACAACATGCTGAGGTGCCAGACATTATGGCAGTGTGAAATGGTTACAAAAACTAACCATATTTTAAGATCCCAGGTGTGTTCCAATCATCAGTCAAGAATTTTCTTTCCATTGCCATTGTCTAAGCTGTTATACTTGAAGTTCAACACTTTTCTTAAGATAACCCAGTTTTTCCTATTAACTACTGGTTGCAAAGAAATGAGATGCAATGTAATCATGTCCTCACTACAAGTCTCCAACTTTTTTACGAAGGGCCCCCACGAAGTGGGCGGAGCCATTCGTTCTATGGACCGGAGTTCGACCAATCACGTGACGAAAAGTCTGCCATTATTACCTTATATGGCAAATCATCAAGGCAACGATCACGATGTCATATGTTATGATTGTGATAAAGATAAGATGTAATATCACATAAACTATGACATCAGTCACATATTGCCCTATCAAATAAACAAACAAAAATCCTAAATGTCACACATCACTGTTGATTAACATGGCATTAACATGTTACCTAACCAACAGAAAACAATTGTTCATTATCTTCTGTGGTATTTTCATAAAAAGTGGACGTGGATCAGTTTTGTCAAAATGGCATTATGGCCTTCGTATTTTTCTAGTGTCATTTTCACTGGATTATCTTGTTATGGCCACGGTCTGTAGTTGGTGGTCAGTGTTTGGCATCTGTAACAAATGGCAGATGGGGACATTTTGTATGTTAGTGTCTTGTTTTAAACTTGCAAATGAGTGTATTGTCCAGTTTTTTTTCAATAATACAAATAATGCTAAGAAGTACAATGTTATCTTTCGCAGGAGTCAATGTTGAAGAAATCCAGTGCTGCACTTGGTTCTATGGATGAGCAGGAGGCAAAGCACCAGAGAGAGATGATACAGCAACAGGAGTTAATAGAACAATTACAGAATCAACTCAAGGTGAGTACATGTACAACTGTATTGATCTAAGTGAACAGTTCACTGCTGTAAGACATGCATAAAGCCAGCTCTAATCAACTACTTATTTCACAATATACTATTTATGATTTTGTTGCTTTTTTGACAAAATGCTTGCTTGATTGATAACCTCAAGGGACATCTAACTCTCAAAATACGAAATATTCATGAATTGACATTTATTTTAAATGACCTTGACCTCTAAATGTGAATTTTTTATACTGTCTCTTGTACGAGAATGCCTCCCCGAGCAGTTCATGATACTTTGAATTTGATGCTGATCAATTTGAGTATTATTACCGTTTGCATTCCTTCGACTAAAAGAGAGCTTCGTACTCACTTTCAGTTCACAATAAATCTCTGATCTCACCGAGCCAATCAGAGTTCGTCGTCGAAATACATGCGACTTTCTATATGGTCATTTCCTCTGACATGCCCGCATAGTTAATGAGCACTTATTTAGCATGTGTTCCTTGCACTTAGCTGATTGGTTGAGAAAGGGTCAGCATGGTAGATTTGAAATGATTTATTAGCTGGGCTGTCACAGGCCCCAATCTTTTGGACGGGGCACTGCTAAACTGTAATATAGTCTACACTAGGCACAGGGTAGTTTATAACTAGACTCTGCACGCAGGGTGGAGTATTATCCATAGTAAGCTATAACAATGTATGCCTACTTAACAAATAAATGTATTTTTGAGTTCATGTATTGAACTTTGATAGTTCACATTGAAACACGATCTTCCTTATTATAACCTTGACCTTATATTGACACTTACCCCTCAAAATCGTTGACAGTTATAATGTGAACCCATACACTTCTTAATGTCTTGACCTACCAAAACTTCCATCGACTTTCTAGGTACATTGAACTACTAGATGGTGAAATTCTTCCTGTTGTTTTGGATAACATGAAAATATTGAGCCAATAATGCTCAAACAACACTGCATGTAATTAACTGAAACATTGATTTGTCATCAAAATTGTTTGCGTACATGACAGAAGATACAATATTATGTTTTTTTTGTAATTATCGATGAAATATTTGATGTAATATTTGTATGTTAAAGTGTAAAGAATCCAATCCACTCCATTGAATTTAGTGCCATCTATTGACAGTCCTCAATACATTTATTTGTGTGTTATGTAATTCTGGGTGTTTGACCGAGTGATCCACAACTCGTACAAAAGGCTGTGGTGTGTACTTAGTGAAGTGTCAGTGTATTGAGGCACATAAAAGAACATTATATATAGTGCTCCCTCACAGAGAGGTTTCTGTGTCCGTCTTTGAGTCTAAAATATGAAATATAACAATGAGATGGGCCTATTACTCGCCAAAATATGGAAGTAAACAGAACACAATACAAAACATTTTTAAAGAAATCTGTTTTCTATATTTATCTACTGAACATAAAAGAAGTGTAGAAAAGAAAAATGACAGTGGGTGATATTGATATTAGGGGTCTTGGTATTATTTTTTGTCTGTATGGTTCGAACAAACAGAGGGTTCATAATCCATGATAAACATTCAAATAAAGTATCTAGCTTTAATATCATGCTTAGAATGTACAAAGTCATTTTGTCATAACCCAAGCTAGCGTCATAGTATAAAAGAAATATCTAGTTGTTTACTCATCACAGATATTTCAGTAAGAACTATAGATAGGTCACACCAGAAGATAAATAACAGAATATAAGGTTAAGATAAACTCAACAGAGCACTAAAAGTGTCTTTTGGTATTTTGTCCAATAAAAATTAATTTGCTTTGAAAATATCCTTCGATAATGTTACACCTTTCTGCTTTCATTTAAACATATTACTGTACTATTACTATTACTGCATGATTACGAAATACAACTTTTGAATTCGTTTTGACTTATATTGTGTTATTTGGAATTTATAGATAGAAAAGCTATATAAAAAGATGGAAGTTGTATTTTAACACACGTTGATTAATAAGATACATACAATAAAATTCAATATTTGATCTAGATCTGGATCAGGTCAAACTTAGATATTTGAAAAAATGATAAAAGATAAAGGAGTGTAATGTTATCTTTAAGGGCTCTAGATACATACCTGACACCTGTAAAATATGATGTCTAGTGCTGGAACATCCTGACCTAGTTGATAAAGAAATCATATTGATTTATAGTACAGAGAAACCTCTACATGTGGACACCCCTCTTTAGTATAAATCTTCAAATGTTTTACAATTATTGGATAAAAAATCATTCCATATGTTTGTTTTTGTGTTAATACACTCAAAGTGTAAAAACTTTGAATAGACTTAACATTTCGAGTATGTTCTGAATGTGGTGACATGAGACAGGTTTTACTGTAGTTAGTGTCATTCTTTATATGAACATTACCTCAAAAACATACTGACTTATATTATAAGAGGTTTCATCATTTAGTTTAGCAAATATTCATACATGGGTTGATACACTAAATGATAGGATGGGAAGAAGACCTCAAGATCTGATTAATTTTCAAAGATTTGTGATGTGATAGAATACAAAGGTATGTTGCATATACTTGCTCAGAATATTATACTTTTATACTCAGAAAATTGTACTGGAATACTCGGAATATAATGCTCTTAGTCAGAATATTAATAGACTCATATACTCAGAATATTATACTTATATACTCAGAATATTATACTTTTATACTCAGAAAATTGTACTGGAATACTGGGAATATAATGCTCTTAGTCAGAATATTAATAGACTTATATTCTCAGAATATTATACTTATATACTCAGAATATTCGGATATTGTCCACACTAAGAAAGAATATTCTTCAAAATGAAAATTGATAAAATTGAAACAAATGCCTATTAAAAAAGGAAACAATAATGATATTTTTAGAGGATGACATTACATGGATGAGTAAAGTAATTACAAAATCCGAAGAAATTCTGTAATATTATTTGATTTTATGGTATATTAATGGATTTATTTCAGTACATGTAAAAATGGGTGAAGCAGACACAGTCAGTTCATTGCATTCAAAACATGAGAAGCATTTGAGAGAGTTGATATGTGGAACAGCAGCGAGAGAGACATACTTTCTGCATACCATATGTGCATATGGTGTACTAGATCGAGATGCATTACAAGATATCGATAATCAACTACCTGAGTCTGATATTGAGTATTTATTGGAACATTATGAACAGCAGGGAGGGTCGGTGTTTCAGTTCATAACTTGGTGTTACATTCAAGGATATTTCGATTCTTATGAATCCCAGTCTCATATGAGTGGAATTGATACAAAACTGTCAAATAAAAATGCCAGGAAGTGTTCCCAGTTTGCCTATACAGAGCATGATTCTGCTTTGAATGGTGACATAAATAGCATCAAGTCCAACAACAATATTATGGAGTATGTTTACATTGACATTAATGCCCAAGATTCATATGGTTTAACAGCTCTAGAATATGCCATGATATACGAAAGATGGGATTTGGTTAAGTTGCTGTTCCAAATCCCTCAGTTCAACCCAAACACATTGTTGCATTTCACGATAACAGGACTCGATCCTTCTGCTGGGATTCTCTTCCAGACTCGGCCTTTGGTTGATATGGTCATGGAGAGAGCCATTTCAGCCCATAGCACCGAGAAGAAGGAGCAGCTGTTGAATGGGTTGGTATGGAGACACAGGATTGATTTATTGATTAGTCTGCTAAAGCAGCCCAATTTAGACGTGAATTCATTGGACTGTGATGGTGAATCAGCATTATACTCAGCTTCAAAACAAAACCAACAGGATATTGTGAAACTATTACTAGAGCACTCACGTATAGATGTAAATCAGCATTGTATAGATGGTAGAACAGCTTTACATGTTGCTATTTTTAACAATTGTCACAGTGCGGCAGAACTTTTACTTACTCACTCAAACATTGATGTCAATGTATGCGATAGTCAGGGAACATCTCCTTTGATGTTGTGCGCCAATAAACCTCAACTTTTAGAGTCATTGTTAATGCTGTGTGATGATATTAATGTTAATGCTGTTGACTCAATCAATGGCTTTACTGTATTACATAGAGCTGTCCTTGAGAGGAATGATGAATCATGTAGAATCTTATGTGGAGATCCACGTGTCAATCCCCTTGTGAGAGATAAGTATTCTCACACTCCTTTGGGAATCCTTGAGCATAAAAGCTGGACTACGCAATGTTCAGAAATTATGGTTATTCTCCTTAATAAAGAACAAGAATACAGGGCAGCCAAACCACTAAGCGTCATACAGGCAATAAAGCAGCTGGGTTATGCAATTGATCAGTCTGAACATACTCCTAGTAAGAAAGCTTGGCTAAAGGAAGACCTGGTGATACTCCAACTAAAGCTCTCCAAACTATCAGCTGACCAACCCAACACCCTTGAAGGCTTACTTATGCCTGTAATCCAACGAAAATGCCTCGTCAAACATTATGACCTTCTCTGTGATAAACTCATCCCAAAGAATTACATGTCATGTTTAAGAGCCAAAGGAGTTTTAACGGAAAGCCAACTGGAGGCCATACAGGGCAAACCAACATGTCGTGAACAAAGTGAGGAGTTGCTGAAGTGTCTTCCAAGGTGTGGGAATAATGCATTTGATGTGTTCTGTGATGTTTTAATCATATCTAACCAGGCATCAATTGCAGACATGTTGAGGTCATGGGTAAAGGAGAAGACAAGCGAAGACAATTTGAAAGAAAAGTTATAACTGTGATAATAAGACTACATGTATTATAACAATTGTGATATATATTAGGCTATATGCATAATATAATTGGTACAAACAATGTAGATTTCAACAATAAAACCCAATTGATAAGCAGTTTTATATTTATTTGAGTTGTGTGCGGTTTGGAGTCGCTTGATCACTACTTTAACCCAATATGTTATATCAATTATTGGGTTTACATGATTTCAACATAATTCTTACAGAAACATTAGTTAATCTATCTCAATTTAATACTATATTCTTATACCGAAGGGGTCCCTATCGCAAAGGTATATATTACAATAGACAATATATTTTATATATGTTTTTACTTACTTTAGTTGCAGTACATTAACCTGTTCATTACTTGGGTTGGTGCTGGGGAGGCTGGTGGGCTTTCCATGCTATGAGTTCACAAACTGATTCCCGCCAAATGTAGTCACGTGACATTTCTTCCTTATCACATGGTCTATATAAATTAACTCACCTATGCACTGGTGCCATCTATACTTCACTTACGGGATAGATTTAACTGTATGAATATAGAGTGATCTGAGACAACTCCAAAACACATAAATATTTTTATTCCATAGTTAGCATGATATTCATAGGATAACATGTGAAAATAAAAACGGTATTTTTGTAATCAGTGGTAAAATATGATATTTTTGACAAATTTTCACTTAACCATAGCATCGGTTTTTTAGCCATGACATACGACGTCGTATGCGATGGTTTATGGATTTTTGCTACTTCAGACTCAAAACGAGGCTAAGTGTCAACATCGCCGGATCGTTTGGAAAATTCTAATTAAATCACTTAATTTCCGACGATTCTGACGATGACTTTAACCATGGAATAAAAAGAACATCCTATGATTTACTCGTGATATGATTTTAATCCACTCATGGATATTGATATCTGCACTCTCTCGCTACGCTCGCTCGTGCAGATATCATATCCATTCGTGGATAAAAATCATATCACTCATAAATCATAGGATATCCTCTATATATTTCATATAAGTCATTTATTATAAAGGATATTTCATTCATTTATGTTTAACATTAGCATACGTTATATCGGTTTATAGTAAATGAAACAAATTGGACAAGAGGCCATTGCCCATACTAAGTCCTCTCTTTTACGTAGTTTTAAATCTATTCTCGACCTCAAACGTGATACACATATAGTTTTTATAGGATCACAAAGTAGGCATCTATGGTTTATTTCTGATGCAGTTGCATATGATAGTTATTATGTTACCATCAGAAATGGTGACATATTGTTATTGTCTCCAACATTTTTGTGGCTGGTGTTTGGCAGCTGGTGTTCAGTGGTGTCGGCAGTCTGCATCTGTAACAAATGGCAGGTGGTGACATTTTGTGTGTTAATGCCTTGTTTGATGGTGATGTGGTATCAATTTGTGTCTTTGTGTTTCCTCATAACATTATGCTTTTGCCAAGTTTTTGGTGCTCCATTTTCACCTCTACTTATATTCTATATGTTAACATCATTCATGAGTTCTAGTAAATAACTTCAAATGGACTCCCTATTAAAAGAAAGGCTTCTTTTGATAAATGACTGAGTCTGTGTGAAGAAGACCTTATCATTTTGACATTATCACCATTTAACATTATATTCCAAATGGATTGTTATACTATGTGAAGTCATACTGAATTTATCTCTTATGCTGCAAAACTTAATGAAATGATAAACAGAATAAAATATATACTTACAGAAGCAAAGATTCCAGAGTGTTGAGATCAGTCAGGACATTGAGCTCCCTGCCACTGAGGCGCCACCTATCACAAGTAGACGGGCTAAGTCGGTTCCTGCAGAAAGGGTTGGCAAGAGACCGATGACAGTAAGTCTCATTTTAGAACCTTTATATCATATTCTCCTCTCGTGTCTTTTGGCTTCAAATTTTCTACCATGTATCTTTGACTTTATTGCAATACATGTACTCCCATCCCCTTAGATTTATTAAACTGGTGTATTTAGATTTGCCAAGTTGTACTATTGAAACCAAATACTTTGATTTAGTTTTTGTATGTATTTCCTGAAATTACAAGTTCCTCAAATTATTCTTATTTAACCTTTCAAATTCCAGGGCCATCTGCAAGTACCAGATCAGAGGGATATTCATACAAGCCCCGCCCTGTTCTCTCTTGATCGCGTCATGCAGGGTTTCCGTGCACGTAGCCAACTTCTCATCAACCAGCTTGAAGACAATGATGATGTCCTCCATAAGATCTATAGTAAGGAGAGTATCATAGAAGAGGATGATGAAGAGCCAGCACCTGTAAAATCAAAGTAAGCTTGATTTTTTACTTCTTCCCTCACTCATATCTGTCTGTCATTAATTGATTTAATATGATGAATAGTTATTATGTCATGGTTGTTTGTGTTACAGAGGTGTTCCACTTCACAATGTTTGTGTTACAGAGGTGTTCCACTTCACATGTATTACAGTAATTGTTTCTATAAAGCATTTGTTTAACAAATTGGATGCAAACATTATTCTTCTAGGTTTGTCTATACTTAAGTACAATATGATGCAAATAATTTTGAATACATTCCTTAGTCTCTACACTAATAAACAAGTACCTTGAACTAATCTGATGCCATATTTTCCGCTGTATGCAAGATTTTACAAAGCATCATGGACTTATGTGTTGCCATATTTTCCTTCATATGCAAGATTTTACTAAGTACCTTGAACTAATATGATGCCATATTCTTCGTTGTATGCCAGATTTAACAGAGAACCATGGACTAACTTGACTTGATAATTTGATCCCCTTTTTATGCAAGTTCCTGCATCATTGTATAATGTCTTGAGCATGTTGCATCATTCTGAACCCAAATATAAAGGATATGAGGAATTCTTCTTCTAATATTTTATGTAATGTTTATTTTTATAGATACAGTTATAAGAAAAAATAGGAGTTGAAATTCGTCCCATTATTTCCACAATACAATTACATTTTAGCTGATATTGAGAAATCAGAGGTTGAAGATTTAGGACTTCATAACTATCGAGTAGTGATTTCCGAATACTTGTTTTTTCGTATGCGTAATCATGTGTAATCATGTGTTCACTGATGAACAATAGATAAAACACATCTTTTTATGGTTTCTTGTTTTTTGAAATTTCAAAATAACCATTTTGTTATTGTCTGTATACCATTATTTGGCCCATCTAATTATACAGAATATGACTTGTGTTCCATTTTGACTGGTATGGGTATAACTTACTCACTTCGAGAGCCATGTTAGATTTAGAAACTTCTGGCTCTCCAACGGGGATTTGGACAGCTGAATAATAGTGACCTTTGAAACACGAATTAAGTCGATCAGCGGCTTACTTTTGTTCTCTAACTATGTTATACATCATTATCATCCTTCCGTGCAAGTATCAGAGCGCTGAAGTACTTCCTTTTCGATCAAGACTTGTAATTGTTAGTCGAGTGAATGTTTTCACTGCCAAATTCCAATATGGCGTTTTCTGCTCAGACATTTCCGTGAATCTCCGGAGGTTGTCCGAACCTAAATCATTCTCAAAATTCATTTCGTTCGTTGTTGCGTATCTCGCTCCTAGCAAACCGCCATATTGGAAATGGGTCGAAAAAACATTCACTCGATGAACAATTTACAAGTCTTGATCAAAAAAGAAGTATTTCAGTGCTCCAATACTTGCACGGATTGATGATACTGATGTAAGACACAGTTAGAGACCAAAAGTAAGCCGCTGAAATCTTTATTCATATTTTAAAGGTCACTATTATTCAGCTGCCAAGTGCGCCGTGGGAAAGCTATTGTATCAAAATCCACATAGCTTTCGCAGGATGTAAGGTATAACAGGTATATCAAGGAGATTAGATCCATTGATATGTACCTCAGAAATGAATTCCTCGTGAAAAATTGATGAAGATAGTATACTAATCTCATTACCTGCAAAAAGTGAGTTATAGCAATGTGGAAATATTGGGACAAATTACAAATTTTCATTTACAGCAGTACAGCAGTATAGCTGTGACAAATATGTATTTGCACTTTGCTACTATTTAATGTCAACATTTAATTTTTAGCTGATAACAAATTAAGTTGAAACATAATCAAACAAATCCTCACAATAAAATGGCAAATACAGTCGAAAACGACATTGTTTTACACAATTTTTGATGTTGTATTTGCATTTTGCAATTAATATATATGCATCTATATACTGTGAATGCAAAGTCTAATACTGGGTTTACGAATTCTGTTGAATTATATCTTTAAATATCCTTAACTATAAACCCCTTTGTGATTTTTAGAACACCATTTGTGCGTAAGGGGACATTCAGGGTTGGTGAAATGAAGGGCCAGTTAAAGAGTGGCACAAAGACTCTAATCAGAGACAGCATGGATCTTCTAACAGATAACAAGGGTGAGAAGAAATTGGCTATTTTTATTATTAACAAATAATGAATGAGTGGGCCTTTAATATAATTTTGGGAGCTAATATAAAGAAACTTTTTTTGTGTTGATATGTTTTTTTTATTATTTCAATGCACAATGAATTAAAGTTTTTTTCAAATAATGAGTTTTTGAAATAAAGAATTATAACTCAAGTATATGTATCATACAAAACCATCAAGCTTAAAACCATGAACAATTATTTGAGTTCAGTGCTTAATCCTTTAATAAGTTGGAAATTTCATTTTAATTCAAAATGATGTTTAACCTTAATATATCATAACAGAAGAATCCTCTAATTTCATTCTGAATGTTTTGTAATATTTCAGGAGATGAGTCCCAAGGAGTTAGTGAGAAGCTCCGTTCTAGCACAGAGCTACAGAGAAAGAGGATCAAAGACTCACAACTGAAGCTGCAGGCAGCTCATCAGAAAATGAGGGATCTCAATATAAACATCAGGTAGCTTATGGATTTGAGCTGGAGCCATTTTATATTATTTTTTAATCTGATTTTTTACCTCTATTTCAGGCTCGCTTTTGAAACTTTGATTAACATTTTGCAGGTTAACAATTATAATAGAATTCAAATAAGTGAATTAGTGTCCCTTGCTTCAAGATGTGTACTGGGAATTGAGAACTTGCTAGCACTTGAATAAGTCATTTATATGGGTTGATAAACATTTTCTTTGATCTAGTTTAATATCTTCCTCAATGATATCTATGATCTTATTGTAGGATGAAGGAGCAGCTAATCAGGGAGTTAGTAAAATCCGGCAAGGAGGCAGAAGTTATGAAGAGGCGATATGCTGATAAACTCAAAGCCATGGAGAAGGTACATACTACCAATTATACTCCCCAATTTAAGCCCTAGCTTTTTTAAAAATCAAGCAATTTACAGCTGCATTTATTGTTCAAAAGAATTTGATATTTATGAATCCAAACATTATTAACTACACATGCTCAAACACATTGGTTCCCCTTTATTGATTAAACAAGACATACCCTCTATAAAAACAAATGAACTTCTGAATTTGTTTCCAGGATAGAGAGCAGGCCAAGCATGATCTGAATGAAGCCAATAAAGCTCTACATGATCTGGAGGCCAAAGGCAATGCTGGCGTTGTGGAAAAGAACAAATTACAGAGGTACCAAAAAAGCTCAATTCTATACATTGAATTAGTCATATTATATGCGTCCATGTGCTGTGCAATAGTGTAGACTTAAATTAAATAATGAAAGAGAAGTAGTGGAAATTGAGAGAATTAAGAAAAAAAGTTTAGAGCATTAGAGAAGAGATTTACAAATAGAAAATTAAAGGTAGACCAAATTGATTAAGCTATTGACCGATAAAAATGTTTGAATAATCCTGATGTATGAGTTTCCAATGTCATATTGCTGGCCTCTATCATCAATATGAATATCACATTTTTCTTAAAGTGAGTTCCGTAAGAAGATAGAATCTGCCAGGTCCAAGGTGAATAGCCTCCAGAAGAAACAGAAGGAGACGGAGAAGGTTGCCAACATAACCTCCCACAATGACAAGAAGTAAGACACGATAAAGTACAAAAATAATACTATAAAACTTGCCAATACCAATGTTAAATTCATGTCAACAATTTCATGATAATTTGGTGAATCTAACATAACTTTAACTTGCATATTTTGTGTTGAATGCCACATTAAGAACTCACTGCATCAAAATTGAAGCCAGAAGGTCTCCCAGAAATGTCAATAAGGACAGGGAAAGAGAAAATACCACAGTGAGAACTCAAATTATCTATATAGTATGTGGATAGAAACAAGATTGAAGAGCTTCCGAAAACATTTTCCACTCTTCTTTTCCTTCTATTTCCTCTTACTATACACATACATGTGCAGTCACACATGTTATCATATACCTCTCTTGACAGGGTGTCTGACCTTGAGCTAGCAGTTGGCAAAATGAAGCAACAACACGATGATCTTCACAAGAGACTTAAAGAGGAAAATGACAGGAAAATAAAACTAGAGGTGAAAAAACATTAAAAGTGTGCAACATTAGCAATAGCTTCTTATAGTTTTACAGTGGATTTTCTTGTTTATTCAGTTTGAATGTGTTGTGGGAACGAATTCTTTAATTTGTTTCTTTTATGTATTTAAGTATGATTCAGGAAACAGTTTATGTTTAGTTTTGCATACGGTGCTTGTTTAAATTATAGTTTTGTAAAACTTAAATAAATAATTTTAAACTAAACTGTAATGGTATTGCATTGTTTTGTGTTTTATTTATGTTGCCATTCGTGATTTTGCACAATGACGAAGAAATAAAAAAGATGATAACAAATTATAAATATGAAAAAAGAATACATGAAAATAAAATTAGAAAGTATTAATGAAATATGTACATGTACATGTATTACAGAAAGAACTACAGAAGGACCAGCAGCGTATAAAGGAGTTAGAGATCCGCAATGAGCAGCAGCAGAAGGTTCTAAAGCGTAAAACAGAGGAGGTTGTTGCAATCCATAAGAAACTTAGGAGTGGATCAACCTCTTCTGCACACAGGTATTCCATTAAATGTGTTCCTTAGTAGCCACTGAGTTGTGCTTATAAAGGCGCAACTGCATTTGCCATATCACTTTGAGGGCACAAGGTTTATGATCTGTTTTATTTTCCATTTTTCCTATACAATGCAGAGTGTTGACTTCTTGTTTACATTCAGTATTCCTTGCTCGCCTCTTTCACTTCTCTCCTGTACAATATATTATCATATTATAAAATGCTCATGTTGTAGACTAACTTTTCTGCGCTAACCTTGACATCATATATATTCTGCTACATTGATTTATATCTTGTGTCATAATAATACACATTCATATTACATTGTTTTCAATTGGTACTTCACAGTGAAGGTCAGGACAAGATAGATGAACAGAAGAAGTGGCTCGATGGAGAGATTGATAAAGTTCTAGCTCAACGCCACCAGATGGAAGCACTGGAGGAGGAACTGAAGAAACGTGAGCAGATAATCTCGAAGAAAGAGGCGTTGATGAAGGAAAAATCTGATCTTGAAATGAAGAAGTTGCGATCAAGTCAAATTCTTAATAAAGTAAGGGCCATTGTCACTGTATTGAGAGGAACAACTCACAAGCAGCACAGATTGGAGAGGGGAACATTAATTTTATAAAGCAATTAACTTTTATATTAAAGATATTCAATGTCAGTGTCACTTTGGGGGAAAGATTATGGGGGATAATCTGAAATATAATTATTTTGAATGTCAGTTTACCAAGCTTTGAGCAAGAACGTAAAACGTTAAATATTTAGGTGAAAATATTTCAAAAATATATAGAAGCAATTTTAAGGTGGATTTCAAAACTTCATACCTTTCTTTTGAAAACCTGAAGTGGCACCAAGCAATCCGTTGACTTTTTCACCAAAAATCCAAGATGGCCGCCACGATGTATCGAAAAATCATAAAGATTGATTAAAGTTGTAATTTAATAAGTCAAAATAGTTGTATACTGATCAAACATGACTAATAATAGTACCTATTAGATGTTCATATGCAGTTAAAGTCACTGGATCATTTTTGTATGAAAACTGGAGTCCCACAAGGCTCAATTTTATGTCCGCTACTTTTTTTGTCTAATGACTTCCCCTGACCATGGCATTTGCACATAGCAGTGGATACTTATCCATTTTTGTAATGTGTGCACCCAGGACCACATTTCACCTTGCACCCATACTTGACCAATGCTTGGCATGCCTTGGCTGCTTGAGGAAGGGATGTCAATAGTGGCACCAGTAGAGACATGTCATACTTCAAGCCCAATGTTGTGAACTCCTATACCAATTTTAGATGGAGATTGTACAGTTGCCCCCAAACAATACCACCTTGGTTAGCAAGTTCTTAAGATTTTCTGAGCAGGGCCTCCTTTTGTTGGTGGTATTCTGTCAATGACTGTATGGCTGTCACAGAACATTAGCCTTCGTGCTGCATTGATATCTATCTGGTTGCTGGTTCGATCATATAATAGAACAGTAAAACAGTCTAGGGACTGAATGGTCTGAATTTACAAAACCAGGTTTGTTGTAAGCATTTGTGCCACTCTTTTGTAGAAAAGCTGGAGTAACTTCCTTGAACACATTCCATAACCTTGAAGGCAGATCCTTTGCTATGGCCAAAGAATGATGCAGTTAATATAATTTAATATCTGTAATTTTTGAGAGGTTCGAAGGCAGTCCAGATTGACACTTATTGGGCCCTAATTATTATTAGTATATATTGGTTACCGCCATATTTGGCGAGCAATACCTCATTGGTATATTCCGTACTTTATATATTTTACACTCGAAGACAGAGCCAGAAACCCCTCCTTGGAGGAGCCCTGTGTTTTTTGTGTGCACAGGTACACAGACATACAGATACACACCACAGCCTTTTATATGAGTCATGAACCACTCAGTCAAACACCCAGAATTACATGACGCACAAACTTGTCTCAACCAGGAATCGAACCCGGGGCCAAGCGATATTGGTAACCTTGACTCTGCCACTGAGCCATAGCGGGTGGACTAATCCTGCAGCCATGGCAAGAACAACTACATCAGTATCTCCACTTATGAAGTCTTTTTTCTCTCTGAGGTCATCTGTTTTACATGAACAAAGAGTCTAGTGTCAACTTCTTCATGAGTACAAGGTTCAATCATTGCTGTATCTGGCAAGTGAGGAAATCACTGAACAGATTCCACAATAGTAGTTATCATTTGCTTGTCATTTACATCAACCTCAAAAATAGAGTTTGCCAAAAATGCTAACAGCTCAGTCTTGTTCTGGTCATTTCTTAGAAAGCCTAGCCAATTCTTGGGCATCGGATTCTCTGCATAAACCATCCAGTGCCACGATGAATCCTTGTCAGGGACTTCCCACTGTTTTGTTGGTAGACATCCCAGATAGCATCTAATCTTGAAACACCTTCCATAAGCTGCCTTAACTTGGGATGAGACATTGGTAGCATATTCTTGGAAGTTGGTAGCCACACCAAGACACATCACATAGACCACAAGGGTGCCATCTATTAAAATTGCATCTGCAGATTTTTTCCAATACTTCAGATCCATCTGGCTTAGCTTCTCAACATTTAAGTAAGTCTGCTTTTTTGTAGGTCTCATGGCTAAGGATGGCTGGAACTCATGTTTTTCATGTTTGAAAAACTCAGACATGTCAACGTGTCTTGATTGGCATCCCGTCATCCTTAGCTAAGCACAGAGCCATGTGACCTACGACAGACTTACTTAAATGTCTAGAAACTGGTCCTTTCATCCCAAGTTAAGGTAGCTTATGGAAGGTGTTCCTAGATTTTGTCTGGAATGTTTACCTACAAAACAGTGACAAGTCCCTTACAAGGATTCATCGTGGCACTGGTACTAGAAGGATAGTTTATGCAGAGAATGCGATGCCTAAGAATTGCCCAGCTTTTCTTACAATCAACGGAACAAGACTAGGCTGTTTGCATTCGAGGGTAAAAGACTTCACAATCAGAAGTTGATATACTGATGTAGTTGCTCTTGCCATGGCTGCAGCATTTAAGGGCGCAATAAGTGTCAATCTGGATTGCCTTCGGACCTCTCAAAAATTACAGGTATTAAATCATATTATATTAGCTTCACCATTCTTTGGCCATAGCAAAAAATCTGCCTTCAAGCTATGGAATGTGCTCATTAAAGTTACTCCAGCTTTTTTACAAGTGGTACAAATGGTTACAACAAACCTTGCTTTGTCAGTTCAGGCCATTCAGTCCCTAGAACACTTAACTGTGTTCTTTTATATGATCGAACCAGCAACCAGATAGATATCAATACAGCACGAAGGCTTATGTTCTGTGATGGCCATATAGTAGAATACCACCAACAAAAGGAGGCCTTGCTCAGAAAATCTTAAGAACTTGCTAACCAAGGTGGTATTGTTTGAGGGCAACTGTACAATCTCCAACTAAAATTGGTATAGGAGTTCACAACATGGGGCTGGAAGTATGACATGTCTCTACTGGTGCCACTATTGACTTCCCTTCCTCAAGCAGCCAAGGCATGCCAAGGCATGCCAAGGCATGCCAAGGCATGCCAAGCATTGATCAAGTATGGGTGCAAGTTGAAAGGTGGTCCTGGGTGCACACATTACAAAAATGGATAAGTATCCACTGCTATGTGCAAATGCCATGGTCAATGCAAGTCATTAGACAAAAAAAGTAGCGGACATAAAATTGAGCCTTGTGGGACTCCAGTTTTCATACAAAAATGATCCAATGACTTTAAATGCATATGAACATCTAAAAGGTACTATTATTAGTCATGTTTGATCAGTATACAACTATTTTGACTTATTAAATTACAACTTTTAGTCAATTTTTATGATTTTTCGATACATCGTGGTGGCCATCTTGGATTTTTGGTAAAAAAGTTAATGGATTGCTTGGTGCCACTTCAGGTTCTCAAAAGGATGGTATGAAGTTTTGAAATCCACCTTAAGATTGCTTCTATATATTTTTGAAATATTCTGTGAACTTATCTCCTATTCAAACCCGACTAATTAGACAATGTATTACGATGGTTTACAGTGTATATCTTTTTATGTTTACATGAAGATTTTTTGGTTGCAATGTCATATTTTTGTTGTTTCTAAAGCTATTTGAGGTGAGATTCCAGATAAGATTGAGATTAAGATTTTGGCTTTTATAAATTATTTGTGACTTTTTGTTATGCTTTTTATGTCACCACCAAAAAGTGGTGACATATTGTTATGGTGTCCGGTTTTTTACAGCGGTTGGTGATCGCCGTTTGGTGATCAGTGATCGGCTATTGATGATCGGTGTCTGTAATAAATTCTCACAACTTCCAATAACTTAACAAATACTGTTTAGACTGACTTCAATTTTTTTTCATCTACAAGTTTTCAGAAGTTCAAATCTTACTTTATATTTAAGATTTGACCTTCAATGATCTTTTCAAGGTCAAAAAATGTTAAAAATGTCAAAAAGATTTTTCAACTTGCTTCAAATTGACCATTTTTCAAAATCACCTACAAGTTGTCAGAAGTTCAAATCTGACTTTAGATTTGAGATTTGACCTTCAATGACCTTCTCAAGGTAAAAAAAGGTCAAAAAGGTCTTTTTTCGACTTACTTCAAATTGACCAATTTGTTTTCTCAAAATCATCTTGAAGTCCTCAAATGTTCAAATCTCTGACTCTAGATTTGACCTTCAATGCCATTCTCAGGGCCAAAAAGGAATTGGATTTGAGATTTCACCTTCAATAACCTTCTCAGAGTAAAAAAGGTCTTTTTTCAACTTGCTTCAAATTGATCAATTTATTTTATTCAAAATCTTCTGCAAGTTCTCAGAAATTCATCTGACTTAAGATTGAACTAATAATATTGTGAGCAAGGTGGTGACCTTTTGTCATGTTAATGCCTTGTTTTAGTTGACTTGGAGTTGAAGAGTTAAATAATTCTGTTGTTCATTGATATAATAGGGCTATATATCTAGGATATTTTCTTTTAATCTTTAGTCTCAACTGACTGCACTAAAAATTAATAAGATTCCAATTGTACTTTTTTAGACTTAGATATATAAAAATGGCCATTGGTTGATGAAGTATAAACTTGAAACCTCTCATTGAATTAGTTACATTCAACACTCTCTTAGTATAGACTATATTGTCTTTTCTATGATGAGTGGAGCACATGACAGTGGGGTATAGAAATGATAAATGGGAAAGTGGGTCAACGCATGTATCCTGCTGAATTGATATTTAACATGTTTGTGCATAGGGTATAAGCTATATACAGTATTTAAAATATTTAATGCTTCTTGTGTTTGTGTATAGGATATACTGTCTGTATCTGGGAGACTGGAGTCCATGGAGAGGAAAATAGGGGAGAAATCTAGGGAAGTCACCTCTGCCCCTGACAGCCAGACTCTCAAGGAAGAACTACAGGTAGAGTATTAAAGGGCTTATAGCTGTAATCATCATCATTAATAAGTCTTAATATTATGAATTAATTCAGAAACAATATGTACCTTACAAAATCAACAGAAAATTTAACCCTTCAAAATCACCTGCCTTTCAAAATCAATTCAATTTATCATGATATTATTTATCTACCAATATCATATTTTATAACATATTCAGAAAGTCCATAAACTTGAATTTTAGAAAATGACAAACATCCCATATTTTGTGTAGACATGACCTAAATTATAGAATATAAAAATATGTGTGTATTTTATTTCTCCCAGCCATGTGTTCTGATCATGTAATGTAAATGCATGTAAAGCATAGATTTTAATATAAAATGTTTGATGTTCTTAAGGGTCTGGTAAATAACAGGGAGAGATTGACCAAACAGAGAGTAGTGCTGGAGGAGAAACTTCAAGAAGGCACCTTGCTCTCTCCACAAGAGGAAAGAAGGTATAAGTAACACTCATTAATTTGAATAAGAGGAAATGAACATGCAGCACAAATTATGGTTTAGTATTTTCTGTAGCTACCAGTCATTCATTCATTTATTGACTGACATAAAATTCTCTCGAGCCTTAATGTAATGGCCAGGTTGGTATTATAGTAGATTGTAAGATTGGTGTGACAATTAAATAAAGTATAAATAAATATAGAAAAGAGAAAATAATGAATCCATTCATTCATTCATTCCTAAGGTTGATAGAATATGATGAGGCCATTGAGACCCTCGATGCAGCTATTGACTTCAAGAATGAAAGGATTGCCAACAAGCAGAGAGATGTCAGACATTCCATGATGCTGGTCGCACAGGTAATAATTTTGCCTGAAATTGACAGGGACTAAAATTGTTTGCCTTTCGATATTTCTAAATATAAAAAATGTGTACATTAGAGTATATGACACTAACTTAAGCTCTTTATATGGAATTAGTGTTTTGACACTATTCATTCAAAACCAGTTAGAAACTTTTGATTTTTGTCTGAAAATACTTTCAAGATAAAGGTTTCTGAAGTAAATAACACCCAACTGAACAAAACTCCTATTTCATTATCGGATTCTTTCAAACCTTACTTTTATGTGATAGGATGGTGTCAGGTCATTCATTTAAAATTTTCCTATTATCATATTGTTCATATTTTTGTTTCTGCAGAGTGAGGAAAACATACTAGGTCGCCTGAACTCTCTATCTGGCGCAGATACAAAGGAGCTCCTGTCACGGTATTTTAACAAGATTGTCACACTCAAAGAATCTGAGAGAAATTACCAGTTGCAGTGTGATCAACTTGAGGTATGACTGTAATGATTGAAGGTCTACATGTATAAATACATAGCTCAAACTTTCGTCAGTGATAGGGGAAGTCCAAGTCTTGCTAACGTAAGGTTGCTGGAGGCAACATTTTTTGTCTTTATAAAATTATTTTATATTGTTTGAATCTGAAAAGGGAATACTATAATAAGATGACTTGAAAATATCATGCTTTGATCATTTTAATTAAAGAAATATGAAATGTATTATAAACCTGCGATACAAATCTATTTTGTGCCATAGACCTTAATTTTTTTATCTCTACCCCTTCATTTCTCCAGATGAAGGTTGATGAACAGGAGAGACTTGTTCTAGAGCTGGAGTCTACACTAGAGAGGTCTGTCTTGGAGAGTGACCGTAAACTGACTGAGCAACAGCAACAATATGAACAGCAGTTGCAGACCTTAGTACACCAACTGGCCACTAGAGGGGATGAGGGTCCAGATTCTAAGTGAGTGATTTATTTTAGCTGCAAAATTGATTAATTATAGGAAATATTTAAATGAGAAAATTGTAAATAATGTGTAAGAATGGTCATTTTCTTCAGTTAAATAATATAGAAAAAGAATAATGCTTGAAAAGTTATTTCCCTCATGTCATTTCAATGCCCAAATGTTGAGGTAAGGGTCTTATCTGAAGATTAGTTTTATAATATTAAAATATTAACTGATTTTGATACAGCTCCTTATTCTTGTTGCATTTTGTCAAAGATAAATCCCAACAATCATTCAAGATCAAAACCCCTGAAGTCTCAATGCTTATTAATTTCTATTTTTGACATATTCCAGGATGAAGGAACTGGAGAAAGATCTCTATTATTACAAGAAAACCAGCAGAGATTTGAAGAAAAAGCTTCGAGAGCTCATGTCTGGAATGATAGGAGCGGATGGTGATAAAGGTAAGTTACATAAGAGAGAATTCATTTATACAGATACAATATTTTTTTGTATTCATTGATTTTCTTTCTTGTTTTATTTGATCCTTGTCTTTTATCTAAAAGTTGAATGCATTTTCAATTTAGGGTGTTTACTACATTATTTCTTGTTAATTCCTTTAATTTTCACCATATTTTTAAAACATAACCCACAGGTATAACTGACCAATATACTGTATTTTTGAGCAGGTGGTGAGGTGAATGGTAGCGCTCCAACCACCCCTAGGGATGAATTCAAAATACCCCTTACGCCAAAAGATCAACAGACCCCCAGGCGTGGGAGTAAGGAGGAGACCCCCAGGGAAAATAGAGACACACCGAGGGAGAAAAGAGAAACCCCTAGAGAACGGCAACCCCACCAACCATCCACCCCAAGGGAGAGACACCGGATGAACACACCCAGAAACATATCGGCCAGAGACAGGTACAATACGGCACAAAATCTGTCATGTTAGGCTAGAGCAGGCAGTGCTATAGTGCAACCTTAAAAATCTCAATACTGTATGGAGAAACTCTCAGTGTCACAACTCTCTCTATCTTGAAATATCTCTGAACTTTTTTTTCTAAATAACTGTTATTTAGGCTGTTATTTAGTTTAGGCTGTCTCTAGAGTTAGACTAATCGAAAACAATATTGTCTGTCTCTGTTGCAGGTATTCACCATGGAAATCTGAAGCTCTGTGAATTCACCATTCCCCCAAGTGTCTAATTTTGCCAGGGATTTGCTTGTAATGAAATTCCCTGTAACTTCAATTCGCAGAATAAAATATCTTAACAATATCTTAAACTTGCAGGGACTCTAAAATTGACCCTAAACCACCAGATGATAAACCAACCCTTGGAGGCACCAGAGTTCTCCAGTTCAAGGAGATTCCAGCAAGTGATGTATCCCGAAATGTTACCCCCATCAAGATATCACGACGTGAGTTACGTCAAATGTCAGAAGCTGAATTATCTGTGCGGAGATCAAATCTTAGTTCAGCTCCACCTCCTCAAGGTAACAGAGTTTTCTAAGTAGTTTTTCTCTCCTCATATTTGGTGAGGTTCAGCTTGGAGACAATTTGAAGTTGTAAAAATGTGTCAGAAATTAAGAATTATGACAAAATTAAGTAATAAAAATGTGACATTATGAAGAGTAAGGTGCGGCATTAATTTTTCGTTTTACGATTTCAGATTCTCTTGAGGCAGCTCCATCTGGTGGGAGGAATCCTTGGGGTCATGACACCTATACTCTGGATGGTAAACCAAAATAATCCGAAACAGAACTTTCCAAAGTAAATGAATTTCCCAAGTGAACAGATGTCCAAAGCTCCGAGTTGAAGCATTTTCAATGTACAGCATTCCAAATAATAGTGTATTATAGTACATGTATTAGATAGTGTCACAGACATTTTGCCTGTTTTATATTGTACATTACACTACTTAATGAGTCTAGAAAGGCACTTTTTGCAGAGATCCGTCCTTTTCAATCTCCCAGTGATGCATATTATATACATGTATAAGGATAAGAATTCTCAGATGAAGAATCAGTTTGCAAATGTAGGTTGCACATGTATTTGTATTCTTAAAGTGTACTTAATAAATGTGTGCCTGTTCCATTGTATTGGAAATCTTTAACACAACGCAAATGAAAATATTTTTTCTTTGCTCTGAGATACATACCTTCTTTATACATAAGTTTATTCTTTGTGAATTCTTTCATTCCTATGGTACATGTGCCTGTTGTGTGACATTTTTGAGACACAAGTATATCTGTGAAAAAGTCGGTATTTTACTCCAGCTTTTGAATTGTTATCATGCTTCAAGTTATTTTTGACATTCCATTAGGAGCATTGTAAACCATAGATATTGTACCAAATGTTTTCATAAATATTCTACTTATTGTATTGTATTTAAGAGTTGTGCCTATTACCTGTTAGTTTCATTTTTTTTCAAATCTCAGAGACCGTTCAAGCTTTTGTTAGGGGACAGTACTTTGAGCACAATCTTGCGATATACAAATGCATCCGTCCATATTTAATATATTGTATATTTATAAAAAATATGTAATAAGTTGTGACTGAAATTGATTAAGATTGAGGAATTGCAAAAATATCCATTTTACCAATCCTCTCATAGATACAAATATAGATGTCACTCTCTAATCTGTATCATTATTGATGAATGGAATCCTCATATCATATGTATTTAGAAGTAGCATGTAAACGTAACTAATAATATAGAAAAGGAGTTGTTGAATTTAGCATGAGGTGCCAATTCATATTCGATTATCCATGTTGTGTGCATTATTTATTTTTCAATCTTACTTGATTTGTTAAATACACATGTGGTAAAACTAGAAAGTTGGTAAAGAACAGACAGTACATGATAGGAAATATTTTTCATTGAATTGTAATTAAATTGGCTCAATCTCGAAGTTGAACCCAAAATACTCCGAAGGGTAATAAAGCCATCACCATCAATAGACTTATTGTTTTGAATTTATCAAATCCTGAAAATGCTCACTTTGTAGTCGACATTATAACATCTAAAATCTTTAAAGTGCATACAGTTTACGAGTTAAGGTGTTTTTTAAGATCAGAGTTAATAGTTGAGCCACTTTAAATCTCAGCATATGTATCTCACATGTTACTTCTTATCCAATAAGAACGATCTTGCCAATGTATGGTGTATTGCATACCTGTAATGTTGCACCCATTTTAGTTGCAATTTGCAAAATGTAATAGCATAAATTGTATATAAAAATAACTACAAAATAGATTTCTTTGATTCCAACAAAGTGAACTGTATTTAAGAATATGACTGAGGTCATCTTTATTTCATTCTAATAAACACGTGATTTAATATGTTTGTCAATTTGAACTTATTTTGCCAAATGCATCATCTGCTGGAAACAACACAAAGTACCCTCTCCAAGACCTCAATATATGATAGTATTGAACACTTTTCCAAACAGTTTGTTACCAATGAATTGTTGTACACCATGATTGTTGTAATGGTTTTGCTTTATTGTTGATATTCTTATTTTGTACAATTTGTACACCTTTACTTATTGAAGAGTGTATTTATGTTGCAATATATTTAAACAAATGAGTGAACACCAATTATTTGTTTGTTTTATTTTAATTCATTTATTTGATAAACTAGAATATCACAGAATCGAGCAGTGAAGATGCAGAACATTGCAGATGTACATTTTATAGGAATTCTTATGTTTTATTTTTAAAATACATATATTCTAAAAATGCCACAGTCAAACCTGTCAAGTATTACAGCTCTATAAAGAGAACACATTTGTAATGCCTGGTTCACATTTGCTTCGATCCATTGGCCGACGCTCGGCCAATTGAGTGTTTTGTTCAATATTGTATTCAATTTTGAACAAAATACTCAATCGGCTGGGGGCTGTAGTGAAAATCGGAGCAAATATGACCAAGGCATAAGTAGAATATGTTTCACTGTCGGGTTACCCATTGATTTATAAAGTTATTTGAATCTCTATAATTTGTCTACACACAGATGATTATTTTAATGTCCTTTGGGACTGTCAATAGATGGCATAAAATGCAGTACATTATACACTTCAACATTTTGAAACAATAACTTGAAAAATATCAAAAACATAGATTTTGTTGAGAATAAAGCCATTTGATAGTGAATTTTCGATATTGCTAACCAAAGAGAAACAGTAATATTATTTTTTTGAGTTTTTTACATACAAACCAATGAGACAGGAGATGGACATCGACTTAATCCACCAAGTATGATCTGCCTTCTATGCCAGTTCTCATCCCCATTATCTTTATTGCACTTAATGTGCTACATAAAGCATTTGATATGGTTCATATATTATTTACATTTATAAATTATGTTATATACTATATACAGTAAAACCTGTCTTAGTAAACACCTCCCTCTAGTGAACACCTGTCTCTAGTGGACACCCTTCCCCCACGCATACTGTGCTGACTTCCGTATAAACCCTCTGTGTAGTGTACATCTACCAAGACTGAACCTTTTTTCTTGGCAAAAAATGTTCAATTTACCCAGGTTTTACTGAATATACCATATATGTACCATCACTGGCACTTCTAGGTAGTCAATTCAATTTCTGCGTAACACTATCTTCAGACCAGTCCAGACCAGGGACCCAATCCCTGATATTGTATCATTCATTTTTATTCTTATTGAATAAGTGACCCTTTATCACAAAGAGGTGTTCAGAAATGTCTGATATTTAATTATGTCCTGAGATCACCAATCATCCATATCTGCTTTTTCTGCTGCTTCATCATTTATAATTTCTAAGTCCTCTAAATCCTGAAGAATTTCTGATGTTGAGTCAGGTCTAAATGACACATTGCGATTTAGTTTTTCCCTTGGAGTGGGCAGAGGTTCATCCTCCGGTGATAGACTCCTGTGGGAAACAAACATGGTGGCAGGGGGAGGAGCTTTGTGGTTTTCATTAGGAAGATGCCAAGGTGGTTTATAAGGAGTATTCAATGTTGAAAATAATTTCTCAAATCTAGGATCTTTTGATGATGTTTTTAAATGATCTTCAGTCTCAAAATGAAATGTTTTACTCCGCTTCATCCTGGATACACCAGAGTGTATTGGAGTTGTAATGAGCAAGCTTTTTGCATTAATGTCAATAGACTTCACATCATCAGCATCATTTACAGACACACTACGCTTATGCATTTGATTTTTGCCAAGGTTTGGTAAAGTCACTGATCGATCAAATCCAGGCCTATCATTGGCTCCCGCTACTCTGTCTATTTCATCACGTGCTGTATTAGAACGTCTATGAGAGCCTCTCCTAGAGCCAGATTTAGATTTAATTTTTGGAAGATCAAGATCTGTTTCTCCAGGCTTCCATGCTAAATGTCCATATTTCCTTACAACATCTTCAGGAATTAACGATACTGTACTATTACCATGTTGTTCCAATTGCCTTTGTTTTCTTGATTGTTGTAAAATAAAACTAGTTTTGTTCAGTTCATTAAGGCGGAGTTTTCTACGATGTTCAATACCAAGAAGACGAACAGAGACATCTAATGTTTGTTTCTCTAGGACATTATCATGAAGCAAAACCTGCTGTATCAGAGATTTTGGAACATATTGTTTTTGTCTCTGTTTGCCCCAGTTGGGTTTAATTGTTGGAGGTTGGTGATGCATTGTAGTAGTCAGTTGTGTCTGATTACTCTGATGCTCATAAACTCATATTGTGCTGCATGTATTTTTCCACAGTAGTGCCTGAAAAAATAAATTAATGACTATTTATTCATGATTGGAGAGATTTTGTATTTTTATTTGTTTTGAATGATTTTAATTATAACATTTTTATACATACATGTATCTCAGAATGACTTTCCACATTTCTACAAGTAAGTAAGTATTTTAAATAAGTATAAATACAATGAAAAGCACTCACATATGCACTTTTACATATCTCCATTATATTTTCATTATAACTTCAAGGAATACTATGGATGTAAATTGAGACACTACTATCATTTATAACAATAATGATTCATTAAATAATTAATTTTTCTCTCTGTTTATACCAAGGACCTTTATTTTCTTTTTTTATTGACTTATTAAACTAAGAAGCATTAAGACAACATACACTGTATAATCAATAATTGATCTGTTAGTTTGAAAAAAATCTTCCCACTTTGATTTATTGAGCTATTAACAGATGTAATTTTAAATCCATCATCTTATGTATTATTCCAGCCATCTTTCTAATGATGATGTTGCTAGGTAACCCAATATATCTAAACAGTGTAAAATCTTAAATTACATCATTTTATTTCATTTCATTTTTTATCCTAAATGACAAAATTTATTTTACTTTCCATTTGAATATTATTACTGTAAATAGATAGTAATTACATTTTCCTGTAAATCCAAAAGTGTAACTTTAATTGAATAATTTTACTTTTTATAGATCTTAACATATCAATTTTAATTGATGTGTGTTCCTCTTTAATTACTTTATGCTAAATGAATACTTGCTTATTTAGAAGTTATATTAAACTGAGAACAACCTGACATTTCTTTGTTATATTACATTAGATCAGCCCAGCTTAGTATAAAGTAAGACATTGATAATATATCTCTGTCAGCTCTGCAATTTATCATCTCTTACAGAAAACGACAAAGAAACCCAATTTTGTGTTATTAAAAACATCTGCATCGTGTCTTTGATGATCTCTTTATTTCTTGGATGCACTTACTGATCTATAGGTGTATTATATTAATGTCTAGATATTCCGTTCCAGTGTTAATATCCCATGTGGTCTTGTTAGATGGATACAAAACTTCTCAACCAAAATGGGGGTGTCACACTTTGTAATTTGTATGATAGTGCCACACAGATATTTATTCAATTTAAGAGATAAGAAATAACATCCTATCAGCCGTTCAGGTACCTGGATTGTGAAATGAAGGACCTATATTTTTGAAATTGTATTTATTGAATTGATACAATTTTTACCTGCTGAGATACATGTAGAAAGAAAAACTTGTGAATATTATTTCTCTCATTAAAGAGATTCCATTTTAGTCAATTTGTTGCTCACTTATAAAATTACTCAATTTTATTACTCAATATTCTGTATAAATATTTAACTGCATGTAAAACGTGTAATACTGCTAAGTACATGTAGATCTGCCATAATTGATTAAACTGTAACAGTATGTCCTAACATAAAGCTGGATTTTCTCATGATTTGAAATAAGACAATAACCATTTCAATTCCCTCGCGGAAAAGGTAAATATTCGGCCTATTCCACAAAGAAGGGAAGATAAATAAGATTTGAAGGCAGTGAATTCATGCTTTCATAAATTTAATTTCTCAATAGAGAGAAAAATAATTGAGGCTATTGTGCAATTAACATTCAATTTATGCAAAGAAACAACTTTTAAATTACCTGTAATGATTGTGTCTTTACCTTCATTTTGTATTAGCAATTTAAAGAAGGTAAATCGTCTGATAAGAGTAACTTAGGCAAGTAAGAGATAATTGTATACTAAACAAATGTTTATAAATCATTTATCAGCCCTATCAGCGTATGGCAACATAAAAATGTAACAATCTAACAATGGAGAGATACCACTTCAACAGTTACCATAATATGCTTTTAAGGTGGGCTCAAGAGAGTGAATACCGTTTAAAGGCTTGCAATCAGGTTTTAACTCTTATCCAGACTTACCTTAAATTAGTTTCATATTGAATCCTCAAAATATTTCACATAATTTTGTTTTTATTAAATTGTGTTTAAATTACTTTAAATCATATGTATGATTCGAGATATTGAATGTAAGATACTGTACCAATAGATATTTAAAGTGGACGTAAATGTAAATTTTCAAATGAGATAACTGATTAGGACCCTTTAAGATAACAAATTGTGTGCTTATGATAGGTGGAGTAGAAACTGAAATCTTGACATACCCTAAAGATAGATTTTGTCATACAGAGGGATCTTGAAAATTGCTTCATTTTATCTGAACGGGTCATGGCAGCTCATTGAATGGGTTAGGGATCCAAAATGCAAAACTTAATGACGTAGTTACCAGTCTTTCCACTAGGTGGCTAATTCGGGTCAGAAAACATTGCAGATCATGGTAGAGAGAAAAAATACTTCTCATCTTGAATGATAAAACAATTTGAGGATAAGCGTTCTAGATGTAAAGATGTGCATGTAGATTTCAAATCTTAGACGTTTACATGAACAGTGAAACCTGTAAAGTGGAACACATGAACAGTCCCAAAACGAACTCAAAAACTGACCTGATGTTAAAACCTTTATTAGTGGAACACCTCCCAAGTGGAACATTTTAAAGGTGTTCCACTTAGACAGGTTTTACTGTATATCTTAAAATGTATCTAAATATAGACTATTTAGTGAGACTGTCTTGTCCGTCACGAAACTGCCTGTCTTAAGATATTGCTAGGGTTTAACATATTTCTTATTTTGCTTTTGGGATTAGACCCATGTTTCCATGTTTATTGTATTATACAAATCGTATTTCTGTTATTTACTCACAACTTAACACTGTGTATGTCTGTAGGCTTAGTCTACTCAAGTCCCTCTCTAGTTATTTAAATATTTCCTTTAGTATTTTACATTTGGTGAAATGATCTTTTACCTGATTAGAAGATGTTTTATTGTAATCTTATTTTGCACGCATTATGATGTTAATCATGTTGGTTTATAGGAAGACTGTAAAAAGAGACCTTAGTGGATTATACTGGGGTGGGCAGCTCTGGATGAAAAATATTGGCATAATGATTTGAATATATTTGATATATTTTTGTTCCAATTTGGTTGCATTTTTCTAGGTATTGTAGAGAACTTGAACCCCTTCTATTTTACAAAAATAAATCGAAAAAAATCCAAACATTTTCATAAGAATATCAAAGTCTGAGAAAATATACCATAGAAGGCCAATCGATCATCGATGAAATCAATCGTTACACTGGGGTTACACTCCCCTCCATAACTTTGGCAAAGTACACTCCCCTCCATAACTTTGGCAAAGTACACTCCCCTCCATAACTTTGGCAAAGTACACTCCCCTCCATAACTTTGGCAAAGTACACTCCCCTCCATAACTTTGGCAAAGTACACTCCCCTCCATAACTTTGGCAAAGTACACTCCCCTCCATAACTTTGGCAAAGTACACTCCCCTCCATAACTTTGGCAAAATACACCCCCTCCATAACTTTGGCAAAGTACACTCCCCTCCATAACTTTGGCAACTTTAAGTCCCATTTTGAATCACTTATTAAAAGCCTGTTTATGTGTGGCGATTCAAAAATATCAAAGTCGTAAATTATTGTACTAAGCGACAAAATTCAGACATTGATTTGCTTGATATGCTATCCTATGCAAATTTCAGATTGCCAAACTTATGGAGGGGAGTGTAATATCAATGTCAATGACACTAGAGCTATTATATTGACTAATATTTCGTTCCTGTAGAGTTAACAAATTACTTATGTTTAATATGCTTAGTGCCACTTAATGTTAACATTGAAGTTAGTCTAATTGCCTGCATGTCATTCTTTAGAAAAAAGTATTGGCAGATTGGTACAACTTGCATAAATCGTCTTTAAATACTTTCACAAAGATTGGCACATCCGATGCTTTGCATCAGTAGAGACTTCTTATGGTTTAGAGGTGTTTTTGTACTTTTTAAGATTCTTAAGTTATTACCAGAGTTTTATTAATATTATGTTGATCAGATTGATTTGGAAAATCGTATTAAATTACAAAAAATGTTCACTCAAAGGCAGTATTTTATATTGGTTTAAAAATGTAATTTAACTGATGATAAGTAAACAAACCATAATAAACATATATGATAATATCCAGGATGACTGTATTAAGTAATAATCATATAATATTGCATTGTAATTGCATTGTACTTGTATTGTATTCAGTTTGATTGATCTTTTTCTAATGAAGATTTACAACGTTTATATAACAGTTATATTGACCGATTAATAATGTCTTAACACCCTACTTGTTTACCCTATTAACACTTTGTTACATCATGTAAATGTTTGTGAATTCATACACATTTTATTGAAAGTTTCTTAATTGATGTTTTATCGATATGAATTGTAAAAATATCGGAACTTCCTCCCAGGAACGATTCTAACATAATATCTCTGCCGATAAAAAGTTCAAATGGTTAAAACATATTTTCCTCAGAATTACAAGGTCTGAGAAAGCAAATTATAGGAGGCCCATCGATCATCTATAGAGTCAATTGCAATCAATGTCAGTTACAATAGACAGAATTACAATTTCCTCTCGATTATCTAATATTATCATCAAGCAGCTTTCAGAATTTTACCTTTTGCTACTATAGTATTTATAATAAAATTGCATCAAATTAGTTGGTCACTATTGAGAAACAACAGATTCCAGAAGGTATTCTTTTATTTTTCAATTTTTAAAATTCAAAAGTAAAGAGCTGTTCTGCAATTTGAAATAGAATCATTTCTAATTTGGATATTACGTTTGATTCATATTACACACCTTTACAAAGATGATATTTGGCACAACATCAATGCTTTGTATCAGTCTAAACATTTGTTATTAATTTATATCTATAGGTGTTTTTATTAAATGTTAAAATTCTTACTACCATGCAGAGAGCTTTATCATGTTTAAATAATATTGATTTAGATAATCCTAAAATAACCAAAAGTGTGTTCGCAGGAAGTTAATTTTTGTAGTATTAGTTGAAACATTTATTTTTTAATAGATGTTTATAATATCACCAAAGACCTTGGTAGATTGGTTTCCAAAATAATATAAATAAAAATTATGACCGTACCTTGAATACATCCGTCGTCATGTTCCCTGTATGTCTTTAGCACGCTCTTAAATATTATGTTGTCATTTGGCAAATGTTTCTCGGTGTGTCTTTCACACAGACGCTCTCCTTATTTGACCTTAGTTGTATCGTAATTAATATGAGTGAATTATAATATATACGAGTGTATCCCATAGATTTTGAAGAGTTTGTTTCCATTTGTGCCTGATACGAGTGTGGTCCAAGAATATTTTAGTTGCGTGATATAATCTCGAGTTGATATTTACATTGGTAGAATTTTCATAATTCTTTTGAGATACTACCTTTTATTACTACATACGATTTTGAGCTAGTGTAACTCGATCTCATATATGAAACTCTTTGTAACTTATATTCACATTCAATTTTCCCTTTCTGCATATGAAGTGTTCTATTTCTTTAGAACTGAGCTTTCGAGCGCAGCTTTATAGAAGAAAACGTATATTTGTAGTTAAATGAAAATGTCAATGACTTCACTATGGAATTACAGAAGTAATCCCGTGTCTTATTCACGGACACTTTAGTATTTACTTTCTGTCTTTTGGATTGATTTATTTTCGTTCATCGTGTTTTTCCAGGCAATGCTCTTAGTGTGTTGTTAATCAAAACGATCATGCAAATTTCTGTAACGATCAACGCTCACTGTACTCCCAAACTATAATGATTTCATACACAGGACTCGCAAATATTGGCCTTAGCTTTACTTTCCTATATTACCCTGAATTGTATACTAAATAGTATACAAAAGTTATTAATTATTGGTATATTAAACCTTGAGTGATTAACTTCATATAAATGAAGTCGTTTAACACTCAAAATGTCGAAATCGGGAAAGTTTGTCAAGGGAACGTAGAAGGACAATACAAAGGAGATTTGGTCGGTCCTTGGTGAGGGTATTGTATTCTGTCTGTCAACAAACGGAGTCTATAATTCCATTGAACTTCTGTAAATTTACTCATACTGTTTAGTTCATGGGGCTCGCAAAGGTATCCAAGGTAAACAATGTCATTTTCACTGCTTTCGTTTACATATTGCGTTCATAAAATTCAACAATCGAACAATAACAAATGCTAAAATAAATCGATTGCTATAATATTGGTTCTTTAATCTTGTGTAAAAATCATTTTATTTTATCGATTCAATAAAGTTTTTATCAAGCTATGTCTAAAATAAGGAAAATGATTAATTTTAAGACTTACAAAGGGAATATTGTGAGCGAACAATTACGTTAGTTTTACTGATCGTAATAAAATACGGTATTTTATGACAAATCGTTGTTCTATTTTGGTTATAAGTACGTTTGTGTACCTAAGATGCGTTTTCAAAATTATTTCTTTTATATTCAATTTCATATTTGGATTTCGATGCATGAGACTTTTCAAATACTTTTTAAGTTTTAAGCATATTTAAAGTACATCAAGCTCTTTCAGAACTTGATTAACATTATTTGCTTGGGCTTATTAAAAACAAACATTTCTTCTGGATAATAAAGGGTTTCTATTGACTTGTTTGCAGATCTTGAACTTAATGATCTAATGTACACAAAAATGGTTGGGTTGACATGTCTCTATGGGATTTGTATTGTTTGGCCAATTTGCTCTGGCTCAAGGTTCGTACTAGGGTGTCTTTGATTCATCTTAGGGCTAATGCGACTTTTTACTCTTCCACAAGAAACAGTTTACGGCAAAATTGATCCACATCATCGCCATCTCCAATCACTCGGCTCCCGTTGGTTAGAACTCGGTGAAGACCGAGGGTGCGAGTATGCTACACCACAGAAATACTGACTGTTTCAATAGAACTACATGTATATAAAATTTTGTATAACAATTTTACGGTTTTATTTTCAAGAAAAGTGCAAAAATGATTGTTCCAAAATGTCCAGTTAAGAAATACATTACACGATACTTTTAAGTTAGTCTGAAGAACACTGTGATTGATATACAGGGTGGGCCAAAAAACAATACCCAACTTCAAATCAGGATAAAAATAAACTTATATATATACAGGGTGGGCCAAAAAAACAATACCCAACTTCAAATCAGGATAAAAATAGTTACATTCAATATGGTACATTGACTCACATATCATTTTAAAGGTTATACATTTTCAAACAATTTGGTATATAACACTATGTCATGAAATCAATAGTAAAGTTTCATTATACTTATTTGGGAGGCCGGGTTGCTATTTAAGGTCTCCAGATTTTAGGGGGAAAATAGTAAATCTAAGGAATTATGTTAATTTTTTATTTATAGAATATCATTTTTTGTCTGGTGAATACATGCTTGCATATTGATATTTGCATCATTATGTCACTGTATTTATTGTTTATGAATATCAGTGCTGTTAAATAACATTTTACACTTTATCTATTTAACCAATTTTAACAATTGCTCAATATACCCCCCCCCTTCCCCTCTGCGTCAACAACAACAATAAGCTTCAAGTGGTAGCGCAATATATCAATTGCCTTATTGAGATATTTCTGTTGCAATTCATTTCAGCACTTAAGGATTCTGTTTCAGTTCATCAATGCTATTTATTGGATGCTTGTGATTGTACCATTTCCTTGAGATTTAGTCTAATTGCTCCATGTATGGCAATCAACCACATTAGTATCGGGCTGTTGGGTGGCCAAGCATCGAGATCATTCAAATTGACACCTTATTCGCAAAGGAATGCCAAAGTCTCCTTTGATCTATGGGTACAAGGCAATGTCTTGTTGGAAAATAAAATCCTCGTCACATATATGTTTAATGTCTTTTAATAGAACCCCTTTGAGTACTTATTGATAGTAAACAACACTGAAATTCATAAACAATGCGTTTAGTCACACAACTATGTAAATATAGAACCATGTATTCACCTAACAAAATTATATTCTATAAATAAAAAATTAACATTATTCCGCAGATTTACTTTTTCTCCCTAAAATCTGGAGACCTTAAAAAGCAACCCGGCCTCCCAAATAAGTATAATGAAACTTTACTATTGATTTCATGACATAGTTTTATATATACCAAAATGTTCGCAAATGGATTACCTTTAAAATGATATATAAATCAATGTATCATATTGAACCTAGCTATTTTTATCCTGATTCAAAGTTGGGTATTGTTTTTTTGGCCCACCCTGTATATATATAAGTTTATCAACAAACATTCCAATGTGCAGCAATGACGTATATTCCATATATATAGATGGCATATATGTACAATATCTGGCAAGTTGTCCGTTAAATATGAGAAGTGCGTGGTGTGGTGGAATAATCTCATGTCATCTCAAAAATGTTTTAAATGACAAAAAGCATTAGACTTTAACAACGGGGTGTATTATGTTCCTATTGTTCCGTGTTTTTTCAAATGGCACCCTTTGTGGTTTCCATTCCCATCATGGGCGTTGGCAGCTATAAGACAGGACGAGGAATATTACTAGACATATTTTCAATTGAAACTGAAAAATGACGTCTGGTAGCATGTAATGATCCTCTTTGGCTTCAGCATTGTCTTTCTCCAAGTCAATTGTTATGGTGTTTCAAGAGTATTTAGTTGTCCGCACTATACTCCGGCGATGACACAGAGACAGTGAAATTGTACGTCCCGATATAGAGAGAACTATGAGAATGAATGTTCATCCGTCCACAGAACTTCTTCAGTTACTTTGGCGGGAGATTTGAAGATTTAGAGGGACGTTTTAAAAGTTGGTGGTATATGGGGTCTAAGTACACCCCTCTGTCTCTGTTCATGGATGACGCTAATTGGTGGGTTTTAATAGCATCTTTGATTTTTCTTTTATGAGAGTTGTCCTCATTACCCAAACCTTTAATATTGTGCCAGTCTATAGGGCCGTCATTGGTGTCATTGGAGTGTTGTTTTGATATTGTGGGTGATAGACACTTTGTTTCCCACGTTTCAGGGCCCATCTGGGGTAATCGCACTTGGACAAGCACTGATCTAGCTCCTTATTTTCTGCCTCTAGGTTCCTTGACTAAGGTTTTAGCTCTTGTGTCCTGACAATGCAAAGTTTGGTGGAAACTTGGTGGTTGGAATTATAGTCGAGATATTGGTTGGTACGAGTAGGTTTCTTGTACACTTTTTGTCTATAAACAGCCATCTTTACGTCTCCATTGATGTAGTCATGGAACTCATGTATGTGTTTGGTTGTTATGGCAACATTTGTGTCATCTACATATATGTACCAACGTTTGGGCGGGTTTGGAGCCGTTGCAAGGGCTTTTGTCTTCCCCTAACTTTGTTCCCTCTCTGTTCATAAGGTTAATGGGACCTATAGGAGATTATTTAAATGCATTACCTTACATGAATTTTATATATTCTACCTTCCAGAGATATTGCACAAAGACTGTACATAAGATCCCCAATTTACTGGCATGAAAATAATTAGAACGGAAGATAAAATACAATTCATGGTCCTCTGCGAAAACGGTTGGCTTCATTTCCTTCGCCGGTTTGATGGGAGTGTGGACTTCTACCAAACATGGAGAAATTATCAGAACGGATTTAGAGATGTGCGTGGTGAATATTTCATCGGACTTGAGAGCGGATCTTGACACCACCAATGACCGAGACAACGATCAATCAAGCATAAATTGTGCTTCCAATTACGCCAGTGCTGGATGGTTCGGTCATTGTCTCGATGCTAATCTATTTGGACAATGTGCAAATGGTCCAAATTGTCCCAAATCTGATTCATGTTTGATCTGGTTAAAATGGCCTTCCCAGACAGGACAACACATGATTAATCACGACCATTCCTTCGAGGAGGTAGCTATGAAAATATACAGACACGTGGGATAGAACTGATAAAGGGAAAGGATCGGGTTCATGCAAGTCATTATTCATGGTGTTCATACACGTAACCGTAAAAAGTCAGGGATAGACTTGCTACAGACTTGCAATTTGTGACACTCAGTTCACATTAAAGGCGCGGCAATATTTGAGTTAAAGAATAACAAAATAAGTGACCCTATTTCTAAAACTGTTGACGCTGGTTCCATTTTATTCATACTCAAAATATTCCGATCAATAACGACTAATTCAAGACATAATAACTTACATTTCACATCTTTACTAAATTGATAATTGCACACATAATCTACAATTATTGGACCAACAATATATAACATGAGCATTGGTGTTTTAAGTGCATTTTGTTCATTATGCTTATCACAAGGTTGAATTTCGGCTGTAAAACCATTCATTTAGTATCATATGTCATGTTTATTTTAGAGTTGATTCATAGTATCCGTGACAGCTAATTTAGCACTACATACCATTTGCTGTCACGGTTACTATGTGATATATCAGGCATGTAGGACTATAAGTCCATATCCCTCCTTTCTTATTGTCTTTGTACAATATTTGCATTGTTCGTGCATTAACTCGCACCCGTATGGTTAAAAATATCCTCTCTAATATACAGAACTATATTACAAGTTTGTGATTCAAGTTTGTTACTAGTAAAAACAAGTGGAATATCATCATGTCTTTAAGAACTAGACAGTATCACTTTTTACAAGTGTCAATATTGAAACAGGTCTCTGTCTTGTTTAGAAGATGTAGCATCTGGGTTTGACGTTCATTTGGGAGTTTGCAGGGCAGTTAAACGCTTGTTGGAATTCAGGAAGGTGACCAAGAGCGCCATTCACTCTGAAAAATATACAGATATTTTTGCACATGTTGTCTTTTTATTTTAATTTTTCAATTCCGCTATTTACATGACTTCTTTTTGTAGCTTTTATGTTTTGAATGTATATATAAGTTCATTCGGATCATTTTGATAACATAGCTTCTGATTATGTTCAAGTCACGGGGTTGTTGCAAGGCAGAAATATTGATGTACGAGGGTTGGTTCAAAAGTTCTGTTCCGTTTGCTCTAAAAAGCTCAATACTTTATGAATATTGTTCGTAGCCACCCCATATATAAATAGAAGTTTCATTTTGTGTAAAAATAAGTCATGACTTTGACCAGTAACACAAGTGTCTGATTACCATAGCAACGTGACATCAGGTTATGTGGGAAGAGTTCGACATACATTTGACTTGTATACTGAATGGCGTATGGGTGGGCTTATCATTTTTCATTCAACTGAGGAGTGGTCAAAATACATCAATCTCAACCGACTACATACCTTATATCCTCTGGAACTTGGCCATTGTAAGCTCTGTTGAAAGAAGCAATATCCCTCCGATTGAAACAGCGTGTCTGTAACGAAACAACATAGCAGTGACAAATAAGCTGACTCTGTAAATGATATCATTACAAAAATGATCTATAACACTCAAAATTTGATTAATTGCCTATGCTTTTTTAAGTCGTGAGCTTATTTGCAGATTATTTCTTGGGGAGACAATCGCCGTTCGGTGGGGTTTTGGGCTCTGTACCAAAACATTTACCTGCGCATACGATAAGAAGAATGCCTGGTCTTTAGTAAAAGTAGTACCAGCTGGAGACGGATCAGGACCATAGGTGTTATCCCAATCTTTATAAGCCTGTAATACAAGATATGACGCACGATGAAAAATAACAAAGGAAATGAAGGATGGAATGTTACTTTAATCTTCTCTCTATTAATCTATAATTTTAGCTCATCTGCAATTATATTTTCTCTATACCCGATCAGTTTTGGATATTGAGGAAGACAGTAACACAGAGGGAAAACAATTTCTGCGTTCTGAATCTTAAAGGAGTGGTATCGATATGTAAACCAGTAATCAAAACATTCTGAAAATTTTACACATCGTCAATTTAATGGTAATCTTTTGGATGGTAACATTATAATTTGAAATATATATAAATACTTTTTTTATATCGTTTTACAAATACATTAGACACTCCTTTTGTTATTGGTATCGTATGTTCGGAATGAAATGAAACATCTATCCGAACCTCATTGGAACAAAACGACATAAACACAACGTGTTTAGGTCTCTCAATATTGTAGTTGTACAAAGGAAAGTTTGGTTGATTTTAAAAAAGTATCATATGAAATAAAAGGTTTATCTTAATTTTTAACTATTTTTGGGGTTTTGTTTTAAGTTTTTGCATACTTTTAGTTAAATCAACCAAAATTTCCTAAAACTATAATATTGAGAGGTCTAAGAAAATGATATGCCATTTTGTTCCAACTAGGTTCGGAAAGACATTTTATTTCATTCTCAAGAATTGGTAGAAAGGAACAAAAAACAATTGCACTAAAAAAAATGTTAACAAAATCAGTCAACATTACATAAAGGACCGTGTTTTTTACAGTAAGTTTTCAATAATTGGTTTAAGAGAAAAACATTGTTGAATTCAGTTTACCATATCGATACCTATCCTTTCTACGCTTCCTAGTCAACTCGTACCCAAGACAACTCGTACCCAAGACAACTCGTACCCAAGTATTTCAGTATAATGGGTGCATACTAGGGAAAAAATTGAGTTTGTATATAATGTTTTCATGTTATAATGTGAATCAAATAAGCCTCAATATTTTTTTGAATTTAGAAGACATTTTTCTCAATGGATCGATATAAAATAATAGTGAAAATAAATTGACACTCAAAGCTCAAAATGTCATAAAATTAAATCAATTTCTTCCGAAAATTCTTCTTCAAACTTTAAACTATTCTGAACAGTATGTTACAATTATAATATGTATATCTATTCACATTCCCAGTCCAATGCTTGATTCAAAACAAAATATATAATTGGGTACAAGTTGTCTTAGGTACGAGTTGTCTTGGGTACGTCTTGTCTTGGGTACGAGTTGTCTTGGGTACGAGTTGACCAGTTACCCTTTCTACTACTTACATAATATGCCTGTCTGATACCTCCATTCTCTGCAATTCCCTCCCTGAAGTATGCTCTTCCATTCAACCTTACCTAGGGAATAGAAATAGGTATGTACTAAGACAATATACTTCCCCTGAGTTGCATTTCTTTTTCGTGAAGGGAATACCCACGAAAGTGAAACAAATAAAAATACACAACCGCGAGTAAACTCCGAAAAAATTAAGACAAACACATGGCTGAGTCGCATGGTCTAAACGTCGATACCTTTACAATGACACTGATCCAAAGTTACGCACTGTGCTTGGCAGATCCCAAGAATACCTACTTTAGCTAGATATCCAGGTATCCTATAGGGCCCAGCAGTAACGTTGCTGTAGAAGTTGATGACGCATTTACGCTCCCTGATATAGTTCACTGATGTCGAATTTGTCCACCAGTCCTCTTGGTTGCCCATTTTGTTGTAATAACCACCTATGAGTGAAGAGAAAGGTTGCGTATGAGATGCTTATTAGCAGGACAATGTTTGATGCTACCAGGTTACATATAGGGCTCTGGATGCATGTCTTTCGGTCGATAAAAAATAATGTGAAAAGACGTGATGTTATTTATGGACGTGTGACGTGGACGTGTGAGCGATATCCGGGTCTTACTCAAATCACAAGGAGAATATTGTATCACAAGAACATATCTTGAAATTGAACTGTCTTCCTCCAAACGCATGATTTCTGAACTCATGCATGCTTTTTTCCTTTTGTAGGATATCTCGCCAGATGAACCTTCCGCTGACATAACAAATAAGATGAATTGTCCAAAACACATTCTTAAGAAAAATGACAAACAAAGAAGAGAATCAGCACAACGGTCAAGACTGCTTGAACAGCAAGATACTGACCTAGGTCATCTACAGCGTGTATCAACATACGCCCCATCACAGTTCCAATACCACCAAACGTCATGTAACCAGGCATCTTAGCGTCGAACATTGGGAACTGTAGGATACCAGCTGGTACAAGGAGCTCGTTCCAGGGGTAGTAGAATTGGGCCTTTACTGCATATGTGGAGTCTCTCCAGCGTTCTTTATTTCGACCTTGGACCAAGATCCTGTTCTCGTCCGCCTTTTCGAATTTATTTGAATTGAGGTAGTTTTGGAAGTAGCCACTGGAACTTACTTGGAACTGTCAAAACATAGTTTGATTATCATTTATTGCAGCGAGGAAATATTTTGGTAAATACAGGGTGTCCCTACAGAACCTCCAAATCTGTTCTGCTGAATAATGGTCCTGCTTTTTTGATCACCTTGTGGTACATTTTTACAAAACTGACTGCGATAATAAAATAATCTGTTCCGATATTTCTTCAATTTTAATTCAACAAGAACGTACATAAATCATCAAGTGTTCAGCTAGTTTACCTACTGTATTTATGTTAATGGATGAGAAGACAGTCGTATTCTTGTTGCAAATGAACAGTGAGTAACCAGTAAATACTTACAGTTTGATATATCAGATCCATTACATTGTCATCCATCATAAAATCTGGGTAACCAACTTTGTCTATAACAGCCTTCAACTGAAAGTAATAAACCATCATGCCATTATAGACGACATGGGCTTTCTCTACGACAAAGAAGAAAATTATCATGATATTTTTGATTAAAATACCAAATCCATTTTTTGAAACTGACGCATTCCTCATCATGCATGTCATAATGCCAACAAAGATGTAGAATAAAATACCCCCCTTTCTTTTCAAACACGATCTAGAACAATCGCATTTCTTTTAAAACACATTCCCTGTGCACGTACACTCGTAAAAATTTGTTCGTAGATACAAAGTAACCCATGCATACCTTGTCTCTGGCCCTTAGTCGAGTGGTATCGTCCATCCATGGTAGGGTTGCTAGGCGGTCGAACAACTTCTGGCGAACCATGTTGAACAAGAGATCGACCTAATACAAAACAAATCACAAAGGTCGTCAGTTGACAATTCTCCATTTTCAAACTTTCTAATCATGATTTAAAATTATAAACGTGAAGTCTGGACTCGACAGCACAAGGGGCAACATTTATAGGATTCAATCTACAACCAATAACCCATCTAAACTACGTCATCATGACGTACCTCTTGCTTATTTGCTGCTCCGAAGTTGGCTCGGACAAACAATGCACTCAGTGCAAGACCCATACGCTCTTGAACATCGCGGAAGCAGCTCTTTCTCTTGCCCAAGAACTCTACTCTTCCGGTCAGCGCCACTGTGAATTCTCTTGCGGCATGGATGTAATCCCATGAAAGCTTTGATGTGTACGCCTGTGTTAGTCTCCATACAAGATAGTTGTTAAGGATTCTGAAGAAACGAATACGTGTAGATGCCATCAGGAGTTCAGGTTTTCGTTCGAAATGAAGGGTTCATTAATGGACTTCAAAGAGTGAAAGCAAGGTAAAGATTAAAAGGTGGATTGGATCGAGTGGATTGGATTCATGTAAAAGGTGGATTGGATCGGGAATCTTCAAAATATGGAATTTCTTTTATAAGATTTTTTTCTGCTGATCTTCCTCTCAGCAAAATTTCCATTCTCAAAGTATTTTGTGATCACTTGGGTCTCTTTGGGGAATCAGAACAAAACAACAACAAATACAATATAATTAGTTGATGGATACTATAAGGATTCAACTGCTTTCCCTCGTAAATCCACTTTCTAAGGCTAATAAACATAGATCTGTGTTGATAAAATCTGTCATTCAAATTGATGTGTCCACCCAAGCATAATATTGCATCTGTTATTTGACATTGTGGACAGAAGGAGAGCACCAATCTGACAGAGAGAGATCAATAGACAAAAATTTCCGATCCAATCCACCTTTTACATGAATCCAATCCACTCGATCCAGTCCACCTTTTAATCTTTACCGATCGCGAAAGCAAGCATACAATTCATTCTTGCAATGCATTAGAGTTGAGACTGTATTTAAACAACTAGCGTAGCCATAATTAAATATTTTGAGGCATTTTTAGTACTTGGAGGCAATAAATTCCAAATGAGCACTAAGCATATTTTAGTAATTTACCGCACGTTGAGACCATCTGGGGACGACAATTTGTTTACCTGTTTTTGTCTGCTCCAAGGCTCTTAATGTGTTTGCTGACTTTCATGAGGTAGTCTCTCTCGAGGAGGATAACCTCAGTCTGGGGAGTGATACCAGCTTGGTCGTACATGTACTGGAAGAACCCTGTCCAGTCAATCTACAATTACATAAAAAAACAATGAGTTATCCAATGACAAACCGAAAATGTCTTGCTTGATCGTACATGTGCTAGAAGAATCCCGTCCAGTCAATCTATAATAGCATAAAAGCAACGAGTTATCCCATGACAAACTGAAAAAGTCTTGTTTGATCGCACATGTGCTAGAAGAAGCCTGTCCAGTCAATCTACAATAACACAAAAGCTAGCAATGAGTTATCCCATGACAAACTGAAAAAGTCTCGTTTGATCCTACATATGATAGAAGAATCATATCCAGTCAATCTACGATAACATAAAGGTAACGAATGATTCTATGACAAACTGAAAAACAAACAACACAAAACTGCATAGAATCCCATGAGAAATTAAGTTTAAATTCTTTAATCAGAGTTCTAACAAGGCTAGTCTTTTTGCGGATGCAAAGCACGGGTTTACACCCATACTGGCTCTTTTCGAGGAGCTACTCCAAAGTGCTGTTGTGACAGTGCGATTTTGAATGAACATCTATAATTTACCTCATCTGCAAGTCTGTTGAGATCGGAGAGCTTGATTCTCCTCGCATCTGGATCAGTATCCGGCAAGGTTCTTCCTGTGATCTGAAACAAAGAAAACAGAAAAGATGGCGCTCGTGTTTTTTATGTACGAAGATACGGGGCTCGAAACCAGTGTCCTTATGTATAAAAAATAATATCATTTTTACTATTTGGAACATGAGACTCAGAACCAATGTACTGACTTACATTTGCAAGTTGTGTCTCAAAGTTGAAGACATCGTCCACGAACTGAGAGACTCTATTACTGGCGTCACTGGGAGAGTTGGGATTGTCCCTTACCAACAGGTTGGCCACGTCAGTGATAAATTTCCTATAGGCTGTTCGGAACTAAAAAAGATATTTGAAAATCAATATATTGTTTTACAGCTTTCATGAGGGGGGGGGGGGGGTAGAGTAGAAGTGTGGAGCTTCCTTCAAGTTGGCTCGTGAATATTAGATATTTCAATTTCATAGCATCATTCAAACAGGTTGTAATGTTCAATGTGTTGTGAGGCCCATGATCCCATCAAGGATGATCAATACATGAAACTAGAATTATCCATTAGGACCAACAAAAAAGCCAGTAGCAAGAATATCAAAGAGAATAAAGGAATAGAGCTGAACTTACGGCCCCAGTGTTACTCTGTAAATATATCCTCCAGTCCATCCCCAATCCACCAAGGTCAATCTACAAACACATTTATCTGATTATTTTACATATTTTACATATTTTACAAAGAGCGTAAGATGATGTTTCTTTGTATGTTCACTCAGGCCCGTAGCCAGGATTTGAAAAGGGGGTTCACTTATTGGAAAATTCAAGGGGGGGGGTTCACTTTTGACAATTTTGGTCCAAAAATGGCCAAATTAACTTAAAAAGTGCTCAGAATGGTGAAAAACTGCATGATTTTGAAAAACCTTTGGCCGGGAGGGGGGGGGGGGGGGGGGTGGTCGCTCGAACCCATCGAACCCCCCTGGCTACGGGCCTGACACTACACCAGTATTTTGGACGTTGGTCTCTGTTTCGAGCGGTTGTGCATGTTTCTTGTATTATTTTTTCTTTTGAATACTTGTTGAATGTACCATTGGCACACATCCGTGATTACATATTTACAAGGTGTCAGTATGGTTTTAAAAAATGTTCCGACATTGCGGGGAGTTGAGATTAGAATACCGAGACAGTTATTTCATCATAGGCCAGCGTTCTTGAAAAATTGAACAAGTACAATGTCACAACCATTTGCAGCCATAATCAGGTCGTGACACTAAGTAACTATTCATTGTTTCTTGAAGCATCCAAAGTGATATCTCATTTGTTGTTTATCTAAAGGTAAAATTATCCTTGCTATTCACGAGTCTCAGAAATATAACTTTGTGTATCAGGATTTTGGGTTTATAAAATTTTATCAGGTAAATAAATGAACGATTTCAAAAATAATCTTATCAAGTAAATAAATCACGGGTTACTAGAGTATCCGCGTATATTGAGTATGACCGGTTCTAAACTTACGAGTGTGACCGTATTTCTGTTCCTATAAACAGACGAGGTGAGTACTTGCTTTCTATGAACACTTTCGAACGTTTTCTTTTTATCCTACTTGGTCAATGAATGATACTTGGTATACTTATAATGCCAGGCATATCACAAGGGGCCTTAATCAAGAGAAAACGTATTAATATTAGATTGAAGCCGTAAAATCCTAGTTTCCAGTATCTTTGATCAGTTTTTGTGTAACACAACGCAACTCCGAGGAGGATGACACATCTTATGTATAATATATAGCTAGATCTACGAATTAGTCATGAATATTTTAAATAATTTAGCCTGCTCTGTCCAAATATGATACATCTTTGAATTTTTGAGAATACGAATGTCACTGGTGCCCCATTATTGGAGAATACGGTTGTGAAACAATCAGTGGGCCGTGTTACACTCGTCTCTATGACATTTCACAAGCGTATCCTCTGGGAAAAGATAAATCCTTCTCTTGCTCATTCTACGGGGGATCATATAAACTGAGATTTGGAGATCTTGTTCAGGTTAGCCATAAAAAGGTTTGGAATTTGTTTTTTTCTACTGTGATATTAATGATTTGGCTCTAAGGCGAGAAATCTGTACTTTCTGATTGATATTCCATTATGAACAGTAACATTGCTAAAATAGCTCATGTTTAACATTTTTTTGTTACAGTACTATTAAATACAGCATAAACTATATTCAACAAACACAATTTCAAAAAGGATAATATAGAAGTTAACCTTTATTTTCCATTTTTAAGCAGCTGTGCCTCTCATGACTTTCCAAAACAGGTCATATTCGTAGCCTAAGAACCGGTCATACTCCATATACGTGGAAACTCTAGTAGCCCGTGTAAATGAACAAAAGTGCAAGTGGCTCTCTCATAACTTGCATATTTGGTGTTATCTCATGATCATTGTTCACGGATTACATATGAATTTTATCACATACTACATAAGGTTGGTGATCGGGTTGTCAATGGATTTCAGAACATATTTAGTCTACATGATATTTTTTGTACTAATTTTTTGGGAAATATAATGGCTTGAGATGTCAATTGCCATTTCTAAAGATGCGATTCTTAGACGAATATTATTGTCGAGATGGTAATTTTTCCATTTTTGAAAAAGTCACCAGATGGTAATTGGTCATTTAGACCCTAAGTCAACTCAATCCGAGTCATCTCAATCAGCGGTCAACTCAACCCTAAATGATTTTTAGAAATACAAGACGATGTTTTACTTCAACTTCCTTTGTCAAATAACAACTAATACGTGCTGGTTATTGTAAAGAATTAAATTAAAAAATTACGAATTTATGAAAAGATTTTGTAAAGTATTAAGTGTAGCATTGCATGGTTAACCTTTGAATTATCAATAATGAATTTCCATAATGGCAAAATGATTATTAAATTAGAACACTATGATAAGAAATGATGCCAGGCTATTAAAAAGATTCTAAAAATGAAATGCTGCTTGAACAAGAATAGTGACTGCGATCTGCAACTCTATAAATAAACCAACCATTTCTTACCTCAATAAGTCTTTTTGTATTATCTTTAGGGTCTGGTTGAGGGAAGTATTGGAAGATTGCAATGCTCCAATAGTCAACATGGACCTTCTTCATCGATGTATTGATATCGAAATTCGCACTACTTGGTACATTGGGGTCGTTCACCCACCAACCCCCACACTCATTGATGATCCCTATCAGCGGATTCCCGGCGCTCTGCATGCTTTGGTATTCGTCCATGCATGTTAAGAAGAATGTTTTCACTTTTCTCTCCCACGAGTCTGTCGTTGTTCTCTGAATCGGATATTCCAAAAGCTCAGTGAGTTTTTTCTCGTTGGAATTGAATAAATCACCCAGTACTGTCCTATCGTCTCTGTCGGGTCTGATTTCCCGCCTAGCTGCCCATCCGGAGCAAGCATACGCGTGGAAGTCTTCGCAAGGGTTAACTGTGTCGTTAATACTCGCCTGGAGGTACGATGAAGCCGATAGACACTCTGGGGTGGTACATGCCTGTGGTCCGCCTGCAGTAACTGCTGGTTTGGTTCCATAAAGAATTCCGATTAGGATCACTAAAATAATCAACAACAGACACACGCCCCCCAAGATGAGCTCTCGGGGATTCATACCATCTGGTGCCTTAAACGGTAGTTTCATGGGCGGCTTCTTCTGAGGCGGATTTGGGATAATCTGTCGCACTTGTTCTTCCACCGATGTCATGGTGACACGCTTGGATAGTCCAAAATAAGCCGAGCGCCTAAAATATAAATCAACTGCCCCCGGGTGACCGCTTGCCACTTATTGAAACAGTGGTTACTTGCTTATGTCTCAGATTATGCACAAATGGTTTAAAGTTCTCTTTTTATCATTGAATGAAGCTAACGAAATCACAAAGACAAATAATATGAGAGATTGCTGAAAATGAGTACGGTTATGAGACAGATAAGATTGCTGTAGACTTATAGAAAGTGAATATGTGAATACTGCAATCGTGCCAAGTACGAACTGTCATATCATCATGAGTCTCGTGACTGGGACATCTTACATGTACACCAGCCCATTGAGGGTGTATACCCTCAAAGGTTTAGCCAGGGGGCGAGGGTGCGATAGGTGCCCCCAATAACCAATAAACGTGTAACCATGAGATAGAAGACGAAAAGAGCTTTAAAAAGCTTTTTATAAAATTCAAGAAAAATCTTATTTTTTGGCTTGTTAGTTTATGCCACAATCGCATCCCCCGACTGAAACAGAAATTTTTCGGTGATCGCACCCCCCCCCCTGACTGACTATTAAAAGTTGAAATTTTTTATCAAATATTCCACTATGTACAGTGCAAACCCTTATCTTTAAACACAAATGCAAAGATTGAAGAAAGAACACACTATATAATATTTCAATAATAATCTAATGAGGTTCCAAATGAATGTTTTCAAAAACTGGAGTAAGATTTAAAATATTTTGACAAATACTTGGATGTGTTTGAGGTATTTATGACAGGTTTGAAAAAATGTATTTTCAACAGCGAGTATATGATAGACCTTTAATTAAATAGCTTAACATCCCAGTTGAGTGGGAAGATCTATATAAATGTACGATATTGGGATTATCCTGAACTTTATATATACGATAATCTGTATTGATTCTCCTTATCTATACACTAAGCACAACTTTTCCATTGCTATAGCCTTGGAATTTTGAAAATTGAAAATTGGAGTATGTTCTCTAAGAACTTTAAACTATAATAGTATTAAACTTTCAAATTTCGCGCCATTAGAAACTTTGCTTGGCGTAATGATATATGTCACCGATAGCATGGCAACGAACGTTTGTTCTTTCACTTTCGCTTTTATTGTTATATTATATCATATATTATGTGTATTTTATTAACTCTTTTAGTTTTTTAGACTTTTAACCTAAACAATAACCGACAATTGATTTTAAAAGAACTTAAAGAATGCAATACGGTTGATAAACATCAAAGAATTATATATTTACTCGGACTAGCACATGACGTCATATCCCAATTCAATGCGTGGAATGGCATTTGGTTACAAAGTTTTTGATGCGGCAAAAGCAAAATTCGAAAACATAACCTGATATTCGCAAAAGAATCAACTTTTTGAGAGAAATCTCTACTGTTGAATATTCGAAAGTTAAGGTAAGTTTATAAATTCAAACCTCGTCAAGTTAGAGCAGCAAAAGATTAATATTAGAAATCAATTTTTAATATTAGGCCTAAGAAAAACAAAATTTGTAATTTTGGTTTCCAATCAGGGTTTCCAAAGAACTGGATGAAGCAAGAAAAAAAGGAATGTTTATTTTTGATTAAAGTCGGTTGGTTGGTTAAGTCCATATATGGTCCTATCATGTCACCTAAAAGTACATTTTGATATTGCTTCTAGCCGTCTATAAGCTCCCCCCACGAGGGGAAAGAGTACCCGTGTATATACAACCTACCGCCGAGCAAGACACGCACATACCGCCGAGCAAATGTTTGATAGTGTCATCTCGTAGGAAAATGGACAATAAAGGTAATATAATGTCACTAACAATTCCTTTGGATGGTTAGAGTTGTTACAAAGATGTTCTAGCAGGCGCAATTGGCCTAGAATTATAGTTGAAATATATTTTTATGTCCAAATTAAGAGATAAGGTAAACGTATAATGGGTTTCGATTTGTTTTTCTCATTCATACTCGCTTTAATTGATAATGAGCCATACATAAGACATACTTGGGTCGGTAGATGGATGTGCATATGCATAATATATTAAGTGTCAAAATATTAGGTCAAAATAGCACTTTTGAACAGCAAAATCTTCACTTAAACTTTGTCCTAAAAGATCCGAGGTTATCGGACATCGGACCCGATGTGATCGACGAGTAATATTATAAAGATCCGAAAATATCTTGAGTAAAGGATCTCAGAATCCGAACATTACTTAAGTAAAATCTGTTGAGATCCGATTATATCGTCGAGTTTATGACGTGCTGATGAAAAAATTATAAACATACAATCTGCATCATTCATGTGAATCATTTTGTTGTGAACAATAAATGAAACTGAAAAAAATATGGCTATCACCAGTTACCACTGCACATCGAAACATTGTATTTCAGGTCCTCTGTACAAATGCTTCCACTGTAGTTATAAATCACACGAGATGGATGACTTTGTGGTCCATTTCAGTCAGCACCATACATTACTGAGTATTAAAGTTAATGTGCCTGAGTTAAATGGCAAAAATGGATTTACAATGTTTTTGACTATGGTATTGTATTATCAAAGAAAGATCACGGTAATTTTCGTTTCGAGGATATGAAGCTTGTGAAGCTTGGGATTCTTCAAGTTGTGTTCTTTGAGTAGAATGGCGCTTGCAATGCAGAATTAAATGTTTTTGGGTTGCACTCTTACCATAGACACATAGGAAATTATGGTGATTCAAGTGTAAGCATGAATTCAATGTTTTAAAGAACTTTGCCGGAAACAGACGTTGACGTATAGTGCTGCGGGAATTATATCATATTATATTATATCCCGGTGCCAGGAGTATATGATAAATAAAAAGGAATATTTGTGATATCTTCATGATATTTTATGCTCATTCGAAAGCTTACTCACTACCTCATCGGGTTCTACTCACGGTATAGTCGGAATAGCTCGGTGGTAGCTTCGGGTCCTATATAATCGTACTCGTGACATAATCGGGTCTTTCATTTTCAACTTTCACCGGTGATTTCAATGATATGCAACGTATGGCAGTGAAATAAATATGATACATTTACACCTATTGTATCTTTGAATCGAATGAAGTAAAGACAGCCATGGTTATTACTTATTCAAGATGTAAATCATCATTCAAATATTTAAAAGTTGAATTTAGCGATTGGATAGTAAACATTGCGCTAAGTACTCATTATTTTGCAAACATGAGTGCCTGGAACAATAACTTTATCAGTTGCACACAATTCTGTGTTTTATCTGTTTCTCATATTGAGAAATTCAAGATATAAACAAAAGTTTATAACTCACCCCTACATTTTCAGACATCTTCGGGTCTTTGCTCGGCGGTAGGTTGTATATACACGGGTACTCTTTCCCCTCGTGTCCCCCCATCCCAGCATAACATGAATGATGAGGCCTAGAGTACGAGTCTAGGCCAGATCTGCACAATCTTTCCACATTCAATTTGAATGCAAAACGTGATTGTAAATGCCTCATTGAATTCATTTACATTATTTTGTGCTTTTAGGCCATGTCAAGTGACTTTGGCGAAAGTATGAGTAAGCGTGTGAGCAGAGGTTTGAACAACATGTTAGACGCTCTCACTGATTCTCTTAATGGGTTTCGTCTTGGGGAACCTCAAGCTCAACGTGAAAAAGTTGGAGAATCTTCCAGTCAAGAAGTCAGTGGTCTTGATGAGATGATGAACCAGTTCAGCATGTGTTCAGTAGACACACCTGAACATACTGTTGTGTCAACTAACCCACCTATTGTTCCCATGACCCTACCTGTTGTGATACCTACTCCACCTGTGACACCGACTCCACCTGTTGAGCCACCAATTCCACCTGTTGTGCCTGTAGTGATAACACTAAGTGACTCAGAGTCTGATACAGATGAAGAGAATGCAATCCCCAAGTCACCAATTCCCCTCATTGTCATAAGTGACTCTGAGTCAGAATCGGATGATGACCAACAAGAGGCTGTTAAAGATGACAGTGGACTTATATATAAAAAGCTTGTAAAAGAAATATTTGGGTCTGAGGTTGAAAGTTCAGATGATGACTCTGATTCAGATGATGAATCTTCAGATGATGATTCAGAAGATGAATTCTTCGATGCTAGACAAGACTGTGATGACGACGATGATGATTTTGAAATGACCAATAATATTGTAGAAATGATCCAGACAATTCGGAGAAAAGTTGACATAGAGCAGGTAAGGATGCAGATAGTAGAATATGTTTTTAAAAGGGTTTTGTCACACTGAGACCAGTTTTGAGATTGAATATAGAAAGTAGTTGTTGGTAAGATGTGAGCTTTTTTAGTCAATTATACATCACAGGCCGGGGCCCCGTAGCCAGGATTTGCCAAGGGGGGTTCAGTTTTCAAAAATTTCCAGGGGGGGGGGGTTCACATTTGACAATTTTGGCCCAAATATTAGAGGCTGACGGTAATTCCGGTTATACGGTTTCGGTACGGAATTGAGCATTTACCGGTATTGAAATTATTAACCGGTTAACCGACGATAATCCCCGGGGAAATAAATACACGTCGTTTTTTAAATTATTTCGTTTAATTTCCACTTTCACGATGCATACAATTACATAGACATTTAGATGTCCATGTTTGGCAGTTCAGGTGTGATTTCCATGTTTGGCAGTTCGGGTGTAGTAGCTTCATGCTCAGATTTGGTTGTACAGTAAAACCTGTCTAATCCGAACGCCATTGGGACCGGATAAAAGTGTTCAGATTAGGAGGTGTTCACATTTCGAGGATTTTGCATTCGCAATAATCCGGATTCTGAAGAAATGTGAACACATTCTCGGTAAATATTTATAGTTCTGTTGACCACATACTAAGTAGCTTTATGGCATTCCGGGAAATTTGAAAATTTGATTCAAATGAATCTAATCATGCTTGAAAGCCCCATTTTGAATGAGACCATTCAAGATTATTTCCCCAAGTTTTGATATCATGACAAAATTTGAGCACTTTTGTAAAAAACATCAGAAATTTTATGAAAAGTGTTCAGATTAGACAGGTGAATTTTTCAAATATGAATGTTCACTGTTCAAATTGGGAGGCGTTAACATTTCAAGGTTTTTTTTAACATGGCTGGGAGTCAATGGGAGGAAAAAATTGGACCGAAAAAAGTGTTCAGATTTGGAGGTGTTCGGATTAGCCAGGTGTCCAGATATACAGGTTCTACTGTAGTTACGCTGGCAGTTCCGGTGTAGTTGTAGTGTCAACTTCAGATCCAGAAACTGAATTATGTTTGTAATAGTCATTTACGAACAACAAGGCATTGGCAACCTCAGGTTGAAGTCGTGCCCGTTTGGAAGTGATGGTGTTGCCAGCTGCACTGAACTGACGTTCACTTGACACGGATGACGCAGGAACAGCATGATATGTTTCAGCCAAACTCGCCACATCAAGATAGTTACATACTATTTCGTGAAGTTCATCAGTATGGGTTCAAATCGGTCTTGTACCATGTATGCATATAGACTAGAGAAGCTACGGAGAGAGTTAGGAACAAAGTGGGGGTGGCAGCGCATTGGCATTTTATCTTACATATTTTTACCGGTATATCGGTAACGGTACGGTTATTAGCATGACGGTTACCGGTACTGGTTTTCAGTACCGTTGCGACCTCTACCAAATATGGCTAAAATCACTTGAGAAGTGCTCAAAATGGTGAAAAACTGCATGATTTTGAAAGAATTTTTGGCCAGGGGGGGGGGTTCGCCCGAACCCTGCGAACCCCCCCCTGGCTACGGGCCTGCATCATATGCGATTTCTTAAATGAGAAGTAGCAAGCTGCTACAAATGTATTAACATGTTAAACATGTAAATGCCTCATGAATTTGTTTTCAGGATGGTGGATATGTTGCTGATGATGATGAGGATAACAATGTTGTAATGAGATCTCAGAGTCCAGAGATTATCACAAGACCTGGCAAATTTGAGCTGAGAAATGAAGACAGTTGTGACAGTACTGCAACAGTTGGCTACAACGTTAACATGGACTGGGAAACAGGAGTACAACCTAATCCTACACCATCAACAAGCCAACAGCCAAAGCCATCTGAGACACATAAATTCCCAGTGGTGAAATTTGAACAAAGCAGCTTCCGCATTGAAAAATATGAGCCACCTGTCTGCTCAATGTCTGCTGAATCTCTTGAAAGTTATGAATCAATGATGATTGATGAGCCATACTATACTAGAAATGAATACCATGATATAAGTGATAATGATATTGACTCTTTCAAGATAGCTTCCCATAAAGCCCTTGGAAATATGGCAGCCATGGACAGAGGTGACTTTGAGAACTTGAAAACCCAAAACATTTTACTGGAAAATATACAGTCTAGGCCGACAACTCTATTTGAACACCCAGAGGCTTCCAAAGAATTAAGTGCCACAATTCCAAGTCCATTCTATGGAAATCTGCCTATCAATCCAATTGGAAACATTGACTTCAAAGAGTTTAACACTATGGGAACAACTACAAGTCAATTGTCTGAAATTGTGCCTAGCTCCAGTCTGATTGGGAATACTGATGATATCAAAGATTTCACTGGTCCAAAGCAACTGGCTAGAGACAACCCTGTTGATGACTCCAATAAATCAAATGTAAGTATCCGTATGCAACATACTACCTAATAGAAGATATTTTATGATTGCCTAACATGCATTAGTTCATGTTCTTCTAAATAAAGACATATACTTGTTTGCTTGACCTTGATGATGATATCCCAATCAGTAGATCCAATTACAAGAGACTCTCTCTAACTTTTTTGAATATGATTGAATATAGAAACAAGTCCCCAACATCCCAATTAATGATTAAACAAAAAAAAAACTTATGAATTGTTGACCATGATGGCAGTTGTAGTCTCTAAATTTGCCCATATGAAAAAGATTTGATATTGTCTCCAGAATTCAGCTTTGATTACGGTGGTAAATAAAAACATCAAGGAAGAAAACAGTGAAATGCCAAATCCTTCAAGTGCAGTTAAACAACCAAACCCTGAGACACTGCTGGAAACTCCCAGGACCTTGAAAAAAGCAAGTCCTACAATTGTGCCAAAAGATCCAAGACTAAGCTTAATTCATAAAGTCTGTCAAAAACAGACATGCGTAAGTATTACAATTTAATGAAATGTGTCTTAAAGTAGAATGAATGGGTGTGAAAAGTTTATCTACATTTTTGTTACTATGAAACATTTTTTATTGTTAGTACCTCAACTGAAATACTCGATTCTGATTGGTTGATTAGCGGTCAACAATATGTACTGTTGACTGGTACTAGGTACTGTTGACCGCTACTTTAGAAAAAAGTTTCATGACGTCATAATGTTTACAGAAAAAACATGGAAGACGGACATTTTGTAAACATTGATGAAAATGATATTTTGACTTTATTAGACGACAAGTATATCAAAAATACAAATAAAACGTAAAATTAACATTAATTTACTAATGAGTACGCCATGTTGTGCCAAATACAGAGAGTTTAGCTACTTGCACTGTCTTCAGATTTAAAAAAAAAATATTGCTAACGTGGTTCGGAGAAAAGGTTGTGAAATGAAGCCATGCCGATTGATGATTGTCATCTATATGTGTATAATTAGTTTCTTCGGACTAACAAAACAATTGTAGACCTCTCCATTCGATCAACCGTCAAAATGATATAACCCTGAGTGATGAGATTTCTTGTCACCTCAGAAATGACCTTGAAACCCAGAGTGACGAGATAATATGTCACAAAGTTTTCACTAAAATTGCTCTTATTTGAACAATTATCCTCCAATACACACAAAAATTGTTTTAAAAATTGTAGAAATGATCTCTGCCATCTAATTTTACTAAAATGCATATCACCTGTTATATGTATGTCGTAAAATGTCAAAAGCTGGCAAAAATGAAAAATTCTCTGGTGTCAACCGATTTTAGAACCTGGGATTCAAGTGGTTAATGCTGAGTTTTGCTATTCTTGTTTCACGTTTTCACGCTGGGAGGAAATTCCCAGAGATGTGTGTACATATACATGCATATAGAATAAAATAGCATTTTCTCTTCCAGGTTCCAATTACAATAGCCAGCAAGGGACACAAACGTGCTCTCGATGATGATTGTGAGGAATATATCATTGAACCAAGCGTGAAGAAGTTGCGCAGTAATTCATGGAGCCAACATAGCTCAAAATCCTTCTATGAGTTTTGTCACCAATGGATGTCCATTTCTCAGCCTAAAGATGTCACAACTGCATCACAACCAGGCTGCAAGCGTAAGTACATGTTGACTGTGCATGAAGTAGCTGATGGGGCATCTCCATCAAAAAGATCCAGGCACTAAATAGACTCATTAATGACAATCACGATGATGAACAGCACTATGGATAGGAGCTCTTACATCTAAATGCTAGAAGTTGTAATACTCTCGTCATTTAGATGGTGACAGTCTCTGTACACCATTCCAACATGCAGTCAGTCTAAATCTAGTTGGGATACTCTTCAACAAGCAGTTGATGGTTCAATGGTAATGCAACACCATTTTCAATACACATATTTATAGCAATAATGTGCAGTCATGTTAACTGTCATGTTTACAGCACTATTGTGCCATACAGTCATGTTTACAGCACTTTTGTGCAATATGGTCATGTTTACAGTACTATTGTACCATACAGTTATGTTTACAGCACTTTTGTGCAATATTGTCATGTTTACAGCACTATTGTGCCATACAGTCATGTTTACAGCACTTTTGTGCAATATGGTCATGTTTACAGCACTATTATGCAATACAGTCATATTTACAGCACTATTGTGCCATACAGTCATATTTACAGCACTATTGTGCAATGTCTGGTCATATTTACAGCACTATTGTGCAATACATTCATCTACAGTAATATTTTGCAGTCATTTTTACAGCTCCAACATTGTGCAATGTAGTCATATTTACAGTAATATTGTGCAATGTACAGTCATATCTTCAGCATTATTTTAATGTATGGTCATATACTATTTTGCAATATAGTTATTTTTATTGTAATATTGTACAATGTACATTCATATTTATGGCAATATCATACAATGTGCAATCAGGTTTATTGTGCAGTAGCAGTACACCGTCATATTAATGATAAAGTCATATTTGTGCAGTCATGTTTACAGCAATTGTGTCATGTTCTTTCATCTCTCTAGTGATTGCACTAATATTTGCTTATCATATTTACAACCTCGATAAAAATCATTAATTAGCCAGGTCTCTTAATTCAAGATTCTCATCTTGGATTGAGTATCTAAATTCATAAAATTTAATGTCTTGGATTGCCTGTTTTGTGAAACTTGTGTCAAATACCTTCACTATATTTTCGAAAGTGAAGGTATTTGCATGCACTTAACAGGGAAGTATCCAATTCATTTTTTTAAGAAATTGTTTATTCATGTGAAAAGTTTATAATATCATTCTATATTTTATGAAATTTAATGACTTGGATTGCCTGTTTTGTGAAACTTGTGTCAAATACCTTCACTATATTTTCGAAAGTGAAGGTATTTGCATGCACTTAACAGGGAAGTATCCAATTCATTTTTTTAAATTGTAATGTTTATTCATGTGAAAAATCTGTAGTATCTACATTTTATGAAATTTGATGTCTTGGATTGCCTGTTTTGTGAAACTTGTGTCAAATACCTTCACTATATTTTCGAAAGTGAAGGTATTTGCATGCACTTAACAGGGAAGTATCCAATTCATTTTTTTAAGAAATTGTTTATTCATATGAAAATTCTATAATATCTATATTTCATGAAATTTAATGACTTGGATTGCCTGTTTTGTGAAACTTGTGTCAAATACCTTCATTATATTTTCGAAAGTGAAGGTATTTGCATGCACTTAACAGGGAAGTATCCAATTCATTTTTTTAAGAAATTGTTTATTCATATGAAAATTATATAATATCTATATTTCATGAAATTTGATGTCTTGGATTGCCTGTTTTGTGAAACTTGTATCAAATACCTTCACTATATTTTCGAAAGTGAAGGTATTTGCATGCACTTAACAGGGAAGTATCCAATTCATTTTTTTAAGAAATTGTTTATTCATATGAAAATTCTATAATATCTATATTTCATGAAATTTGATGTCTTGGATTGCCTGTTTTGTGAAACTTGTGTCAAATACCTTCACTATATTTTCGAAAGTGAAGGTATTTGCATGCACTTAACAGGGAAGTATCCAATTCATTTTAAATGATGGTGATTTATTTGAAAATTCTACAATACAGTGTATCTACATTTCATGAAATCTGATGACCTGGATTGCATGTTTTGTGAATAAACTATATTATATCAGTAATGACAGAAATCATGAGCAATTTATGATTAAATATGATAAGCAATGTTAGTGATCTGTTACATTCATTGTTAAATATCAACTGTACATTTAAACATTATGACATGTTAAACATTATGTTGGTAAAAATATCAACACATGTTCAAATCTCTGTAGGATTGTGTGAGTAAAAATATTAATAAATATCATTGTATGAATACAAATATAAAAAAACTGTAAAAAAACTGAAACAGTGCTACATTTGAACATAAAATGAGAAACAGAGAAAGAAATGTTAAAATGGTGAAAAAATTAACAATGAATGAGTTTCATTTATTGTAAAATGTGCATGTATCATTGTATGAGTAAAAGTATAAAAAATGTAAAAAACTCAAACAATGCTATATATGAACATAATATGAGAAACTGAGAAAGCAATGTTATAAAATGGTGAAAAGATGAACAGTGAATCAGTTTCATTTATTGTAAAATGTGCATGTATCATTGTATGAGTAAAAATATGAAAAATGTAAAAAAAAACTCAAACAGTGCTACATATGAACATAAAGTGAGAAACTGAGAAAATAATGTTAAAATGGTGAAAAAATGAACAATGAATCAGTTTCATTTATTGTAAAATGTTCATGTGTCATTGTTTGAGTAGAAATATAAAAAAAATATTAAAAAAAACTCAAACAGTGCTACATATGAACATAAAATGAGAAACTGAGAAAGTAATGTTAAAATGGTGAAAAAATGAACAATGAATCAAGTTTCATTTATTGTAAAATGTTCATGTATCATTGTATGAGTAAAAATATAAAAAAGTAAAAAAATAACTCAAACAATGATACATACATGTATGAACATAAAATGAGAAACTGAGAAAATAATGTTAAAATGGTGAAAAAATGAACAATGAATCAAGTTTCATTTATTGTAAAATGTTCATGTATCATTGTATGAGTAAAAATATAAAAAAGTAAAAAAATGACTCAAACAATGATACATACATGTATGAACATAAAATGAGAAACTAAGAAAGTAATGTTAAAATGTTGAAAAAATGAACAATGAATCAAGTTTCATTTATTGTAAAATGTTCATGTATCATTGTTTGAGAAAAATATTAAAAATGTAAAAAAAATAACTCAAATAATGCTACATATGGACATGAAATGAGAAACTGATAAAGAAGTCTGAAAATGAAGAAAGTAAAATGAACAAAGAATCAGTTTCATTCATTGTAAAATGTGAATGTATCATTGTATGAGTAAAAATATAAAAAAGTAAAAAAATAACTCAAACAATGATACATACATGTATGAACATAAAATGAGAAACTGAGAAAATAATGTTAAAATGGTGAAAAAATGAACAAAGAATCAGTTTCATTTATTGTAAAATGCACATGTGTCTTTGTTTGAGAAAAATATAAGAATGTAACAAATAACTCAAACAATGCTACATATGGACATGAAATGAGAAACTGCGAAAATAATGTAGAAATGGTGAAAAAATAATTAACTAAAATCAATTGCAGAAATAAGATATTACACATGAAAATAGCTTTTTTGTTCAAACATGTAAATCGAAGCGAATATATATATTTTATAATATAATTCATGTTTTGCATTTTGTTTTCATTTGGTTCAAATCAACTACACACTGGTTCAAAGATTTAAATAACAATCAAAGTGTCCAGACAAATTGAAGACTACAAACAAATGGTAATAATTCCAAGAGAACGGAATGAGTGAAAATTAGTGAAACTGAAAATATAGGTCACTTATCAAGATTGATTTATGCAGTAGGCCGGTTGATGTCACACAAAAATAGACAGAGTATTCTATCCATAAATACCCCCCGCCCCCGGAAGCAAAAGTACATAAATGACTCGCAGACAAAATACTAGCAGTATTGTTGGATGAATCACTTAATGATAGTACAATAGCATACGTACAAGAACGGTATTTTTAGATTTTATCAAACTAGGCAGCCATGTCAACTCAAATGATCTAAAACTGTGCCATCGTACATTGTAAAGAAACTAATAAAAATACACTATATAGGATAGCATATTGATTTTATCTCTACCTGTCTAAACACCTCTTGTCTAAGAGGTGTCTAAACACCTCTTGTATGTATGTGTATGTACAGGGTGGGCCTATAAAAATTGGAAATTTTTCTATTTATTCAATTTTCTTTATATGCAGTTCAGTCCACAAAAATTCAGATAATGATAAAATGATTATGTGTGAAAATGTTAATGATAAAAATATGCATGTATGATTATTTTTGGCTTGTCATGGTCATGATCTGTATACTGCGTAAGTCATGAAAATTTTCCCAATTTTCTCTGCTTGAGACATCATTACTGGAAATACAATTATCTCATACCATCCAATCATATGCCCTTCAAATGGTCTCAACACAATTTCCATCAACGAAAACATTTTTTAGTTATCTCTAGGAGAAGAAAGACATGTCTCCCTTGGATAATATAGCTTAATTGACCTCAGCTTTTTTCAAAACTGGCACAATATGTCTCAAACCTATCATTTAAGTCAAGCATGACTTTCAAATACAGGTCATACTGATTGATCAGGTGGGTGGAGGACATGTTCAGTAATTAAATGTTGAGCTTGTTTATTCATATTTACAGAAGCCGTTGACAATCAATTGTTTTTCAATTTCCTATATTTTCCTAGTATTGAAGACAATACATGACTAACAAAAAAGTTACAATCAATGAAAAATGTTCCATTTTTTTACTCAACGAAACGGTTTCCTGAACTTGTCCTCCCCTCACCTGAACAATCAGTCTGAGCTCTATTTGACAGTCATTCATGCCTTAAATGACAGGTTTTGAGGCATATTGTGCCAGTTTTGAAGAGCCGAGAAACCATTTGAAGGGTACATATTGTATGGTATGAAAGATACCAGAGAACATTTTTCATGACATGCAGATCATGACCATGACAAGCCAAAAATAATCATACATACCTTTTATCTTTAACATTTTCACAAATAATCATTTTACCATTATCTGAATTTTAGTGGATTGAAATGCAAAAATAAAGACAATTGAATAAATAGAAAAATGTTCCAATTTTTATTGGCCCACCCTGTATATCCTTATTGCCTTTTTATAAAAGGAGGAGATACATGTATACAATGTACAATGAAAATGATGCTGACATTGATGTTTAAATGAAAATAGATTATCAATAGTATAAAACACACCTTACACGTTAGGTGAGTGCTAACCATCTTCCCTACAAGGTCGATGTGAGCATCTCATCCAATGAACCACAGGCGATATAAGATGCTACCACTACCTCATCGTCCAATTACGACACTTAAAAGACATTCTGTGCATTGTGTAGAGATCATCGAAACACTTATCTCATTAGCTGAGTGCAAACCGTCTTCCCCAAGCTCGATGTAAGCATCCCATCCAATGTAAGTATGTATAGGGTGTCCCGAAAGTATGGGCTCCCCCATAGGCAGACATATTCCAGTGTCCTCATAGTATGTGTCATATATCATTTTAAAGCGTATCCAAAGTTACATTGATTTGCCAAGTATCATGGTTTAACTCCCGAATGGGAAAAAGTTACAGTCATTTTAAAAGTTAGTGTTTTGTCAAAATAAAGTTCAATTTTACACCACATTACTAGTCAATGTGTCCCCCCTTGGCCATGTTAACAGCAGCAATTATTTTCAGATATGACCTTAAAAGCCCTTCAAATAGGGGTGTGGGATTTTATAACCCTCTTAAAACCTGTTAAAGGAATATTCCTTGCCAAACCATCTCTCTCCTCATATGGTAGCTATAACCATATATATGCTTGCCATGTTAAGCAAAACACGCAAAAATGTTTTGATATGGTCAAATTTGATCACTTAGAAATGTGATGCTCAATTCCAGTAAGCTGCCATCTTTTAAAATTTCACACAGGAAGTGATGTCATCGACTCTCAACTTTGCATATAGCATAAGGTGAGGAGCTATTAAGAATTACAAAACCAGCTAAATATTCTTTTTCAACTTTGTATCTTATTTAACCCTTCTGAAAATCTCTTCTTTTATTCTAAGTTGACAAGCCCTGAAAATATTTTTGCACAGAAAGTAATGATCACTTGTCTAGAAGTGATTTTGTTCTACTTTCCTATACTGTTATGGGCAAGGTTATAGAAGTTGAGAGTTGATGACATCACTTCCTGCAAGAAATCTTAAAAGATGGCAGCTCACTGGAAATAAGCACTAGATTTTTAAATGATCAATATTGACCATATCTAAACATTTTCCCATGTTTTGCTAAATATGGAAACTATATATATGATTATAGCTACCATATCAAGAGAGAAAGGGTCTGGCAAGGAATATTCCTTTAAGGGACTTTAGAAGAGTTTCCTTAGAGTTTCTACCCTCACCGTTCTCTTTTTCCAACTCAATATCCCTCCGACCCGAAAAGAATTGCTGCTGTTAAGATGGCCCAGGAGGACACATTGACTTGTGATTTGGTGTAAAATTGAACTTAATTTTGACCAAACACTAAATTTTCAAATGCCTGTAATTTTTTCACATTTGAGAGTTGATCCATGATACTTGGCGAATCAATGTAACTTTGAATAAGCTTTCAAATGATATATAACACACACTATGACGACACTGGTATATGTCTGCCTAGGGGGGGGGGCATACTTTCGGGACACCCTGTACATACAGTTTATACAATATAATACACTTGATACATTAGTATAGTTGAGTGCAGACCATCTTCACCGAGGTCGATGTAAGGTTCAGAAAATATATGAGGTGCTGCCGCTACCTCATCGTCAGATTATAACATGATTTGAGACCCTATCTGTTGCAAGACTAACGCCTGGCGTAACCGTCACCATGTTATTCGGTGTTTTTTAAGTAGCGCAAGGATCCTGCCATGACCGTGGTAATGTTATCGTGAAAGCCTGGTATAACCGCGACAATATTAAAATGCCTGCCATGACCGTGGTAGTGTAATCGTGTAAGCCTGGCGCGACCGCAACCTTTATATGACATTAATGACCTTCATGTTTCGCCTATTGCTGTTGGTATTTTTTATGGATAAATCTTATTAATTGATCATTTTAGAAAGTATATGCTTTCGAATCGAAGCTCCTTGAATGAGAGTAGAGATATAGTTTGTTCGCAAATTATTTATGAGTAAAAATTAGGTTTTCGTTGTGAAATTAATACACATTTTTAGTAGTCTTTATTTACATATTTAAGATAGTTAAACACGAAGAAAAATTGTCATTACAGTGTTCTCATGCTACTTTAAATACAACCACGGTCATGAGAGGCCTTGGAACTATTGTCACGGTCATACGAGGCTTTAACATTACCACGGTCATGACAGGCCTTGCAATATAATATAGCATTGTCACGGTTATGACAGGCCTTGCAAGCATTGTAACGGTCATATCAGGCTTTAACATTACCACGGTCATGACAGGCCTTATAAGCATTGTCACGGTCATATTAGGCTGTAACATTACCACGGTCATGACAGGCCTTGCAACCATTGTCACGGTCATACGGGGCTTTAACATTATCACGGTCATGGGCAGCTTGGGTCAACATTCATAAAGACAGAGACATATAATGTATCTGGTAAAATATACAAATATACGAATATTTAAAAGTGGATAGTAAACAAATCGCTTAACAAAGAACAATAAAAAATTCTTAAATTAAACGTAAAGGCTACGGCTGTGCCAGGCTTCCACGATAACACTCATGGTCATGACAGGCCTTGCAATATAATACAGCGTTGTCACGGTTATACCAGGCTTACAAAATAACACTGCCACGGTCATGGCAGGATCCTTGCGCTACTTAAAAAACACCGAATAACATGGTGACGGTTACACCGGGCGTTAGTCTTGCAATAGATAGCATGTGCATGATTTGCACATAGAGCGCATCCGAAACCGTATAAACCAGTTATGAATTGCATTCCAAATACGAATCACGAAAGTGGTATTGTTCTTGCACGAAAAATGAAATCCCTCTCAAAAAGTCTAATTAATTTCAAAAATGTTGTTAATATTCATCTCTATAACAAAACTTTGACAGTGTTCATTTAGTTTGCGTCTAAACGGGGTATAACTAGGGAGTTTAAGCTTCCATATAAAAACCAAACGCCAACCTATACGTATATCAGGAGTTTTTACCATAATTTTACAACCGAGGGCAACGGGGAACTTTCTGGCAACACACCACCATATATTTGGATTCAAAGACCTAGAATTATCCGACCTAAATAGTTCAAGACCATTATACATAATTGATTTCACAAACGTTCTCTGTATTTGTGCAGTCGAAAGTTCTGTAAAAACAATTTTCTTCCAACTTTGTTTGGTGATTTGAGTTTTACAATATAGCATATCGAGAATGTGTTTGTTTGTAGAATACTAAAGAAAAAAATCATTCGGAGGAAATCTATGTACAAATCTATATCAAGTAACCAGAAAGGAAATGTTGAGACAGGATTGCTAGCAGATTGGGAAAGGGATTGAATCCCCCGGCCAATGCCCCTCTGTCTAGGTCTGATTGTTCAATGTCTCTTTGCTGATAATTGATTATCGGAACACCGTATGTCATACATGTACATGTTATGGACGAAGTCGCGTATATCTGATATGCTGAACAGTCAAGTCCAGTCAACATTCGATATTCATGTTCATCAATATTTACAATGAATGGTGCCACTATTGAAGTAAACCTCTGGTTAATTATTTTCAATTTGCCTATCAGCAAACGTGTTAATGATAATTTTGATGTTCTGTTAAATATTGATGAAGCAATCTTGGGGATATGGCCTAAATTTCATGAAAAATCATGAATTTCTTTAAAACTAACTTTTAGAGGTTACACATATCTTTTAATAAGGGATAATTCATACCATAAGAAAATCGGTTCATAAATAAAAAAAACTCAATATTCATTTTTTCATTTTTTGCCATCTGAGTGAGTCATCGATGACCACACTCCGGTTGCAAAACATTTTTGATATGCTAAAACATTGAAGTGGGGCATTAGATATGGCATTTTATTATTGAAATAGTGTGTCCTTTGTTCAATCTTTGCATAGGTGTTAAAAAGATCATATTTTTGAAATGTATGGTGGAATATTTGGTGATTAAAAAATCTCAATTTTTTAAAAAAAATGGAGGAAGATTTAAATATTTGAAAAATAAAAATATATTTTTTCAAAATATCTCTAAAATAACTTTTAAGTCATGACATATAGTAAAAATGAATGACAAAAACATATTTTCAAACATTACACGGGGACTTTAAAGGGGAAAACACATCAAGGACTTTGCTTTGATGACCAGATATTTCTGGGGCCTTTGAATGAAAGATTGCGTGAACACGTGGATGTCGATCTTTAGGGAAATAAAATAATTCTGCTTCATTCTTATCAGACGAATGGAAATTCCTCGTGTTAATCCCCGAAGTGCTTTATTGATAAATTGAAACATGATTTAATCCTATGCTAAGGCTGATGTGAAAGTCACTCAACGTTGGTGGGAATTGAACCCACAACCTCCCGACTACATGCAGATGCTCTAACAGTTTTCTCAAATTATGCATCTTACCATACTATGTCATTTAACATATTTAAAAGTTAAAGGGGAAAATAACTTGATCTCTTAATCCCTCTTATAGCAAGGAGGATTTGATCCCAGAATGCAATTCCGATATTCTGCTATGTATTCATTTCACTTACTTTTTAGTTCAGTATCTCTTTAAGAGCATTAAAATGACTGTTTTAGGGGAATTACACACCAAGGATAGAATCATTATTGTTAAAACTTTGTAGAAACGCTGAGTTGTGTTTCCATCACTGATCTGGTTGGTCCCCCGGTTGATCCAGATGTTCCTGTTATATTCCCTCTCTCGTTTGACCTCCCCCTACGAACGAGCAGATTCTTCAGATCTGCACGGAACTTTGCAGAACTTACCACATACAATATGAAGTTACAAGCGTGGTTGGTAAAGTACATCAGGTACGTTATAGTATAATGTAGTTCAGATTGGGCAGCGACATGCTCGTCAACCGGCGGGTCGTAGGGGTACCAGACCTGGTAGAAATACAGATAAAGTACTAATGGCGATGTTAGGGTTAGAAACATAATACTTATGAAAATAAGTATCACAGTTGCAGACGACATTTTCTGGTCGGCTGTTGTCCTCCCATTTCCAGTGTTCATCGATTGTTGGAGCCTCTTCGCCACTTGCAGCTTAAAGACGATCATAAGGTTACAAATGGCGATGATAGTGAATGGTATAAATGAGGCAAGAAACGAATCTATCCATGGCCAAACCTGATAATCAAAATATATATGGTCAGGATGTGTTTGGCAATAGTACTTTCCGTCTTCTTCCACCAGAATCTGTGTCCAAAATAATGTCATGTTGAACCCTGCGAGGATGGTCATTGTAAGTGAGATCATGATGGCGGCTGTCCTCTTTGAGCTGATGACGCTGACTTTGTGTGGTAACCACACCGCAAGGGTACGTTCTGTCGTAAACATCACCAAGATCCAAGAAGAGGCCTGGGGTAAAAAGTATACGATGAAGAAGTGCAACCTACAGACGACATCATGTAAGTTACGTATATCCATATGAAATACATTGTTGATCCAGATCCGAGAGAGACCAATATCAATGGCAAGGATGTCGCTAACGGCCAGACAAGAGAGATAAAGGCTAGTGGTCGATTTGCGACAACGTTTCTGCAGCAACACTGCGATTGATAATGCATTACCGATGGTACCGAACAGGATGAGAAGTGGTGATATGTATTTCCATAAAGCTTCTGCAATTACATTTTCGATAATATCCGGAACTGTGTCGTCTGCAATTGTTGTTAATCTTCCAATACCTTCAGAACCATCATCTGCTTTTGAACCTGGGGCTACGATCGGAGTGATATTCATGGTTTACTTGCCCACGTTGGATAAATTATCATGTTAAATTGTCAAAATAGTTCCAACCGGCACACATTTGTGCGACCTAAGCTCAAAAACTGATCGTGAAGTACCGTAGCCTAGTTGTATATCTTAGATAGTCTGCGCCATGCAGCTATCAAACGTGACGAGCCAATCGAAAACTATTGTGGTGTACCGATTTCCATTTTCAACAAGCTGATATTATCCCCCTAAAATGGGGCTTAATTGCTTCCCACTTTCCGGAGCCATTATTCAACATTCTAATTTCCCGTTGGATTTACTGTACCCACCATCATTATTTTCATTGAATATTTGAGTAAACCAGACGATCACAAAAATCTCGAATAGCTCAAGGCTAAATTGTTTTGCGATCAAGAAATCTTAGGGTCTTTCACTTCAGTTCTACAGGATACTTTATTCTTACACTATAGCTAAGTAGCGGAAGAGGATGCGTCTTTATATTTTACTCTTTTGGCGTAATCATGATGATTATTTACGTCAGCAATAATCAGTTAGTAATGGTGGAAAAACGGTTTGTTTATAGGCTTAAAAGCCAATATTGGCAAAAAGATTATTGTTGAAAATTTGAATGTTAATGAAGTTAAAATGAATTTTATGGGTAAAGACATGACACAATTTTCCAGCTCAGATTTTAGAAATGAATTTATCAAACGTAGAAATGTGGATGTTTTAATGAACAATGTAAAAATTGATAAAAGCTCTTGGTTGCGAGCTCATAATTGTACCAATGATAATGTGCTCCGTATTTTACATTGGAAATCACTTCACAATATCTATCCTTGTAATTCGGTCCTGTTCAAGTTCAAAATTAAAAATTCTCCTTTATGTGACCATTGTGGAGTAAATGACACTATTGTACATCATTTTATTAAATGTAATAAAGTTAATGATATTTGGAATAATTTCAATTTGTCAGATGAACAAATTTTAGGTCTTCAAACATGTTCTAATTATAAAGATGTTCTAATAGCTAGAAAAACAATCCAAATTTTTTAACTGTTAAAACTATTTAGGTACATGTAATATTAAAAATGAGTTCAACAAACAAAAGATATTAAATTTGTAAGATGATTGATGTTAATATAAAAGGAAAATAAATGATATTTAAAAAAAGTTAGTAATGCCCAATAATTTTCGTCAAGTAAATGATTCACAAGCTCAAGGCTCAATAAATAGAGGTGTTTCTAAATAGTTTTGAAATCTCGACAATTCTCGTTTTCATGAGATTTTAAGAGATTTGCACTTTTTACCACTAATTAGTACTTACTTTTCTTTTTCTGATAGTATATTTGAATTCAGTGACACGTTTTCTCCAATAAAAGGTTTGATTTACACATTTATGTCATTTAAATCATTTTCCATGACATTTTAAAAACTTCATTGGTGCAATGCAACAAATCATTAAAACCTTGGCTAAATTCGTTTGACAATCTACATTTCCCATGGTATGCAATTGAGTTTCAGACAGATTTAACCAACACTTTTTGATAAATCATGAAATTAAGTGACTATTGAAAATTTCTAGCATTGAAGTGAATGGAGGTCTGGCCCAAGAAAATCAAAGACAAACAATCAATGGTAACACCTATTATGTCAGCGTTATTCGGCTACTTAGAAACTAGACAATTATAGATGATTTAAACCACGAATGTCTTGTACATCTTGCTTCATCAAGCTTCGGACCTATCCTCACCTTGATTCACCGCAAATTATTGGTTATACACTAAATAAACAAACCCCAGCTGATGCGCTGACACAAAACACCCCTGCCTTCCGTTATCGCCTCTATCGCTTCTTTTTGATAGCGTTTTCAGACGAAATTTGCCGCAATTTTTTTCAAAAAGTTCCTCCATCTTATTTTCTGAATACTGATTCAGGGGCCTAATTTAAATAATTTCCTCAAACGGATTGGCGCACGGACTATCCCGCGCACTCCGCAAAGCATTTCTACTAATGAGACGCCACATATTATATTACTTGGACCTCAAGTTGTCATATGAACCCACAGGATAGAAAAAAGTTTGCTATCAAATCGAAATGTTCATAAAACATAAACCTTGCCTTTGTTTTCCCAATTCTAAAAGCAAGTTCACAATATCAACTATAAGTAAGCTATGTCGCATTGTCCTATCAATAATTGTTTGATGATCACGACTATGATCGGTCTTGATCATTCTTATTAGTTAAATTAAGTTAATATTCTGTATCAAGTCTTTAAATAAGGGCGGTAGTGTGAATTCAAGGGCTATGGCTTAAGTACTTGAGTGCATTAATTATTCCATGAGTCATATGCTTAACTTCTTTCCACGCATTGTAAATACTTTTCTACGATGATAAAAAGAGTTATTTTCAAGCAAGGAAATGTTTTCGCGAGTTTTACAAGAGTTTTTCTTTCTCCTTTCACCTGTGTATGTTCAATAGTATGTATGTTGAGAAATGCTCTCGGTTTGGAATTGATTTTTAAATAAAGCTGTAATTTATACATTTAGACCATCGTTTTTGTTACATTGGCGTAAGTCGTCAAAGTAACATACATTCATTTGGTAATATAATGGACTTTCGTCAATGTAACTAAAGCGAGTGACTGAATATATGTTATGCTACTTCATTAACAAAATAAATTCCAAATCGAAGAAACTAACTTTGTACCAAACTATGCTCTGCAACTTGACTTATAAGTAGGTTTATATCGATAAAAAATTCGTAACTAGGTAGTTCATCCATTTTGTTACATTCACTGGTGATCCACTCGATTACGCTGGTAACCAAAACGGTTCGTTTCGGTAACAAAATGAGTTTGAGCGTCGAAGGTACAATTTTTCTTTTCTCATTTTTTTCACACGTTGTAGGCAGAATTCCCACGACATTTTTATCACAAACGTGTAGCCTATCAGTATCATATGTTTAAGGAAATGTACATATTTGCGAACAAATAGTTCAGACAACAGAATCGTCGATTTAATTCCTCAACTTAGTTGCATAAACGGTATTTCGAAAAGCAGTGAAGATCTGCACTTCTAACCCATACCGTTTATCATCCATGGGCTTTCGATTTTCTAGTTAAAAGCCTATGCGTTTATGTAGAACATATGATACTGATATACGTTTGTGAGAAAATATGTCGTGGGGATTCTGCCTACAACGCGTAAAATAAGGAAAAAAGAAAAACCGTACCTTAGACGTTCCGACATTTTGTTACCGAAACGAACCGTTTCGGTTTCTTGGGGAGGGTGAAATATGTAGCTTTGACGTGCCCCCCGCTTGAGTTATGTAATGTATACGTTTGCCATTTAAAATTTTCTTGTTTTGTCTACCGAAACGTACCGTTTCGGAAACCAGCGTAATCGAGCGGATCACCAGTGACATTGACGTACCGTCAAAGTAACTATTGTTGTGGAAAAAGATGCTTCGTTATTCTCCAAGTGTCTAAAAATGAAAGCAATTCGAAACCGTTATACGAGCACTGAGCCTCTTGAATTTGAGTGTCACACTTTGTTGAAATGATACGCGTTACGAATTTTAGATACGTTGCATAGCGTAGAAGGGAGGGGGGGGGGAATGAAATATGTAGCTTTGGCGTCCCCCGCTAGAGTTCTGTAATGTATACGATTGTCATTTGAAATTATCTTACTTGTTTTGTCTAGTGACTATGTTATCCCACTGAATACAGACGAAGTCTCACCTCATCTCTAATAAAAAAAATTAGACTTTCGACAAAAATTCCAAATTAGAAAATATCCAAGAAGTGATCCCTGGGGTCTCTGGATCACAGTTCCAGAATTTCAAACAAGTATTGATTTGAAGTGAAAAACTGTATACATAAATACTTTTCCACCGAGTATCCGACTATGAAGGAAATCCGTCTATTTTAAAAAGTTATTTTCCCGACGGACGGACGGAGGGCGTCGGGCTTTACTGTTCTTATCAAACTTCGTCTGATGGGATATGAGCTATTATTGACAATTTATTGCAGCATAGCCATCATTATTACAGTTGTAAAAGTCATAATCTAGGTATTCTGTTATTCCTGGATTAAACCTCCCTGAATCAAATCTGTTCCAGTAAAAACAGTGATAATCATCCGTGAGTAAATCCAGGGAGAAATCAGCATTATAATCACACTGCCCTATATGTCTTTCATCCCCTTTGCAATTCACATCAGTTATCCATGCATTACGTGAATCCCCTGGAACAGCATACCCCGAAGCATTACCATATGGTTTTCCAAGTTGTCTACACACAACTTGTGCCTCTTCAACTCCCCAGTTTGTAGCACAGATTCTTCGCCAATCTTCATTTACGAACATATGCAAACTTTGATCATCGTCTATACGCACAGGAATGGGTGTACAAAAGAGACTTGCCCTTTTGTTACCAGGACAGGTAACATTTTCACCATAGTTGAAAGTACATTCTGCAAGATTTTTCTCATCACCTTTACACTGCACATCACTCATTTTTATGTCAGCTCCTCCATCAATACACTCATCATATAAGCCAAATGTATTAAGTGCTGCATCGGCAGGATTAAATCCTATAAAAACCATTCGTTTTGCATAAAAAGGGGCACTCGGGAACGGAAAACAAACTTTTGGCATTTCCAAGCTTTTTTTACAACTTTTACAAAATGTAGCCAACAGATCAACTAAAACGATTTGATGTTCATCAAATATCGAATACTAGCGCAATCGGAAGTCAGCCCAAAGGAAACAAATATGGTTAAAATACAAAGAAAATTGACGAAAAAAGTAATTTCCTTACAAAACAAAAATCACAATGATTGAAAAAAGCCTTAATATCCCAAACGATTACCCCGCGGGCCCTATGCATAAAGAAACAATGCCTAACCAAATGTATGGATTTGTTTTTATGAATCTTCAGAATTAATAGTTAAAATACTTCACCTGACTGTCTGCAGACCACTTGAGCTTCTTCAATACCAAAGTTATTTCCACAAACAGTAGCAAAATTGAAAAATGGATTGTAATAGTTTCCACTCTAAAACAGACATCCAATTAAAAAATCTTTAAAAGAACTTTAACCATTATGTTAGACAGTTCTTTGTAAAAAAAAATTCAATGAGAATAAGGTACATGCATACTGAAATTTAGATTTACCCATCTTTCTATTTCCTCGTTCTCAAATTCTTCACAGAATCGTACCAGGCCATGTCCTCTGTAATGTCCTCCCAGAGAAAGACATTTCACGAATACATCAATTTCTAAAATGACCACAGATTTGTGTTTTATACCTTGCATGATAATCAACCTCCCCATAGCCATGATTGTAGCCTCACCCACCCAGTATACTAATTAGGATGCGGTCAATTTCTTAGAAAAATAAAAACACAAATATTCTGTGTCCCACAGCAACTGATTCCATATACTTACTTGGTTCCTTTTCGAAACAAAAGACAGACACATGACCGCATGATTCCACTTTTCTCAATGTACATAGTTGTAAGGTAGGAAAATACCAGGCAGAAGGACAGTCAAGTTCAACAGATACATCAGAGGTTCCCTTTCCAAACTGACTATATCGCACAGCAAATGAATGTCTTCCTTCAAAACCACTGTTTTCACATGTTAAATAAGCAAAACGGTCCAATCTGTCTTTTCTAGTGTCTGTAGTACACAGATTCGCCCAATTTCCTTTGTAAAATACTTCAGGTCTGCCAGATAGTGGATTCCCATCAGCAAGTTGAGTTTTAATCATTTGCTTGTCCCCACAGGCTATGCTTACATAATTATTTGGTTTACAATATCGATTCCCCTGCTCCAACTCCTCTTGGTGGCATTCAGAAAGGCGTGTTTCATTTCCTTCACATCGTATTCTGCCTGATATTGTATGTTGAGGTTGTGGGTTGATGTCTAATACTCCATATGTTGCAAGTCCCGATTTGATTGTAACAGCCCTGGAAGGATTGTAACCTAATTCCCTACATACAACCTGTGATGCTTTGTCATCCCATCCTCGGTCACACAGCAAGAACCATGCACCAAACTCATAAACCTTCAAGCTACCATAGTTTTCAATGTTCTTAGAATAAAAATCTACTACCAACTTTACACGGACCTTTTTTTTACTAAAAATATAAATAAGAACTTATTATGTGATAAAAGATCGTTTGTAATTTATTAGATCAGAATTTCCAAACAGACCCAATTTTACTCTGTAATGCTTATTTGCTTTAAACAATCTAAAACATTTAATGGAAGCATCTTCTCTTGCGTTTTGATAAGATTTTGATCTACAACTAAGACACGTCATGGCTTTCCACTGGGTCTGGAGGCCCATAACATATTGAATAAGTAAGTTACTATTTCCTTTAATTAGCACTAAGATCTGAGAAAAAGTTGAAAAAATGATCCACCCTAACATTGGTAAATAGTTGTACGTAACAAAAATACATTTTCAAGATGGCCGCCGCTTTAAAAATGGCGGGGAATTTCTAAAATTCAAATTTTTTCATTTGAAACCAAGCTCATAAATATTATTGTTTGAAATTTTGGTAGTATATTCACAACATCTATCCATTTCATATATCGAGATTTACACCATGACCCTAGGGGCCATGTATGTGTGTCACAAAAAATGGGAATTTGCGTTTTTGAGATCTTTCTAAAGTAAAGCTTTATTATACTCAAATGAAAGGTAATTTAGAGCAGATTGCAAATATTGTACCGCTTTGTAATTTGTGCCTCGTAAAATTCAAAATGGCCGCCTTATGTGAGATTTAGCAATACTTTTCTGATCCCTTTTAAGTAAGGCTATATCATACTCAAATTTAAGGAAGTTCAGGGTAGATAATTACTATATGGTATTGTCTTTCTGAGTTGTGCCACAGAAAATTCAAATGGCTGCAATAGGAATTTGCGTTACTTTTGAGATCTTTCTAAAGTATAGCTTTACTTTATTCAAATGAAAGGCTATTTAGAGTAGATTGCAAATATTGTATCGGTTTTGTAATTTGTGCCTCGTAAAATTCAAAATGTAAATTCTTAAAAATTTCTTCAAAATTCTTAAATGGAATTTCGCAATAATTTTCTGATCTCTTCAAAGTATGGCTATATTATCCTCAAAGTGAATGAATTTGAAGGCAAATCACTATTTTGGTATTGGCTTCCTGATTTGTGCCTCAGAAAATTTAAATTGTCTTTATTATGTGTGCCTTTAAAACTCTTAAATGGTCACCCAACATGCCCAAATGCTTTTAAAATTGGTAGAAACTCTGATATATCGCTAATATTTCCAATGTTAATATTTTTCGTGACAAATACAGATTCATGTTCTTTGGGATTTGCTACACCATGGAGTTGCCGTTTTTCACTTATGTCTTCTCGAAGAAGTGTCAGCTTTAAGAAATAATACATTATAAACGCATCAATCCGGCTGAGAGGTTTGCTACGTTAAACTTGTTTCTATTTAAACTGGAAAATGATCGTTTAGAGTGGAATTTCTCTCTTTTTTTCAAAATATCAAAATCAAGAAAATGTATACAGTATCTTACCAAACTTGTCACCATGGCTGGTTATATTTGAACCCCATTGATCAATGCAACTTTGCCCCCGATTTTGAACTGATAAGATCAAGTTTTCCTTCTTATTGTTTTAAAAAAAATTTTGACTCGATTTCTCTTCGGATTTTATCTAGAAATCCCGATTTGCAAGATATTGTACCTCAATTTTTTCAAACAACCCAGATTTTACAATTACAATTGATTATTAAAAAGTGATACATACATCACTTAAATTTAAGGGTCATAATCACGTTCGTCTCTAGCTCACTCATCAAAGAGCTACCTTCATCAATGAGGGCCGCCATTCTTTTTCTTATTTTTGATAATGTTTTAAAGGCATTTTGTTTATCTTTTTTAATAAGTACAACGGCGAGAAAACTCTTGTTTTTCACAGCATCGAGAGATTCATAAACTATCTGCATGGCACCATTTTCGCCTTCTGCTGATCGAAACTCATTTGTAGACACGTAAGAAACTTGGTCCAAAAGCTGAATAAAATGCTGTATAACTATTTTTGGTTGAAGTGTGTTTTGGCTCAGATATTGTTCTATATTCGCCTTAAACTTCAAGACACATTTAGCCAATGTTTTCTTATGTCCTCGGTATTTTAGAATTTTTTTGAGGCTTTTAGTATTTTTTTTCTTCGCTTTGTCACTACTTTTTATTTCTTCATTAGACAAGTCATGTTTTTTTAACAGTTTCTTATTTTTTGAAATTGCGTGTTTTACAGCAGAAAGATTTTCTGAGAAGGAGCTTCTGTCTCGTTTCATGTAATGATTGTGTATTATGACTAGTTCCCCATCCTCCAAGCCATAACTTGATTGAATGCTGTTTATAGATAGTAAATATACCACCAATACTACTACACTCCAGTCAATGCACCCTGAAATGAATCAGTGGTCAAAGAATAGACTAGATGCGAGTAGAAATAATCTTGATTTACGTCATTTAATATTCAAAATTCAGTCAAAGTGATGTCATATTTGAAATCTACATGTAAAAGTGCATCTACAAATATGGTTTCGAAAATTGTTTATCAACTTTGAAATTTTAATATTTTTGAAAATGTGACTTCTAGTACGGGTTGGTTCCCCATAGACCCCATGTTACAAAATCACAAAAAGTGAAATATCTTAAAAGGAACTTTCTACTATACCCGCCATGCTATCTGACCCGAGCGAGCCACCTGGTGGTGAAACTGGTAACTACCTACTCGCATTTGCGTTATTAAGCACAGGATTTATTTAATTAGTGATTTCAAAAATGTTTTTTTCAATATTGTATTCAATTTTGAACAAAATACTCTATCGGCCGGGTGCCGTAGTGAAAATCGGATCAAATGTGACCAAGTGTAGTCTTCAAAATATGAACTATTGTTACCAAATTGATGTACGCCAGGCAACAAAGCACAAGCCCAGGAAGATTTAAATCCCCCCCCCCAGTCACTGTATAGCTGATGTAAAAAAGTTCTACCTAATACATAGTGAGTGGGAGGGGGATGAACTCTTGTTCCCGTGTCTGTGCAACAAAGGATCGAGTTTGAATAATAGATAATAATGGCTCCCAATCCCCCTTGGTTAACATCTGACTTTTTAATCGTTCCGTTCGCATTATAATAGTGAGGAATTGTTTTGATCATTCTGTTTCACGAATTCAATCGTTCGCAAACGCTTCTAAGGTTGTCTTAAACATATGATGACGACATGTGTAGTTGATTTCTTAACATAATTTTTTAACAAAATCATTGAAAAGAATAAAATATAACCGAAACTTTTTGGCTAGTTATTTTATTGCTTTTTATAATTTTAAACACAAGATCAGTGTATTATTTTTTACAATTTCTTAAAATATATGGAATAATCATTCTGTGTTGGCCAAAATGTGGTATCATGCCTAGTTATATGTACTAGATATAATGCATTGATGTATCCCATTGTGATATTTATTGGCACCGTTTATGAAACAATACATCTAACCTTTCATTCAGATACTGATAAAAATGTAAATAATCAAATGAGCAACCTATGACATTATAACCAAGTTCCTGAGTATGTATGATTTCAAAATGAATGGTTTTCAAAATCTTATCGCGACTCACCTAGTGAATGCATAGTAAATCCAGTTCCATTGATCAAATAATCTTTATAAAACAGATCATCAAGTATCAGCATTTTATACACTCGGGAATAGGCCAGAAAATACATTAATTGTTTCTCATTTACTTTCAAGAGATACTTTCTTTGAAAGATAAGCGGTTTACAAGTTGATTCCTAATACAAACTGTTTTGAAAATGGAGTTCAAATATATCATGGATAAGAATAAACCATATTTTTCAATGGGAATTAGGATAATTGAATATTAACTTCATTCATATGGGGTGAAATGTGAAATTTTGACTTTAAAATGTAGATTCTTCTAAACAAGGCAATAAAAGACCGGGGACTTATGGTGTCAAGTATGGCATCTTACCAGTATGGAGCCCAATAAAATGGATATGAGTATTACTTCTTGCAATACAGAGTACTGACAGACAATGGTGAATCAAAGTCAAGCCTAGGCTTCTACAGACTGCGTTTACAGTTATGCTTAACATTTGATAATCTACATTGGCCTATGGATAACGACCCAGGAAAATAGCAATTTATTGAATGAAAGAGCAACAAATGGACTGAATTAAAATATTACTTTTGTTTGACATATAAATATAATAAAATCATTTATCTGATTGCTATTAATGTTGTTTAATGTGTACTCGTGCTCATGACCTTGGTGACTTGTTAAGGTGGTTGAATCAGCCAAAGTTACAAAGAAGTGTATACTAATACCAGTTTAAAGTGAGGTTTATAAATTAATTTTAAGAAAAAAAGTCCAAGGTTACCAATTTCGTTTTTCTTTTACTGCTCTTCGATCGAAAAGATGCGTTTTTTAATAATTTGTAATTCGGACAAAATGAGTGGAGTACAGTAGTAAGATTTCCGCTAGAAAATTTAACAAATCTGCAAGATTTATTTCATGATTAAACGAATCAGCGAATAATATGGTCAAATCTGTTAGTTAATATGATTTTTGTAGTGATGTGCTTCTTAATTAAGTATCATACTAATTTATCTATTCATCATCATTGCAAACTTTATGTTATAGTTGCAAAACGTTACGAAATATAATTTTAAAAAAAATCAGCGAGTAGAGTAGTGGAGCATCCCAACTACCCCAATATCAGAAAGATTGACGTTTCACGCTGGTGATGTGTCTCATTAAATAGATTCCATACCTTATATTGAGAACTGTATCACAGATATTACAAGACATAACTTTTACAATACTATGATGGGCCTATTCATTAAGCGATTTCTTGATAAACTTTCGCTTGAAAAATTGAATCTTGCAGATTTATTGAATTTTCGGCCGTCATCCAGAAACATTACTCACAAATGTATCTGAACCGGAAATATATGAAAAATAAGCAATAGGAGGGGGAACTGGTAAACAACTACCTTAATGATATTAAATAATGTTTATCAATCACAATCAAACAATCTGATGATGGATCTTCCACAAGAGGTAAGCCAATAACAATAGTTATTAATACATTTGTTTGTTTTATGATTTTTATCCTCATTGTTAATTGACCATTGATAAAATTAATTGAAATATGGGCCATTGCCTTTGGGTACATCATCTCAGAATCAGATACAAAAGTGTATAACACAGAGCTTTACCAAGACAAATACAGACTCATTTCAGACTAAGTTTTCAGATAAAATGGATTAATCTAAATATTTCAATGATATAGCCTATATCTGACGAATTCATACTGAGTTAGAAGTTGCCATGGCTTATTCGAGTCTCTAGCCAATTCACACTCAGTGGCCATAGAATATGGTAAGCCATGGCCACTTCTACTTATTTAATTAGCTGCAAAGAAGAACAACCCCAGAATCCTGGTGAGTGTCCTCTACATTGATATAGCATTGGCATGTATCACAGGTCCATTTTTGAACAATAATAGCCTTCCAGAAATAAGATACATAAATGAACATTTTACACTGTGGCTAGTCGATCTATGTGGATGCAGTCATTTATATGTAATGTATCGTGGGTACTCGCGTACATTATAGGGAATGGGATCAGTGCAAAAATATGACAGCAAATCGAGGTAAGTGATCCCAGAGTTTCTACTTAACATCGTGACTTGAAATCTTGCATACATATTCAATATACATAGTATGACAATGTGTGAAAGTTTCAGCTACCATATTCCTGTTATAGGGAAGATATTTGAAAAACATTTCGTAAACGTCAACATATATGTATAAAATGGATGCACCTATGTATCATTTGGATTCAGAACGGTAACAAATGGATGCTTTAATAAATTATACTTTTATCATGATGATTTATTTACTGATTGACAACTGGCCAGATTTTCTTTGTATCCATTGTTTGGATAAACATTCCTCATTCAGTAAAGTAATTAGCCACCCCATTAGAAGTAGTCTAAAGACACCCTCATGAAAAATTGAAAATACTATATATAAACCCATCAACTGGAAAATGCCATTACAGATGATAAAAAGGACCCACGGTCCTGTGCTCACGCAGTGTAGAACCTTCAGAGGAATGTATATCCTGATTTTCAAACAAAAGTATTGGTAAACATGAGATCAATAAAAGATGAGTCCTTTGTTGGTTCAGATATGATTTGTTGTAGTCAAAGGAAAAACTATGAATTTGACCTAGATTTTGACCTAGGCCTTTTAGTGTCCAAATTTTGAAGGAAAGTAGATTTTGAGGACGGCTTCTATTGTAGATTCTTATTAAGTTGGCTGCATCCAAGCTGTATCTAGTGTTGTGATGTTACAATTGATAATTTTCTCAAGCCCCATTGACTTAACATGGGATACCAAAAAAGCGAGAGATCTCAAAATTCCATAACTTCCGAACCGGAAGTCGGATCAAAATCTGGTTTGCAGATTCGGATTCCTTGGACAATTCTTCACATATTTCATAACTCATACATTGAATTCCAAGAACCTTTTTTTATTGTGACCTACTTTTCGGATGCCATATCTCAAAAACGGTAAAAGTGATCAAAACAACTTGCCTGTAGGGATTAGCTTTTTTTCAAGGAACATGATTAAAAAAGGAGCAAAAATATTAAAGGACGACTGAGAAAATTGAAAAAATGACAAAGTACTGGATTTGACTTAGTTCTTGTCCTTTGACCTAGATTAAACCTGATTAGACCTAGATCTGGACTTGGGCCTGAACTGGACCTTGACTTGGACCTGGACTGGTATTTTTTCAATCTTTTCTTCACTTCTCTTGACTTTCTATAAGGCTATCATCAGATCGATTTTTCTCGAAATTTAAAAATCAGCAATTTCTTGGAAACCGGCCGAACTTGGGAAATGGCAATGATAGGTCAAATAGACATTATGGATATGCATAAAATGAATGTGGAAATGACTCAATCCAGATAGCAGTTTTAATTTGTGCAGCCAATGTTGACAGACGGACGGACCAACGGACGGACAAACGGACGGACACCTGGTCGATCCCATAGGCTAAAAAACTATGACTTTATCGCTAATAATGTTCATTTGAAAAACGGGTCCATAACATGTAATGATGACAATGAAAATGTTGAAATTAGGTACGCCAATGAAGTGAATTCAGAGCAAAAGACCCATCGACCCACGGGAATACCCACAAATCAAGTTTCATAGCCTTGCCCAAGTCGGTCTCTTTTACTTATCTTGATTTCTATTATGACCGCCTTGTACCCAAGAGAAAGCCACATGCTTTACCAACCCAATGTTTTTGTCGGTAAAATTTGACAAATCAACTACATTGTCGGACTAGGTCTTCGTGCATTTCCATCGCGAATTCAGTTTTGATTTGAATCAACATTGAATTGCATGATTTCATTTAGACGAGTATTAATGACTGCTTACATTCAAATGTACATTTAATAACATAATATATTGTAACTCAAAAGAAACACTCGATCAGATCATTGAATTTCAAGTCCTAGACAGGTAGTTTGCTTTTTTTATGCAGGTCAACCTGATAACATTTGATTGGTCAATCAGCCTGAAGTCACACGTTGTACGTGTCCATGTCCATATTGTCAATCAATATGGTTTTGCGATACCCTTAGGTAGCCTAGGTATTATGGGAATCTCGGAACCGCTGAGTAACTTAGCATAATATCAGCGATGATGCATTGGATTGTACAAGGTGGTAATAATTCAAGATCAGATAAGTAAATAAATACCGACTTGGGCAAGGCTACAAGTTTCAGAGCCATTAACATTCCTTGAAAGTGACAATGAACAGCCAACAGATGGACCATCCGTAAATCTTGATGATTTTGTCAGCTCAGCTGAACGAGCCTCCAGATTCCTTGAAACAAATGACCATAATTCAAGAATAATATTATCTATTTACAATTTTTTGAAATCGTGGTAAGTGGAATCTTTCCAATTACCAGTATAGCATTATTATTGTTTAAATATTAAAAATACACACATTCAAAATGATTCAATTGAAACCTAGCCAGTCTGTTCAATGAATCCAATCAGAACGTCTATTAATCCACATGATACATCATAATTAAATTGCTTTTCTAAAGCGGATATTTCATAACATAACCCCAAAAATATTATAGAACGCATTGTATTTGTATTTTACTTCACACAGACATATTTGTGTATGTGAAATAATTATATTACTTGAATTTTTTATTCCCCATTACAAGGTAAACCTATGGCAAATTATGCATACCTTCTCACAGCTATGAGCGAGATGATAAAACTGGTCGAGTGAACTCGTTTGAGTTATCTATTCTCCGTAAAAATATCAGAGAATGTGTGTTTATAGCGTAGCTTTGGTTTTGTAAATATAGATTATTTAAACAGAAGTGCAAAATTCTTCCATTGAAAAGTACAGAGGCGGGTACTCACGAAACATTACATGTGCCTGACTGCATCCACATAGATCGACTAGCCACAGTGTTTTATGAAAACTTAGAACTACTTTTAATATTGACACCAGTGGCAAATGGGGAAAGATCAAAAACAAATCTAAATAAAAAACTCTAATATATATTCTAATATATGATTAAAATGTACTGAAACATCCATTGATACGATGAGCTTTCTTTACTTAATGTATTAATCTTGTCTGATTTTAAATTTCAGGTTGCTGAAATTAACATGAAAATGATTCCTGAGGAGCTATTATTGACAATTTATTGCAGCATAACCACCATCATTACAGTTGTAAAAGTCATAATCGAGGTATTCTGTTATTCCTGGATTAAACCTCTCTGAATCAAATCTGTTCCAGTAAGAACAGTGATAATCATCCGTAAGTAAATCCAGGGAGAAATCAGCATTATAATCACATTGCCCTATATGTCTTTCATCCCCTTGGCAATTCACATCAGTTATCCATGCATTTTGTGAATCCCCTGGAACAGCATACCCCGAAGCATTACCATATGGTTTTCCAAGTTGTCTACACACAACTTTTGCCTCTTCAACTCCCCAGTTTGTAGCACAGATTCTACGCCAATCTTCATTTACGAACATATGCAAACTTTGATCATCGTCTATACGCACCGGAATGGGTGTACAAAAGAGACTTGCCCTTTTGTTACCAGGACAGGTAACATTTTCACCATATTTGAAAGTACATTCTGCAAGATTTTTCTCATCACCTTTACACTGCACATCACTCATTTTTATGTCATCTCCTCCCTCAATACATTCATCATATAAGCCAAAAGTATTTAGTGCTGCATCGGCAGGATTAAAACCTATAAAAATCATTTGTTTTGCATAAAAAGGAGCACCCGGGCAGGGGAACAAGCTTTTGACATTTTCAAACTCTTTTTACAAGTTGTTGAAAAGTGTAGCCAACAGATCAACTAAAACGATTTGATGTTCATCAAATATCGAATACTAAGCGTAATTGGAAGTCAGTCCAAAGCAAACAAATAAGGTTAAAATACAAGGAAAATTGCCGAAAGAAGTAATTTCTTTGCAAAACAAAAATCACACTGATTGAAAAAAGCCTTAAAATCCCAAACGATTACTCCTTGGACTCTATGCATAAAAAAACAATGCCTAAATAACCGAATTTATGGATTTGCTTTTTTAATCGAACAGAATTAATAATTAATACTTCACCTGACTGCCTGCAGACCACTTGAGATTCTTTAATACCAAAGTTATTTCCACAAACAGTAGCAAAATTGACAAATGGATTGAAATATGATCCATCCTAAAATAAAGACATACAAAGAATCTTTAAAAGGCCTTATGTCAGACAGATCTTTGTGGAATTTCCAATGGGAATAAGGAACATGTATACTCAAATTTAGACTTACCCATCTTCTTCTTTCTTCTTGCTCAAATTCTTCACAAAATCGTACAAGGCCATGCCCCTTATAATATCCTCCGAGAGAAAGACATTTCACGAATGCATCAATTTCTAAAATGATCACAGATTTGTGCTTCATAATCATGGAGGCCCATGATGGTATTTGACCCAACACAAGCTATAACGAGATCAATTTCATAGACGAAATAGAAAAGACTAAAATACATATATTTGGTGTCCCACAGCATGTGGTTTCATATACTTACTTGGTTCATTTTCGAAACAGAAGACAGACACATGGCTGCATGATTTCACCTCTCTCAATCTACATAGTTGTAAGGTAGGAAAACGCCAGGGCTGAGGACAATCAAGTTCCACCGATACATCAGAGGTTCCCTTTCCAAACTGACTATATGGCACAGTAAATGCATTTCTTCCTTTTAAACCAGTGTTTTCACATGTTAAATATGCAAAAAGCTCCAATCTGTCTTTCCTGGTGTTCGAGGTACACAGATTTGCCCAATTTCCTTTGTAAAATACTTCAGGTCTTCCTGATAAAGAACTCCCATCAGCAAGTCGAGTTTTTATTATTCTTTTGTTTCCACAGGCTATAGCTATATAATTATTTGGTTCACAATTTTGACTCCCCAGTTTCCATTCCTCTTTATGACATTGAGATAGACGGGTTTCATTGCCACCACAAAGTATTTTACTAGAGATAACAAGTTTAGACCCAATGTATTCATCTGCCTCTCCATATGTTGCAAGTCCTGATTTGATTGTAACAGCCCTTGTAGGATCGTAGCCTAGTTCCCTACACACAACCTGTGATGTCTTATCACTCCACCCCTTGTCACACAGGTAGTACCATGCACCAAAATCATTTACCTTCAGGCTACCATAGTTTTCAACTTCATCATAAATTTCCCTTAATATCAACTTTACCCCCGGTTCATCAGTTATTACTGGAACTTTAAATACAAATTATATGTATTAAAGTACTCTCTTTAAATTTACTTCTTAAGTGTACAAAACACATTATGCAAAATACAAAAGAGGGTAAAAACATGCCCATATTGGGGTATGTTGGGTTGTTTGACAATGTTTAAATCAATGGACTGGGATAGCCAATACTCATAACATCAAAAATAGTTAGTACATATTCAAGATAGAAAATTTAGGCCTCCTAGACTTCCACTAAAGCGAAAATCAGTTCTGACCTCGCGAACCACGATTCTCACGTCGCGAACGTGAAATATTTAGTCGCGCATCACAATTTTCTCACTCCAGAACATATTTCTCCACTCGCGAACATTTTAAATATATATTTTCAATATTTCTAAACATTGAAAATAGTTACACAACTTCTTTACATACCCGGTTTGAATTTTAACTTGGCAATCAGCTTAGTCTCGAGATCCTTTATCAATGTGCTTCCTTCTTCAATGAGGTCTACAAATTTCTTTCTTATCCTAGATAGTTGTTTAAAGGCACTCCTTTTATTTGTTGCATTTAGCACAATTGAAAGAAAGTCTTTGTTTTTCAAATGTGAGTCATCACTGCCATCCAAAGATAACAAGTTAAATGTCATCTTCATAGCAAACATTTCACCTTCTGCTGTTCGGAATTTGAATGTTAAAGCTTTATGAAGAAGTCCAATTAAATACTGTATATCCTCAACTAACTCTTTTTCAAATGTGTTTTGGTCTAAGTATAGTTCAAGTTTTTCTTTGAACTTCAAGAGATGCCTTTTCAATACTTTGCTATGTGTTTGGTATTTCTTCAGTTGTTTGAAGATACCCATATTTTCTTTCATAGCCTTCCGAACAGTCTTTGCATCCGCCTTGGATATGTTGGACAATTCCGTTTCTTGAAATGTTTCAATCTGTGCAATGGCAGCTTCTACTTCTGAACTCATTTCCAGAAAGGAGCCTATGAATAAATTCTCGTATTCTATTGCAACAGTTCCCTGGTTTTTAGCTCCATCACTTGGTTGAATGTTTAAAAGATATAATAAACATGCCAATGCTGTAACTGGTACATTCCAGGCCATACATCCTGACAATGAAAATAAAAAAATGATGGATCATCATCATAATACCGATTGATAAATTTTATGAAAACACTACATGAAGTTGCTCTGATTTTGTTCAAAGGGTACTTGACATGTGGAACTATGGAGAACAATAACATGAATAATGGGTAATTATTATATCATTGCTATTGCCCTCCATAGAATGAATATTTGTTTAGTATTCATTTCGTCCTTATTACAAGTAAAATTCGTACTCACCTAGAACATACATGCTGAATATCAACCTTGTTCAGTTCAATCATGTGAGTAATGCTAACATATATCATCAAAAATAATTGAGTATTTGTACATTCCACCAACACACTCGGGGAAAGGCTAGATTAAATAAAGTAGTTGTTTTAGCATTTATCTTCAGGGAATGTTGATTTGGAGACTGGATCCAACTTTTTATTTACTATGACAGTATGACTACAGGAAAACTAGGAATTTTCTATGTCAGAAAAGCAATGATATTCAACAATTATTGAAGTCGGATTACAGGAATATGTATTGCTATTACTAAACAATTGATAACATGCATTGGCCTTAAATTCATAACTGAGCAAATTAGTGATAATTAAAATGAATGAACTGAAATATTGACACAATATTCACTTTGAACTACAATAGAAAGCATAAGAATAAAAGAATTATTGTTTTAATCAATCGATTGGATATACAATTAACTTTTTTTTACATATGACTGATTTTAAATTATGCATTACTTAGAAAATAGAACTATTCAAGTGTAAAATCAATAACAATATTTTACCATATAACCCCTTTATGATTTTAATTAAAGTAGTGTTTATTGTTTAAATTATTGCCATGTTTGTTATTAAAACAATAAAGCTAACTTTTAGCACGTGGTACTAACTTCGACCGTTAATTTCAGTTTTTGACCTACCAGATGTTTGACAATCAAGGATTGCGAGTGTCAAACTGCACCGTTTTTCTTAATTCAAACTTGTTCAATTCAAAGCAAAACAAAATTCCCTTTCTGTTGGTGTATTGCTTTATTGTAAAGACACCCTCGTTTTAGCAGCGTTTTGGTCCCCAGCTGTTCACACAGCTGAAGACCAAAATGCCGCTAGAAGTAGGGACTTTGTATAACAGAATAATGTACCAACAGAAAGGCATTTTTGCTTTGTTTTGAATAGAAGAAGTTTGAAGAAAAATGGTGCAGTATGAGATTTTCAAACATCTGGTGGGTCAAAAATTCAAATTAACGGTCGAAGTTAGTACCGCATACATTAGTCAATGTATAGACTCAACTAGAAAAACAGCAACCCCACGGAGAAACAAATCCCAAGTTTTGATAAACCGACCAATTTGAAAACATCTTCTTGAACGGAGTTCCATTGTCCCTTGAATCAAGTCCTTCTACTGCTACTAGATGTTTTTACAAAAGTTGGCCGCCATTTCAGATGTCATCTTGATAATTTCCAAATCCATCCACTGATGATATTTGAGTTATTAAAGATTGTTTTTTTTTACAAAAAATGGGAATTCAGCAAGCAGAGCTCTGTAGTTGGTGCTTGGAGGGGTCGATCTTTTCCGAACATCCCATTAATTTAGCTTAGGGTGTTGAAATGGCACGACCCTTATAATCTAATGTGTCATTAAATCATTTAAACCCAGTTACATGTGCAGACCTGCCAACATAAGACCAAACATTTGCAGTAGTTTCTTTTTTGAATTGCGGTATTTTTGCGGTAGATTTTTTCAAAATGCCGTGGTTTTTGTGGTATTTTTCGACAAAAATGCGTTTTACGGTAGATTTTGCTGGTTTTTGCGGTAGATTTTTGAAAATTATTTTCTGTTCTTTTTCGGAAGTTTTTGAAAAAATGCGGTAGTTTTTGCGGAAGATTTTGAAAAAATGCGGTAGATTAAAAAAATTGATTTTGCGTATATTTTGACACACCTCAATGAATAAATAATAGCATAAATGGAACTCTTTCATAAACAGACTAACAATTTGAACACTTCAGTGTTTTTATAACAACAGTAGAACCTGTGGTAGTTGAACACTGTGCACCACGATACTCCCGAGTGTGTCGACAGATTACACGCCAGCTTACTTACACCCCAGTCACATTTGTCGCACGGCGGCCGCAAGTCGACCGCAGATCAATTAAATCGGTGAATTTCTGCAGCGAGCGTAGAAAAACTACGCTCGCCTAGCGGCCTCCGTACGGCGTATGCAGATTTTCACAGGCCGCAGGAAAGGCGTAGAAATTATAACTCGGAGTTATAATTTTTGTTCATTTCTGAGGTCCCCGTAGAAATCAACTGGCTCAACAAGATTGAATCATTATTTGTCAATGTTTCACGATCACTTTTCATTTGATATTACATCCTAGCACTATGAATAACATTTATAAATTGTCCCGATGTAAATAAAATGAAAAAAGTATTATTTATCAACAGAAATTTAAAATCACCGTGCGGCTGCCGTGGGAAATGTGACTGCAAAAGTATGAGAGCGCAGAAATTCCACGGCGAGCGTAGAAATGTTACTGGCCGCAGAAATGATAGGCCGCAAGGTCGCCGTAGGAAATGTGACTGGGGTGTTAGTTACTCATACGCAATAACCACTGTCGCAGACCTGCCGACACCTATTTATTTTCGGGTTGGTAATGGAATACTACAAAGGCAATACGGGAAGACTTCAATTTTTCAGAATTTCCAAATACAATGAAATGATGACGGTAGATTTAACGGTAGTTTGAACAAGAATACTGTTAATTTCAGCAGAAATACGATAAATCTCCGAATACTTACGGTATATTTTACGGCCGTTCTTATAGAAAAAATCGAATTATAATAAAATATTTTACGGTAGATATCGGTAAAATTACTGTAGATTTTTTACGGTCGTTTTACGGTAGTTTGTCATTTTTTTACGGAAAACAAAAATTTTACGGTAGATTCCCGTAAAAATACGGTAGGTTGGCAGGTATGTGTATGCCATGCCCGTGACCAGTCTCCAGCATTATTGTTTTGAAAGTACATATCAATTTAGTTAGTTGGTTATTGTGAATTCACACATAGCTAGGCAAGGCATGTTCAATTCCAGCCAATCAGAACAGTGTTCACACAATGAACAGTGTGTGAAATATCAATGGGACATGCAAGGTCACAAGTTAAACAGTTGTAATAGTGATGAATGGACTTCTCACATTGGATTTGATGACTTGCCAACTTGACCCTTGCCAAAAATGTCATTGGAAATATGTTCTTTTAGTGACTCTGTTCCTTTTAGATGATTTTGGAGAAAATATTTTGCAATGTGTGAAAAGAATTAAGCCCAATACTCCATGTATTGTAGATGCTTCATTCCACTCAGGTATTGTTTCCTAAACTTTTTTTTTCAAAGATTTGGAAACAACACCTTCTTGGTATGATTCAGCAAACAATGCACTGAGTCCAGGGCTTAAATCCCCTGCATTATTTATATTGAATCATTTTCAATCATAGCATAAACAGATAAATATGTCCTAAAACTATTGATATCAACACTATTGATGCAGATAAAACAAAATGCGTGTTCTTCCAAAGTCGAGTCTCCCAATATATATAGTCCTCCCTATAGATCTGATTCTGCATTCCAATCTTCCTACTAAAGCAAAATGTTAGACTGCACAGGTTTACTGTATACATGAATATGTCCTGCTAATGACCTAATATCATGATTACCTAGCCTTGCCCAAGTCGGTATTTTTTTACTTATCTGATCTTGAATTATTACCGCCTTGTACAATCCAATACACCTGCGCTGATATTATGCAGAGTTATTCAACGGTTTCGAGATTTCCATAATACCTACGCTATCAGGGGTATCGCAAAACCTTATTAATTAACAGATATACGCGTGGACACGACGTGTGACTTCAGGCTGATTGATCAATCAAAACGTTATCAGGTTGACCTGCATAAGCAAAGCAATCTTCCCGATTTGAAATTAAATGATCTGATCGATGTTTCTTTAGAGTTACAATTATTATGTGATTAAATGTACGGAATGTAAAAGTCATTAATATAAATTAAATCATGCAATAGATTTAAAACTGATTTCGCGATGAAAATGCAAGACCGAGTCCAATGTAGCGAGTCATGTAGTCGATCAGTGATTGAATCTCAGCCTACATGTTCATTTGAACTCAGCGATCGTTTCAACGTTTATTGTTGAAATCTTCTCACCTCCGGTTACCGATCGATGCTCCGGCATCCACTAAACTCTGATTGATATTTATCTGATAAAATATTTGTATTTTCATGATGAATTCATGCAAGATTTGTTCGTGAAAAGTCCCGGCGAAAAGTAAAAAGTGTACTTGTTTTTGACCGTGCATAATAATGAGCTAACGCTGCAGGGCCGTCGTTGATTGGTCAAATTTTACCGACATAAACATTGAGTCGGTAAAGCACGTGGCTTTCTCTTTGGTACAAGGCGGTCATAATAGAAATCAAGATAGTAAAAGAGACCGACTTGGGCAAGGCTAATGATTACCATAAAAATGAATTTCTGTAAGTGTAAACTACTGTTAATTACAATCTAATTGATTTTTTAAATAAATAGATAAGTTATTTGTCAACCTTATGAATTAATCGGTGTGTTATTTGTCAACCTAATTAAGTATAGTGTGATAATGAAATATGTAAATAGATCAAGACCGTATATTAGTACGTCATCTTTACTTGCCATTCAAGATTTAACAATACACGATTTCTTTGTACTTGATTTTACACAAATAGAACACACCCAAAAAATAAATATTGAGACACTGAAAGGACACTAGAATAGTACCTCATAATTTCCATGGGCTCTTCGGTACTGCTTTACAGTATTCTTAACTTGCTAAAAATTGATTAAAATATCATACTAGTATTAATTTGCTTACTTGACTAACCTTAACATTCACCTCCACAGAAACAGTAACCACATATTGCATTTTCATTAAACATGTATTTCCATGCTTCATTTCTATTACTTTAATTTCAACAGGAGTTAAATATTCATGTTGATGTATTTACCATATAATTATTTTTGATGATTTATCAGAGTCCTGATTTAATATGAGTAAAATCTGCATCATCTTCTATGAAGTATAAATAAAGCCATCACACATAGCGAGCTGGTATTATCGTTATAGATCAGTTTAGATCCACACATGTTGTTACTCCTGAAATACAAGTTTGCACAATATACAATCAGCAATAGCCAGATTGACACTTTATGATCTGCAAATATTTATACAGGGTATAAAATAAATCCTGTCCCCCCCCCCTGCTACAGCTAAATCATGTTATTGGCTTTGGCTAGATATCACTATCATACAATATCTACTTTGTGATGAATCATTCTAGATTTTTACTTGGGACAATATTCGCATATTATTCAGTACAATCGTTCATAGCTTAAATTAAATAAAGATATTCTAATGGAATGACACTGATTTTTAGGCGTTAATGTTTTACCCCATTTTTCACACAGGCTTTTCCATACATTCTTGCCATTTTGTTCCCTTCTTTGTAACTGATGGAGACAGGTTTCAAACCATTCTGTATTCACATCCTTTCTTTGCATCAGGCCCAGATTGAAGCCAAATGAGCAGTCAATAGAGTCCCCAATAGCCTTAAAATCTTCTGTTCCTTCTCCCCCTTCTGGTAACATCGCAGCATCGATCTAAAGAGGGAGGAAGAGGGCATTAGAAAACAACCCTCTACAAAACCAAGTATTGTTGTTGTTTTTATAACTGGTATTTAAACTATAAGCTTACAGTCCCAGCACTCAGCTGATCCATTACATCAATCCATCCTCTGGTTATAGGAATTTCTTAAGCAGTAAAACTATTTCCACCGATTCCACTTGCTGAGTAACAAAATTTGTCCATGTACCAATATTTTCGGAAGCCTGTATGTTAAATATGAATAAATGCAAAATATTAGAATTTTATTGAGGGTTTATAAGTATGGATACACAGTTCTGAGTTCTAATTATTGAAGGTTATTATGGATATTATGAAGTGATCATTCAATTCATCAGTCCATCCATCAAGTCATAAGGATATCAAGAGTATAAAGCCATATCATAGAAGATTCTACATATAATTAACTGCAGTTAGCTTCATTCAAGATGGTTGCCAAAACTCTTTCGTTTTCGACAAACCCCTTTCAGCTAAACTAAGCTGAATCTGGATTCCAAAAGTTTTGCCATGCAAACTAATAAAACTATGATTGTAAAAAAACACAAATAAATACTCTAACGAGCGTGATATGGGAGAATTTTAAAGAAAACAGCTTATCTCAGAATGACTCTAGCTGAAGTTATCATCATCAACTTCAGTTAGAGTCATTCTAAGTAAAGCTGTTTTCTTTCAAATTCTCTAATTTCACAGTTGTGCAGTTAGAGTCATCCAACTGTGGTTTAAAAATTGAAGTAAAAGTTTATTTCATTTATAAGATACTTTTTTTTAAATCAACCAAACTTTCCTTTGTACAATTACAATATTGAGAGACCTAAACACGTTGTGTATATGTCCTTTTGTGCCAATGAGGTTCAGATAGATATTTTAATTCATTCATTTTTTGATGACTGGTTTAAGAGAAAAATGTGTTCATTTGGTTTGCCATTTGGATACCAATCCTTTACTAAAACCGCAAGGTTTATAGATGACCTATGCAGCGTCGTGGTATATACAGTTGAAAACTAGGCTGCGGCTCGAGACTGCAGGAAACGATGAAATACGCCCTAATATTTTGAATCATGTGATCGGTTCTTATCCAATGAGAAAGCGAGAAACATTTCAATGATATAATACATTCAAATATTGATTCATCGAGCAGTTTGTATTGTATTATTACAGGTAACAGTATGAGGCCAGGGTAGCCTAAGTGTGTTAGTTCAAACTTTATACGATGATGCCTGAGGGATTTTTTCAAGATTGCTACTGAATTCAAAATTGTAATCCTCTGACAACTTAAATACTGTATGTCAATAGTGAGTTTGAATAAGCCGAGTTGTAAATCAGCAAATCAATGGTGGAGTGATTAACAAGTTATATATATTTCATTTGTTAAATAAGAATACCTATCGTTTTTTATGCTAGCTGCTCCACTGTCTTTATCCCAGAGCCTTTCTTCACATACACTAGGGCCCTAGAAGCTTCTAGTACTGCCCCTGAGAATTTATATGTGTTTCTCCTAGGACCAGTACTTGCGAAGCCAATACAAGCATCATAGTGCAGATTATCTAAACCTTAAACAGAATGAATGAAAAGTGAGCAATAGACGAGATGCAAGTAGAAATGATCTTGATTTATGTCTTAAAATTCAGTCAAATAAAGTCAAATCAAATCTACATGATTGTAAAATTACATCTACAAAAGTGGTTTCAAAAATTGATAAATTTCTTTGAAAATGTAGCTTTTAGGTTGGGTAGATTCCCCATAGACCCAATGTCATGAAATCACAAAAAGTTATATATTTTACGGATATATTTTCATTTGCAAACCTATCAAAGACATTAGATTCAAGATAAATTGGTGAAGTTAATAAGGATTTAAAGTGCAAAAATAGGGGGAATATTCTCTAAAATAATGAATAATAAAAATGGCAACCATAAAAATATAAGAAAAGTTTACATTATTGTAAAAATCTTTAGTTTTCCAGGAAAGAAGAAATGATATGAGCCTAAAATATTTTAAAATTGAAACAATTTTTTGTTTAGCTTGCATGCTTTATCTATTTATCTCTTTAATGATGTGGCTCATAATTTTGAAAGGATCAGTAGCGATATGGTGAAGTGAATTCAACATTGTTTTTTTCCTCTTAATCAATTATTGAAAACATTCTGTAAGAAACATGATCCTTTACGTAACAGTCAATGATTGACAACAATTCAATTTGAAAATAAACGTTTCTGATTTCTAAATCTAAGTCAATTTGACCTTGGGAAAGTCATTGAAGGTCAAATCTCTCAAATCTTAAATCAGATTCTGAGAACCTTTAGATGATTTTGAAAAACTTGAAGTCAGTCTAAACAGTATTTGTTAAGTTATTGGAAGTTGTAAGAATTTGTTACAGACACCAACCACTAGCAACCACTAGCAACCAACCATCACCCGCCATCACAAAAAAACTGAGAACATAACAATAATGTCACCAATTTTTGGTGTTGCCATGAAAATCAAAATATATAAAAATTAAAGAATAGCTTTTATTCCATTGACAAGATACTTTTTTTAAATGAGCCAGACAATCCTTTGTATAACTACAATGTTTAGAGACATAAAAATTTTGTGTATACAGTATGTCATTTTGTTCCAATAAGGTCCGGACAGGTGTTTCATTTCATTCTGAATGTATGGTATCAAGAACAAAAGAAGTGCCTGATGTGTTTTCTTGAAACTTGTTACCATTCAAAAGATGACCATTCAATTTACCAAAAGGTATCAACATTTTTTCTAATTTTCATGTAAATATTAATGGTTTATAATTGGTTATAGCAACCATATCAAGACAGCAAAAGACTTTTTACAAGTTCAACAGATTAAAATAACATACCTTCACCCATCGTATTAACTGGGTCATAGCAGCGGTTAATGTGCTCTGCAATAAACACAGAGCCACATTTCCTGCCACAAATGCCACACACTCCTTTGATAACATCATGCAGGAATCCTATGGCCTCTCCTGTTTTATTGTCTCTGTGGAAAATATTGGAAGTTATAGAAATGTTTACTTCAGAATATAAATGATATTATTTACAGATGTGGTATATTTAAACTTGTATGTTTAATGGTACTTACTTGCTGTACTAAATGACAATCATGTATGTATGTGTGTATGTATAATGGCAATAATTCCATGTACTTACTGGTATGTATATGGCTCCCATGCTCCTTCAATGCCAAACAGAAATGTCTTGCTGAAATACAGCAGTTTTTTTCACATTAAGTATACATATCCAAAAAGAGTCTTGACAAAAATGAACCAGTCCATACATTAGATCGAGCTTTTGCACACTCCTAAGATCCAACTCAACATTACTGATAACTTGACAAACCATGAAAGTACAGAATAAATATGAAATAGGTACCAACCTTAAGATAGCTTCATAACAGTTGCTGCCTCCATTTGCTGGAATACAGAATCTTTCTTTTTTGCTTTTTTCTGTATCAACACAACAGAATTCATCAGCTTTACATCCTGGGTTGCATGGTTTGGAAGCATCTATATAACGGATCTCCCTAAACAGAACAATCAATAGACTTAGACATATACCTTTTTACATACATCCTCCACTTGTTAGTCTTAAAATGCTCTGGATATCCCATCATAAAATACCTTCTTCCATTAACTTTCAGATTAAATATTGAAAATATTATCCTTATGTCAGTATATAATCGAATACTTAAAATGTTTCATTACAAGTACAATGTTACTTGTAATTATTGACTTTCTAACTTAAAATCATCATACCTCTAAGTGTCTCTCATCAATGTCTACTTGAAATGCTTGGCCTATTTCTATCATTTAATTGTCACTTAATGAAATTGTCCTACATTGTAATTCATGATCAGTAATTTTTATTTGAACCTTGATTTATGCTATTTGTTTCTCATCGATAAAAACTCATTAATTGTGGGCATCATTAATCTTACACCTTAATTGGTCTAATTGATTACTTAGTACATGTATATGAATTAATTTGAATATCGCTATTAAACAAAAAAATGTTAGTGCATTAATGACAAGAAAAAATGTATTCAAGTTCATCCCAGTGGGTGGTTGGAGGTAAAAACCGATCACTGGACATCTCAATTTTGCATACACTTCCTTCCAAAAAATTGAATGTCTAACTTTTTTTGCACACTAAACCTTTATTGGTGAATTTTCTTTGTAAGCATTCGAGTCAAAATGCTTCAAAGTAATTTTCAAAATAATTTTTGTCTCTTAAGTTATTTCAATGGGAGAAGTTTTGTAAAATCAACATCGGAAACTATTGACATGATGGATGACCTCAATAAGCTAAACTTCAGGGTGTCCAATAAATAAGGTGAAAGATATTGTAACTTTCTTAATATTGCACCAATCTTGATGAAATTTTTAGAGTTAGTAGCCCAAACCTTTTTACCTTTATTCTGTGAATTTAAAGCGTCTTCTATTTGATTGGTCAGAGTTGTGGTTGCTATAGCAACAGAAACAACAAAAAGGCGGGGCAAGTTTGTTTACGTCACAACTTTCCAAAACATATCTATTCTTTCTGATAGCTTTATTCATACTCCCAGGTCTATTACTACCACAAATACAATATAAAAACAGTCCTAAAGTCCAATTGTTATGAAAATAAGCTATCTCTAGTTTAAACTTACTTTATTAAGCCCTCTGCATCAAAGACTCCAGATTGTGTCAATTGCGTTATGTAAAGCACTCCAAAAAGATATAGTGCAATAGAGGTTGTCATGGTGCCTTGAAAGAAAATGATCTAACAATGAAAGTAAGCAGACAGCATGTCCAGTATATTTCAGACCAAACACCGTATAGGTGGTAATTCTACCAATCATTTAATTTGCCTATTGCCTAATTTTTGCCATGTTTGGAAAATTAAATGTTGAAAATATTATCTTTATGTCAGTATATAACCGAATACTTAAAATGTTTCATTACAAGTACAATGTTACTTGTAATTATTGACTTTCTAACTTAAAATCATCATACCTCTAAGTGTCTCTCATCAATGTCTTATAAGAAATGAAAACTTGAAATGTTTGGCCTATTGCTATCATTTAATTGTCACTTAATGAAATTGTCTTAATTCATGATCAGTCATTTTTTATTTGAACCTTGATTTATGCTATTTGTTTCTCATCGATAAAAACTCATTAATTGTGGGCATCATTAATCTTACATCTTAATTGGTCTCATTGATTACCTAAGTACCTGTATATGAATTAATTTGAATATCGCTATTAAACAAAAAAATGTAATGACCAGAAAAAACATATTCAAGTTCATCGAGCATTTCAACAGACCCCCCACAAGGCCAATTTTTGGAATATTTAAGTTGTGATAACATCCAGAAGCTAATACTCGGATTTTACACACAAATATTGGGTGAAGGGACAAACGCAGGGTATATAGTAGAGACCGACCCCTCCTACCAGTGGGTGGTCGGAGGTAAAAAAGGTGAATTGATGGGTGGTGTGGACCGTAATACCATGCTAATAGAAATGAACCCTAAAAAAATGGAACAGGATGTTTTAGTTGCACGTACACTTCTGAATCCCACTTGTGGTACCATTCCTGTCCTTGTTTCCAACTTAACGCCTAGTTCAGTCATTTTACACATAAACACCCTGATCGCTCACAGTAGGCTTTTGGAAGATGATGAGGTGCCTGATCCATCGCCATCGTTCCCTTTCGATCATTCACCGGAACATCATAAAATTTATGAGACGGGTCTAATGATATATCTTCTGAAACAAATGAACCAATTCCAGATCATCTCAAAGATCTTTGTCAGAGAAGCACTGAATCATTGAACTTACATGAATCAGAAAAGGTTAAACAATTTATCATGTCTAATCAAGACCTTTTTGCTAACAAGAAAATCAAGTGAAAATGACACTAGAAAAATACGAAGGCCATAATGCTATTTTGACAAAACTGATCAACTTTTTATGGAAATACCACAGAGAAAGACAACTAGACATTTAAAATCGCCACGGGGGCGATTTCGTAGAATGCCGTTCCTCGACGCAGCAGCAAATTCGGTGCACAATTGACCTTTTTCAAGGTCATGCAGAGGTCGAATTCCAAAACCGAAAGCATATTTGATATCATATTTTGCCATATTTTTGAAATTTTGGCACTCAATTTAAAAACCCGTACCCTTATCCTCCCAGACGCGCTTTAAAGCGCTGTCGCGTGCCCCCTATATAGATTAGGAAAACATATTTAGAATCAGGGACATCCATACTTCATACTTGCAAAGAATTGGAATGAAAATCACCCAAATTATAAACCCTAGAGATATGTTAAATGGGAAGAGTAAGGCATGCAAAAAATAACTACAGTGGCTCCTTGAACAGGTAAAACAAGAAATAAGTTTTACGTCATTTTACGGTGAAGGTCAAAGGTCAAGGTCAAAATGTTGACCTAATTTACTCTAGTTTAGTACAGTGTAATACAATGGTACCAATTTCGAATCAATTTGAGCAGTTTTAGCAATTTAACCTTTTTGACCTTTTCAAGGTCACCCGGAGGTCAAATTCCAAAACCACAAGCATATTTAGAATCAGGGACATTTATACTTCATACTTGCAAAGAATTGGAATGAAAATCCTAGTTTTCAACTTTGAGGTCATTTGAAGGTCAATGTCAAAGGTCAAGGTCAAAATGGTGACCTAATTTACTCTATCCGAGTACAGTGTAATACAATGGTACCAATTTGGAATCAATTTGAGCGATTTTGATTTTTGAACTTGTTGACCTTTTCAAGGTCACTCAGAGGTCGGATTCCAAAACCGAAAGCATATTTGGAATCAGGGGCTTCTATTCTTTATATCTGCTCAGAATTGGGATCGGATACACAGTTTTCAAATTTTGCCCCACTGGGGTGCCCCAAATTTGAAAAATTTTAAAACCCGGAATATATGTGAATTGCCAATTGTGAGGGATGGCATATGCAAATTTTGGGTAAAAAATAAAAATGGTTACTCCTTGTACGTGCAAAAATGTAAAAATTTGCGATTTGACCTTGGCTAATTAGGGAGGGGCTAATTAAAAAAATGAAGGCATTTCCCTGTAGCCCAGGAACATGTCAAGGTTGATGGTATATGCTAATTAGCTGACATGTCGGTGTGTGCGGAGAAATCTTGCGTGGAATAATAAAAACTAGACATTTAAAATCACCACGGGGGCGATTTCGTAGAATGCCGTTCCTCGCCGCAGCAGCAAATTCGGTGCACAATTGACCTTTTTCAAGGTCACGCAGAGGTCGAATTCCAAAACCGAAAGCATATTTGATATCATGTTTTGCCATATTTTTGAAATTTTGGCACTCAATTTAAAAACCCGTACCCTTATCCTCCCAGACGCGTTTTAAAGCGCTGTCGCGTGCCCCCTATATAGATTAGGAAAACAAAGTGTTAAACTTGTTATTTCTTGATACCATTTAGGCAGTCATAATATACAGTAATCTGCTCTATATGGGCTTATTAGTCTTTTGCAGATATTATTGACATAGACATAGATAATAGCAAACCGGAAGTGTACTTTAATCGAAGAAAATTAGTTTTTATTGCAATTAAAGCTGTTTTATCACCACAAATATCACCAAAAATGGCGATTTGGAAGAATCTTTACTTTATTTGGAGCAGTCGAAGTACCCCATATGGTGCAGATAGTGATGAAATAAGGTGAAATATAAGTACGTACAAAAATGTAAAATTAAAGATTTGACCTTGGCTCATTAAGGTGGAGCCAATTAAAAAATGAAGACATTTCCCTGTAGCCCAGGTAAATGTCAAGGTTGATGGTACATGCTAATAAGCGGACACATTGCTGTGATATTTGATATCAGGGGCTTTTATTCTTTATTTTTGGTAAGAATTATGATGAAATTCATAGTTTTTCAAATTTTGCCCCACTGGGGTGCCCAACCCAATCCCAATTAAAAAACCCGGAATATATGTTAAATGAGAAGAATGAGGCATGCCATGTACAAAATTTGGGCAAAACATATCTATAGTGGCTCCTTGTACATGAAAAACGAGAAATATGTCTTACGTCGTTTTACGTTGAAGGTCAAAGGTCAAGGTCAAAATGTTGACCTAATTTACTATAGTTAAGTACAGTGTAATACAATGGTACCAATTTCGAATCAATTTGAGCAATTTTAGCAATTTAACCTTTTTGACCTTTTCAAGGTCACCCGGAGGTCAAATTCCAAAACCACAAGCATATTTAGAATCAGGGACATCCATACTTCATACTTGCAAAGAATTGGAATGAAAATCACCCAAATTATAAACCCTAGAGATATGTTAAATGGGAAGAGTAAGGCATGCAAAAAATAACTACAGTGGCTCCTTGAACAGGTAAAACAAGAAATAAATTTTACGTCATTTTACGGTGAAGGTCAAAGGTCAAGGTCAAAATGTTGACCTAATTTACTCTAGTTTAGTACAGTGTAAACAATGGTACCAATTTCGAATCAATTTGAGCAATTTAACCTTTTTGACCTTTTCAAGGTCAATTCCAAAACCACAAGCATATTTAGAATCAGGGACATCCATACTTCATACTTGCAAAGAATTGGAATGAAAATCCTAGTTTTCAACTTTGAGGTCATTTGAAGGTCAATGTCAAAGGTCAAGGTCAAAATGGTGACCTAATTTACTCTATCCGAGTACAGTGTAATACAATGGTACCAATTTGAGCGATTTTGATTTTTGAACTTGTTGACCTTTTCAAGGTCACTCAGAGGTCGGATTCCAAAACCGAAAGCATATTTGGAATCAGGGGCTTCTATTCTTTATATCTGCTCAGAATTGGGATCGGATACACAGTTTTCAAATTTTGCCCCACTGGGGTGCCCCATTTTTCAAATTTGGGGCACCCAATTTTAAAACCCGGAATATATGTGAAATGGCAATTGTGAGGGATGGCATATGCAAATTTTGGGTAAAAAATAAAAATGGTTACTCCTTGTACGTGCAAAAATGTAAAAATTTGCGATTTGACCTTGGCTAATTAGGGAGGGGCTAATTAAAAAAATGAAGGCATTTCCCTGTAGCCCAGGAACATGTCAAGGTTGATGGTATATGCTAATTAGCTGACATGTCGGTGTGTGCGGAGAAATCTTGCGTGGAATAATAACTAGACATTTAAAATCGCCACGGGGGCGATTTCGTAGAATGCCGTTCCTCGCCGCAAGGTCACCCGGAGGTCAAATTCCTAAACCACAAGCATTTTTAGAATCAGGGACATCCATACTTCATACTTGCAAAGAATTGAAATGAAAATCCTAGTTTTCAACTTTGAGGTCATTTGAAGGTCAATGTCAAAGGTCAAGGTCAAAATGGTGACCTAATTTACTCTATCCGAGTACAGTGTAATACAATGGTACCAATTTGGAATCAATTTGAGCGATTTTGATTTTTGAACTTGTTGACCTTTTCAAGGTCACTCAGAGGTCGGATTCCAAAACCGAAAGCATATTTAGAATCAGGGGCTTCTATTCTTTATATCTGCTCAGAATTGGGATCGGATACACAGTTTTCAAATTTTGCCCCACTGGGGTGCCCCATTTTTCAAATTTGGGGCACCCAATTTTAAAACCGGGAATATATGTGAAATGGCAATTGTGAGGGATGGCATATGCAAATTTTGGGTAAAAAATAAAAATGGTTACTCCTTGTACGTGCAAAAATGTAAAAATTTGCGATTTGACCTTGGCTAATTAGGGAGGGGCTAATTAAAAAAATGAAGGCATTTCCCTGTAGCCCAGGAACATGTCAAGGTTGATGGTATATGCTAATTAGCTGACATGTCGGTGTGTGCGGAGAAATCTTGCGTGGAATAATAATAACTAGACATTTAAAATCGCCACGGGGGCGATTTCGTAGAATGCCGTTCCTCGCCGCAGCAGCAAATTCGGTGCACAATTGACCTTTTTCAAGGTCACGCAGAGGTCGAATTCCAAAACCACAAGCATATTTAGAATCAGGGACATCCATACTTCATACTTGCAAAGAATTGGAATGAAAATCACCCAAATTATAAACCCTAGAGTTATGTTAAATGGGATGAGTAAGGCATGCAAAAAATAACTACAGTGGCTCCTTGAACAGGTAAAACAAGAAATAAGTTTTACGTCATTTTACGGTGAAGGTCAAAGGTCAAGGTCAAAATGTTGACCTAATTTACTCTAGTTTAGTACAGTGTAATACAATGGTACCAATTTCGAATCAATTTGAGCAATTTTAGCAATTTAACCTTTTTGACCTTTTCAAGGTCACCCGGAGGTCAAATTCCAAAACCACAAGCATATTTAGAATCAGGGACATCCATACTTCATACTTGCAAAGAATTGAAATGAAAATCCTAGTTTTCAACTTTGAGGTCATTTGAAGGTCAATGTCAAAGGTCAAGGTCAAAATGGTGACCTAATTTACTCTATCCGAGTACAGTGTAATACAATGGTACCAATTTGGAATCAATTTGAGCGATTTTGATTTTTGAACTTGTTGACCTTTTCAAGGTCACTCAGAGGTCGGATTCCAAAACCGAAAGCATATTTAGAATCAGGGGCTTCTATTCTTTATATCTGCTCAGAATTGGGATCGGATACACAGTTTTCAAATTTTGCCCCACTGGGGTGCCCCATTTTTCAAATTTGGGGCACCCAATTTTAAAACCGGGAATATATGTGAAATGGCAATTGTGAGGGATGG